AATTTTTCATTCGCGCTTAGTTAAATTTCATCTATTTGAAAAATCACAGCAATATCTCTATAGTAATAAGCTAATAGGAAACTTCAAGACTCTTGGGCAAGACCAAGACCAAGATCAAGACTCGTCTTGATCTCGCATTTGGGTAACACTACTGGACTTTGACTTTTTTTATCAATGCGAATTTGTTAAGCGATGTAATGGATTAATAACATTTGAAAAAAAAAATGAGTTGATCGCCTCATTTTAGCTTGATTTACATTTTTTTATTAGTTCAATTGGAAAAGAAAAAATAATGACCTGAAAGATTACTCAAAGAGTTTAGATTAATTCTCTCTCTCCTCCACCCCTTCAAAAAAGTTGATAAATGTTGAAGTTCTTAGGACCTATTGTGAATTGACTATATATATTTCAGCCTCTGAAGATTTTTTCACGAAACACTCCTTTTTCAGAAATCTGGGTTCACTTATACGTACCTGTAGAATTTTCTTTTAAACGATTAAATTGAAAAAAACAATGTCTAATTGTACAGTGGCGATTAAAACAACTTTAACGATTAGGGTAGACCAGAAGAGGTCATTTTTTTTTAATATTCACTTTATGAAACACGGAAATATTGCCATTTTTATTTGGTGATTAAAAATTATTAAAAGACTAAGATTGGTTAGTACATAGTAAACAGGTCAAATCCATTGTATTAAATTTGCGGTGTTTCAATTATTCTCACATGTAATTTAATTTGGTGTATGATATTAACATAAGTACATTTATTTCTGCAAAAATTTGTTTAAGGTAGTTTAGTTTTTTATTTAAGAAAGATAATACAATCTGCCACAATCTAGGGCATTGGGCATTATGGCTCTTTGTTTACATTCATACATTTTATATAGAATTTAAAATAAAAATTGAGAAAAACAAAATAAAATAAGAAGAAAACATGTAAGTAAAAATATATAAATTAAAATAAAAGAAGAAAAAACTTGCAAAAAGGAAAAAAGTACATTCAAAGAATACTAGAGAAAGAAGAAAAAAATACTTGACAAACATTCATTCCTATTGAAAAAATATCATTTTTTTTTTTTTTTTTTTGTTACAGAATTTCATATAACTAGAGCTACAAGAGGGTGAATAAAAAAAAAATTTGATATACTACTTGCTGAAGGAACGGTGAGGAATATTTTCATGAGGATTCAAACAATGTTTTAAGACAGTCATGTTTTAGACAACAAACCTTTAGCCCTGTAGACTAGAAAAAACTAAATAACTGGGTATGTATTATTTTATTTAATAGTTGAATAGCAGAATATTTGTTATTTGTTAAATTACTTAAATAGGTACAACAATCTAACTTAAAGGATCAACTAGGAATCCAAATGTATACGTGGAAAACAATAAATGAAACGAATTATAAACTAAAATATATTTTGTTGTTTGCTGTATTCCGCATATTTTGGCCAAAGATGGGTAAAAAAATACTCTGTGTACCAGTAACGAACCCAGGATTTAATTATGGTGGGGCTTGGTTTCTTATTTTATTTGTTTAAATAACAGTAATTATTCTGGAAGAAAAATATATATATTTATATATATAATAAAGTCTAAGTGGTCCTTAAAAGCGTAATAAACTGTTCATTGGAATATTAATGCTTTTAGGGTTAAATTTTCCATACATTTAAAGGGTCAACTAGGAATCCGAATGCACACGCTGAAACCTATAAATTAAATAAATTCTAAACTAAGAAATATTTTGTTAAGTATTCAGCATCTTTTGACCAAAATTGAGCAAAAAAAAAAATACTCTCGGTACCAGTAACGAACCCAGGATTTAATTATGGTGGGGCTTGGTTTCATAAATATAATAAAAATAAATTTTCCATATATTTTTTCTTGACTGGTGTCAACAAGTGTACATTTAGTAAATAAAATGCATGCGTTATAATTTAAAAAGAGTACAGATTTTGATTGTTTAATTATTTAGTTTATATCACTATAAAAAAAAAAACAATATGGACTCAGTTACCCCATGGATCCGCCATTGCTGAGTACCGAATTACCAGTATTTTTCTTAAACTTAATCATTATTAGGATTTTAATCTCTAGCTCAGTTGATTGTCTCAATCATCGACTAAAGCAGTGATTAAATTCCACGGTACTCAGAAAGGGTTAATATTTGAGTAATATATTCGATATTAATAGTTTTAAACCATTTCTGGTCTTACCATAAAAATACATTTCATCCTAGGAATGTATGTGTATTGGCTAAAAACATAATAAGAGACACTTGTGGGCATAGCTATGGCAAAGAAATCACAAATTGTTATCCTGTTTTTTACGCTTTTGATGAGACCTAGCATGTATTTAATGACAGATAATGTTTCAATTGGGTGGCCAAAAAAAAAATGTCCTACAGAAATAGTAAAAATTCAACTTGAAAGTTTTTAGTTAGAAAAATACAATTAAGTTCTGTCTCGAATGGTGATACTACTACAAACGAATGTTTGTCTTTGACGAATGTATCTCTTGAAGGGAGGATCTGTTTTATTACGTTTTTCTGTTTTGTGGGGCTTTGTTACCTCTTTGTCCTCTTTGCGATCGGTTACTCTATGTGCAATAGACTGTAGAGCGAAAATGTTTTAACGCGTTTAATAAAACTTGCTTGAATTATTTTCAAAGAAGCCTCTGACCAACCAATAAACCTATATTTCCAACAAAAAGAATGTTGGCAAATGAAATATTGTATTTTATACTCTTTACTCATATACCGCTTCATTTTCTGATAAAATTGAAAATATTTGTTCACCTCGTCGCGCTGAAAAAATGAAATGACCTCCCACGAGTTGAACATATGATTTTTATATTGCGAAAGCTGAAGGAAGTAATTTGTATTTACTTAAGGATAACAATGTTCGTTATTTTGTGATAGACTCAATTTGTATAGGGTTCTTCCCTTAAAACAAATAAAGATTAAATTAAATATTGTTCCTAAACTTAGCGCTTAGCTCATCGACGGCATCGGATTGGTTATTGAACTAGAACGAAACGAAGCCAGGCGTTCAGCGCTGATTTTAGAAAATAGCTCATTTAAGGAGTTTAATTTCAAATTTAAATACCGTTGATAAAAAATATAGTTGACTACCGATTAACCGTTTTGTTTATGGTTCTTTTTTTTTTAGTTATAATTCTCTAAACTCCCTTATTCATAAATAGGTGCCACCCCTAAATCGTGAATTGAACATTTCTATGACAAGCACAAATGGGGTACAATAATGGAACAACTCGAAGAGATAAGACCCAGGTTAAACTATTGTGAAAGGCATTAGCTACTGACCCATTATTACCAACTTATAATTAATTCATATCGCTACTGTTATTGCAAAACGTCGTACATAAATATTTTCCATTTTTATTCTGTTTGGGCCAAAGGTGATATTTTGTAATATGCAGCATCTATAAGCAGTCTGCTATTATGGAAAATATCAGAAGGAAATAAAATATGAAATTGTATTAATAAATCGTAAAGAAATGATCAGTTTTTAATGCTCTGCTTTAAAACACTCAATTTTAACATACCTACGATATTTTGCACTAACAGTAGGGATACATATATATAATTTATTTTACCCTCTATCTGCTGGACATTTCTAACATAGAGTGGAAATATATATCATTAGCACTGTTTCAAGTTCGTTCTTGTTTATTGGGATTAAACAAGTACTCTTAAAGCAGGATGGATGGGTTATCCAACACATTATTGAGTAGGGTTGAGATCGGTATTTCATGGGTCCTCCACTAGATACAATTTATGCCTTCCAAGCCAGATTCAACCCTCTTGAGAATACTGAGATAGGTATTAAGTACCTCAATGTGATCTGCCACTGCACAGTTCAACTCAGCAGTTTTATTTCAATAAATGGCGGTCATTTGCCTTCATTTTTTTAATAAATACTCTCTACTTATCTGACTATTAAACATATTTTACAAACAAAGTTAATTTTTAGTAGTTGCATATTGCTCACTCAGACAATAAAATCGAGATCTCTCAAAATGATATTTGCGTTACCATGGCAGATCTGTTTATTTACACTTTTAAAGACTCAGAATAAACTAGTAACTAAAATATTTCAGTTAAGTTAGATACTATTTTGTTTCACTAGCGGATCCAGAATTTAATTTTGGGGGAGGAGGCTTCAGCCCGAAAGATTTTTTTTTTAATATACATATAACGATAATTAATTTGAAAAAAAGAGAAAGAAATTAATTACCTATTTGAAACGGTGTTTAAGTGGTTCTTGAAGTCCTATTAAATATAATTACACGAACAAGAATACTTTATGAGATAGTTTTTAATATTTTTTTCTGTAAAACATGGTAATATTTTACCATTTTTTGGGAGGAGACTTCAGCCCGAAGGCCCCCCCCCTTAAATCCGCCTGTGTTTTGTTTTAAGTACAGTCGATTCTCGATAATTCGATTTTTTCAACAATTCGAACTCTTCACCAGCTAACTTCGGTATATCGAAAAAATGCTGTATTTTGATAGCTCAATTACTCATAATCCTGTTCGTAACAAGAGGAGAAGAGAACTTCTATAATTCGAACTAGATAACTTCTCTTTATAATTCGAAATTTTTCTAGTAAATGTTTTACATTGAAGCTATGTATTTATAAAATTTACGTAAGTTCATTCATATTTTCAAAAATATAATAAAAACTTAATAATTCTATTTTTTTTTTCTTTATAATACAAACTTCTTGATAACTCTAAGTCTGGATTTTTCACAGTTTTCTCGTCCCTTGGATTTCGAAATATCGAAATTCGAATGTATAACGTAATGTAAGATATTGTAAGACACTTTATAGTTTTTACCCAAAGAAGGTTGTAAAAATATTTAAAACAGGATAATTTTTATTGTGATTTACTACATTAGAGATGATATTAACATAATCTTTTTAAGGTGTATCAACTCGTTTTATGTTGCAGGTTTGTATGCTTACCATCACTCAATGTCGGCCAGAGAAATAAGGCAATCACTCATGGTATGTTTTGCATATCATTTTGTTGATTTACATTACACTACTTATATTATTACCTAATACTAAACTATATACCATGTTAAAAGTTTAATTCAGTGTGAATGTTTTATAAAATATAGAAATAACATGAAAATAAGTGAATTTATACCTAGTAAATGATTAATTAGGTTCAAATTCAGTCTTTATCAACTTATTTTTTTACATTAAATTTTAATTTATTTGAGTGATCAATCCAAAAATGAGGTCACATCTCTGCAAGTGACAATTATTAAAGTTACATTCATTTTACAGATTAAATTTTTTGCATATCCTGGGCTAGTCCTACCATTTTATTTCTTCCTTCCATGTTTTCAGAAAGATTTCCTAAATTGAAACATCTGATTTTGTGAAAAGATTATCAATCTTTACAATGTTTACACCCGAGACTTTTTTTTTTAATAGAAAACTTCTAATTGAGTTATATAAAATTCTGTCATAATTAAGAGAATCAGTAATAATGATTGGACTGGGGTAACTCAATGGTTGAGTGCTGAGCTTCCAAAGCTGAAGGTCTCCAGGTTCGAATCCTGACTTATGGCAGTTAAATTATTTATTCAGTTTCTTCAGCCCTGGGGTCAGGAGACCCTCCTGGGGCACACCCAGCCTCTATAAAGTGGGTACTCTTAATTAAATAATTAATTAAAGTGGAAACCTGTTGGTTGAGCATGATCTAGGTCAAATCACCTCCTTGCATAAATGTTGACCAAGATAACAGTACTTTCCCTAAATAGCACTGCATCCAGTGTCTTGGCCTTCCACAATAAACAAAAATAAATTAAATGGAATAACAGCGAAAAGACACTTAATAAATATTAAATGACACAAAATAATACTAAAGAGACATACTTATATATTTTTTTTTTTAATTTATGCATTGCTTTTTAATGTTTTGCATTCCACACTACAACCCTTTTTAATTTGTTCTTTATAAAATCTTAGAGTACGAGAACTAACAAACTGAAGGAAGTAATTTGTAATAATTTCAGTATCATAAAAATTATAGTTTTTCAAATATTTTTGAAAAACAAAAAAAAGTAGTAATTGATTTATGATGGAACTGATGAACAACCATGAACTGGCACAATTGCGCTAACCCTCACCCTATCCTCCCTCTGACCGAACTAATTAACAGTTCTGGCACCCCTCCAACATTATTATTACATGTCATCATATCAAAGATTCAATCCCTTCTTTATTCCCTCAAAGAATAAATCAATTTGGTGTTAGATTTTTTACATGGTTGATTATTAAATACAAGGAAATTTCATGAGGATTTTCATGTAGTTGCATTAGCCTTCCTTAAAACTTTAAAATTGAAATTTTTCTGTTGGAACTTCTCCAAATAACTTACAGTAAATTTCATTTATCTTTAACACCATTATATTTTTAGTAACAGATAATAGAAAAATCATGTTTTTCATTTTGAAAAGATTGATGAAACTGTGATTGAGCAAATTTTAATGTTCATGAATTGTTATTGAATTCATTCTTGTTTAATTAGTTTTACTCTGAACAATGGCATTTACTTCAATGAAATTTTATAAGTAACATGATAACAACCTTGAAATTTTGAATTTAGGTATTTGGATTTTTTTTTTTTTAATTTATCATAAATAAAGTAAGAAATATAATATTTATTTTGATTTTCTGTCTAAATCTCTCAATTTTCATTGAACCAGCAAAAATATTCTTTTTATTCACTTTCAATTTCTATATTTATAAGTCAAAAAAACCACCACCATATTTAAGTTAGCATACATGATTCAATCTTCAATACGATTAAAGTCCCTGATAACTTCAGTTACAATTGTTGAACTTATTATCAACAATGCTGGTTTAGATGTCACATTCTGGTTCTATTTAACTGGTGAACCAAAATTGTGATCAGAAAATATAATATTGAAATGGGATGAAATTCAGTAATCTAACATATCGCCATAGATTCCAATAAGTTTTGAGTAATTTGAAACTTTATAGATTAAAAGTATAAAATATTTTCTATCTTATGATAAAGTGGCACCACCGTCTTAGTGTGAACCAATTCTTTCAGATATTCCTTGTTTAACATGGAATAATACAAATTCTGACAACATTTTGCCATTTTTCAACCTATTCATCTTACCTTGGAAATATTTTTGCTTATTCACGTATTATAATGGCGTGTTATTTGAGTAAATTTATTCTTCTCAGATTTATTTAATTTTGTGAGTTTTGTATAACTTCCAACCATAACGATTAAGCGTAGTATCTCGAGTGAATGTTTTATTCATTACATTTAAATGATTCGTATTTTAATTTAATATGATAGAAGAGCAATTTTTGTCTTAACCATTTTAAATATTTATTTAAATAGTTTAAATTTAGTTTAAATATTTTAAACTGCTTACAAATGCTATCAGGATTACCAATACAAATACAATCAGACTTACAAATTATCTGAATTTTATTATGGTGTATAGGGAGGTGAATTAAATAATTTATATTCATGAATATAAATTAATTTTTTACAATAGCAAATGTTCTTACAAATATTTACAATATTTATTTATATTTATAATATTTATAAATATATATATGTTTTTCTATACAGGAGACACCATTGAGTAAAGAACATCAAAATTTGATACTAGCTCAGAAGAAAGAAGAATGTATTAATGGAAACTCGAGTTTAACTACAGGTAATTTATTACAAATAGCCAGTTGAGATCATTAATTTATATCTTACTGAAAACATACATTATACTAAAAACACTTATATTTTACTAGAAAAAGATCATCCCATTTTTCAATAATACCATTGTGACTAAAACAAAGTTATGTGACTTTGTTTATTATGATAATTATATATCTTTTTATGTTTATGTATTCCTATACCTAAATTTCTATGCTTTAACATTGTAATGTAATTAATAGGCATGATATATGCATTAATTTATAAATACAAACCTCTTCTATAGAGTATGTAAATGTTACTTTTTTTAAAGACCAATTATGTTTGTTTAATTACACTATGGGGGTGGGGGATTTCCCTGGCCAGGGGGTGTGAGCAGGGATTTAAAATACTCCCCCAGCACCGGGACGCGAACTCGTGACTATTTTTATATCATTGAGTCATATATCAGGTTGCTGGGCAACGGCGGTGAAGTGCACACGCGTTAGCCCATTCGGCCACCCCGCCCACATCGGGACACGAACTTGTAATTATTTTATCATGTTATACTCAGTTTATCAGGTTGCCGGGCTAACACATGTGCAAATACGCCTAATCCTGCTCGGCTATGCCGCTCACATGTCAACATGTTGAGGTATCATTAAAGTTTAAGCATCATATTCGCATTTAATAAGGTGTATAAAAAAATGATCGTTTCATCAAATTCAAGATTTCAAAGCACTGTAAATATTTTAATCCTATTTAATACTTACCAATACTTAATAATTCCTTTTGAGCATTCTCTAAGCTTGTTTAATCTTATTCAACTTTTTCAAAAAAAGCCTCAATTTAGTTATTTATTTCAAAGAAGAAAAGTGTCAGGTCAACTCGTGTAATTATTAAATATAAAGGGAAAGGTGTCCTTGACTAGCGCACTGCGCGGCGTTGGTTAGAAAAATTTAGTAGTGGAGATACGACGTTGCAAAGGAAAAAGGGCTCCAGGCTATCATTAATGGATATTGATGAGGTTCTGCAGGAAGCTGTTGAGTCGAATCTGTCCACAAGTACTGGCGAACTTGTAAGGGAGTGTGGACTATGGAAAGATACTGTTAGTCATCATCTACTGTCCATGGGGAAGGTGAAAAAGAGCAGTCGGCTGGTCACTCACGAACTTACTCCTCACCAATCAGCTAAAAAATTAGAAATTTGTGAACATTTATCGAAAAAACTTTGTCTGAAAAACAACTACCTCATCCACCATACATTCCAAACCTTGCACCATCGGATTACTACTTATTTAGATCCATGACCCATTTTCTTCAAGGGAAAAATTTGATAATTTTACTAAGTTGAAATTGCGATCCAAGAGTTATTTGACAGTCTTCTCAAAGAGTGCTATCAGCGTGGGATTGAGCAATTGGCTAGCAGATGGTTAATGATGGTAGATAATTATGGACTACATATACTTTGAGTATTAATTGTATTTTATATCAAAGAAATAATAATACAAATATTTGATTGAAAAATGGTCTTCTTTTTTTTATATATATCCTATTATAATCATTTATACCATAAAGTAAGCATATCTGACTCTTTACTCTATTAACCTTCTTTATTGACCAGGTTAACTGCTTGATAATACTCCAATCCTCCCTGATGAGAAACTATAGAATTTGTTCATCTCTAAAAAAAGCATTTATAACCTAATGAATATGATCGTTTTACAGAGCAGCAGTTTTTGGTATTTCCAACTGTCCTTCATAAAGCATAATCATATAAAAAGGGTATCCAACATCATAAACCCCCCCAAAAAAATTATTTAACATTTCTTTTATCTTTTGCTTCTGATTCCAATTAATAATATTTGATACTTAATTAAACCGAAAAAAAAAACAGCCAAGAATAATATTTTACTTTATTTATAACCTTTGCCCACTAAAGAGCTATAGATACCAAGAATTAAGGCCACAGATTTGAAAGGTGAGATAGCACATAGAGGTAATATGTAGATAGCCTTGTTGCTTTTAATTAACTAGTACCTAAGATTAGAAATTAATTATTAACTGAATAATGATAATATAAATAATGATAATGATTTAAAAATAATAATATATATTTTTTTAAGGATATTGTCCTCAAGTATGGGATAGCATTCTTTGTTGGGCAGAAGCACCTCCTGGAACTCTATCTTCCCAACATTGTCCCAGTTACATTGCAGGATTCAAATCGGTAAATTGTTTTAACAATACATTTTAAAATAATAAAGGTTAAAATTGACACTTTGAGCATTTTTATGAAAAAAAAAAAATTGTTCTTATTAGGATATTTTCAAGCAATTACTCAATTATAGGAGAATAGCAGAACTTCTAATTTGTTTTTTTTTGTGACTGATCATTTTTCCAAACTGAATCAATTGCTTAAAAAATAAAGTGAATAAACAGTTATTTCAAAAATTTTGAGCAATATATAATTTTTGATAAAATTCAAATCCGGCTGGAGATACAGTCCACTTTCTCAATTGGGATCTTTTGAAATGGTTGAGTTCATGACAGTATGGTGCAAAAAATTTACTGTGACTTAAGAAAAATACACAATTCTTCAAATATTCAATCTTTAGTCATTTAAAGAGACTAAAAAAAATCCAATTAGTTATCTTATATAAGTCATATCTAATGGCTAAAAAATTAGTCATTAGGCATAATTATTTCTTGTGACTAAGAATTTAGTCGTCAATTGAATAATTTTTCCCTAAGTTATGGCAAATTGTTAAAATCTACATGAATAAAAACAAAAAAGTTTATTATAAATTTATTTTTTCATATATATACATAAACTCCATGGTAACCGATGAGTTGGTTGGTTGAACGATAGATGGGAGGACTCCGTCTCCATGGATGCACAGCCTCAACTTGGAGTCTAAATCTGAAAAATTGTAGCGACTGTACCAACTGAAGAAGAATTTTGGAGAAGGCCTAGTCTCAGCAATGGGACATAGTACCACATATTTTATGTTTTATATATATATATATATATATATATATATATATATATATATATATATATATATATATATATATACACATTTTTATTTTTTCATCATCTATAAATATTTTGATTCAATATCACCTTATGGGTTAACCATTATTTTCAGGGTAATGCCACCAAATACTGCACAGAAAATGGAACCTGGTTTTGGTTTAACAACAGTATTGTTAATAACACTTGGACAAATTATACAGAATGCTTAAATGGCCCAACGGGAACCATTGTTACACCACCCTCAAATGAAGGGAACCTCACATTAATTCCAGTAAGATAAATCAATTTTATTTATTTATTTAATTTTTTGCAATCAATAACAAGATTGATTTTTATTGACATTTGCACCTATTTTAAACAATATTATTAAGTTAATAATGAATCTTTTTCTTTGAGGTACATGTATGAAAATAGAAGAAATTCATTTCTCAGTATTTTTAAATTAAGACAATAAATAGCTTGGTTAAATAAGACCATGCTAGTGAAGAATTCGGTCTCAAAATAAGCATTGATATGTTAAAATATATGCTTAGTACAAAACGAAATAGATTACCTTATAAACGTAAATGTACGGAATAACAACTCTTCGTATGGGGAATGTAAATTTATACATTAGGCCCTTTACATGAAATGTACATATTGCAAAAAAAAATCAAACATTACTATATAAATATGTGAATGTGTGTCTATTAATAAGTACATTGTCTGTTTTATTGTGTAAAGCTCAATCGAAAAGTTTGTCAAAATGTGCTCAATTATATTAACTATATGTTCAGTTCATCATCTATCATTCTATATATTATCAAAATACTAACTTTAAATTATGTTAACTACTAATTGCTTGAAATAAATAAATAATAAGTACTATAATTTTTTATTTCTTATTCTTTTAGAAGTATTTACCTGCTGTCAAGGCGATCTCACAAATTGGCTATAGTGTCTCCTTATTTACTCTCATTATAGCATTCATTATACTGGCAAGTTTCAAGTAGGTATCAATGTTTAAATTTATTTATATTTTTAAACAAATAGTGCTAAGAATATTGCTATAATTACTACAAAGGAGAGAGATTGCCATAGAAAATGAATAAAATCATTTACTTATTATCTTAAAAAGATACAAATATATTTTTTTGCATAGAATATTTTTTTTAAATATAAATATCCAATGAAAATCAGAATTCAAAGATTTTTTCACATATCACCATTTTAACTTTTTTTAAAGGAAACTGAGATGTCCTAGAAACATCTTACATATGCACCTATTCATTTCTTTTATTCTTCGAGCTGGACTGAGCCTCCTAAAAAACACACTCTTCGTAGGAGGATTAGGACTTGCTTCTGATATTGCTGTAGCTGTCGATGGGCAGTACATACATGATGAAATGACAGTGAGTATTCCTTAAGTTACTATAAAGTTTGTTTTATCTTATTTTCTTGTTTACCTCAATAGATAATTTTGTATTACATTCTTATAATTTTGGAAAATGTATTTTGTTTATTTAATAAAATAAATCCATTTTATTTATAATTATGAATAAAAAAAATATTTTTGAAGGTCCAGGGACAAAACCACTTTACAGAAGTTTTTATGAAATTAAGTAAGCAGTGCCATCAACACCAATGAAACTACTAACACCAAATGGATTCATTTCTGAAGTAGAAACATTCTAACACCCTTTAGTAAAAGGATGTAGTTTCAGGGAATTCAGGGAACACATGCTGTGTGACTTTAGACAAATGCTCCTGAATTTCTTTTTCTTAAAAATAAGTTTCGTGTTGTAAACTGATTTTACTCCTTGGACCCTTTATTTATTTTTAGGCTTTTAATTATAACATTGTATATATGGTTCAAATCATTTTTAATTTTAACTCTTTTTAGTTTTGTTAATACAAAAAAGTCAATCAATTGTCTTCATAAGCAGTTATACATGACAAGAAAAAAAATTAGTTTTATTTCTTCTGGGAATATATATATTAATAAATTATTAAAAACTAAATTTGTTTTACTTTTGAACACCTTTATTTAACTTAAATTTTTTTTTGACTTTATATGAATGTTATTAATAATTATTTCAGCCTTCAGAAAGTACCTTTTTTTTTTTAGGATTAGCTTTGCAAGATATGAGAATTTTTCATATTAATAACATCAAGAAACATATAGTTATTAACTTTTTCTGATATATTAATGGAGTATCTTCTATTTTAAAATATTCTTTCTTATATCACAAAAAAAAATAAACTATATCATTCAAAAATAAACCATTAGTAAAAATGTTTCTTGGTATGAATTTTCTGTAGTTTAGCTACTAAAAATCTAAAATATTTCTCATATTTTGTATTATGTTAATAATTTATAGAAGTACAAGCCTAGAAGATAAAAATTAAAATCAAATTTGAAATATTTTCAAAACTGTTGGGAATCAGACCATTAATTTCTTTTTTTTCTATCAAATTACTCTCTGAAATTTCACTTCAGTTAAAGTGATTCTCTCTGTATTTTGCTCTCACATTAATGATTTTGTAATTCAGAAATATTTACTAATACTTAATAGTTAATCTTATAATGGATTGTTTAATTTATAATTTCCAGTTAAATTGGAGCTGTAAACTTTTAATAAGTCTCTGGCAATATTTTATACTCGCTAATTACAGTTGGATACTTATGGAAGGATTATATCTGCACAATCTTATTTTCCTTGCATTATTCTCAGATACAAGTGCAATCACAACATATATTATTTTGGGTTGGGGTAAGTTCTACTTCAAGATATTTCATACCTATTTGGAATATTGAAATAAACAATGCCAATAAGAATTGTATTCAATAATATCTTAATCTCCAATTTTATATAATAGGCAACATTCTTAATTTCTATTTATAGTCCAAAGTACTATTACTAATTTAAAATAACAATTAGCTTTTCCATTTTAAACTTAAAAGATAATATTATCTCTTATTTTTATACCTGTTATTGATCATCCCTAATAACAGCTAACAACTTATAACTGAAAAAAAACTTATTTAAATTTTTAAAAAAATGTATTTTTCATTAAATCTAATCCTGAAGAGTATTTCTGAATACTCTACAGAGTTTTTAAAAAAATATATATTTTGATAATTTCAAAAAACACCTTATAAAATACGCATTGCTTATATTAAAATATTTCATTGCATTACATTCCTTTTGAAAGTGGTGAAATTTGTTTTACCATAATAATACATTTACATGTTTGGTTTGAATACCTACCTTAAAAAGGCCAGATCGGCTATTCCTACTCTGATTTTTTTGTGCAGTTCAATAGAATTTTCAAAGGTTTGGATATCGTCCTTTTTTGCTCCATAGTACATATTTAATGAAATTCTTCACCATTGGTATTGTTATTAAAATATATCAAAATCTTTGAATTATCATTAATTCACTAACCCTTTTTAACATTTAAAATAGTACCTTAAAACTAGCAAAGATTTCTATAATACTATGTATACAAACAGATGGAATTTTCAAGAAAAATTTTGTTACTTCATTTAGTTGTTTTTTAGCTAATTAATTTATTTAACCATAATTAACAATTGATTCAATAGCTCTTATTCTATCACAAAAAAAAAACATATTCTTTAAAATAAAGACAGAAAGGAAAAAAATATTTTATGAAGTTCAACTCTCACATTTTAGAATACCATTAAATTATTCATTCTTGAGGTCTGAATATACAATTGTTAATATCCTTATCTCAGAGACGATAGCTACAACACAAGCCAGTTTTTTGAGTTCTGGATAACATCTATCCCTCTATTGACATATTTTGAAATTCTAATAGTAAGTAGTCGCTCTTCTCGAATCACCTTGGATGTTTCCAAATTGGAGCAAAAATCGAAAGATTGAGATTTACAATGTATTGAAAAGACCAAATAAAACCTTCACAGGCAAGAATTAAGCAGGCATCAACTTGTTATAACATATTTGGCTATTTTATAAAAAAAATAATTAGTTATAGAAAATATTAATCAATTTTAACCATTTTAAATACAAATTCAATTTTCATATTATAATAATTTTTTTTTTAATATTGATATGTAAAAGTAAATATATTTTTTAGGTTTACCCTTATTGTGTGTTATACCTTGGGTGATAATTAGAGCAACACTTGATGATCGTTTATGCTGGACTGCATATTCAAACCATAATTATTTTTTACTGATCAGGATTCCTATAACTGTTTCCATTCTTGTAAGTCCTCTTTTGGTGACTTCAATAATTTTAGACAAGATTTTATTAACACAGATGTAGGTTGATTTAGATTTAGTTTTAGCTCATTTGCAGAGTCATTGAGAATTACTAATGTAAACATATAAATGTCAATTAAACCTTTTCTTTAAGTATGTAATCATTTCTTTGCATTTTTATAAAATTATTTTATTAGCTTCTTTTATAAAAAAAAAAAAATGGGAATCCTTTGAAATACCAGAATTGAGAATGTAGAAATTCATTCAACATCCCTATTCCTTTCTCAGACATATATCACCTCAAATTCCCTATTTGTTACTCAATTGGTTAAAAAAGACATCTCTAGAATAACATTTATAAGAACAAACTTTACTGTTTCCTAATGTTATTAAATGTACCAAAAATGTATCCAATTATAATAAAATAATGTTAAGTTTTCAAATTACAAAAATAGGGTACCCAGTTTGCCAACCCCAGTTAATAGTTAATTTTTTAATTAAAAATTACAAAATATATATTAAAGTATTAATTCAAAGTAAAATCTGACAATTTGCTTGGATCTCCTGAGGATGGACGTGATACTGCACTTGTTGTTTTTATAATTTAACTTTGCAGCGATAGTTTTGATATTAACTATAAACTATTTGTATACAGTCATTGCTAAACTATAAGCCACAATTCACTTCTTACATCTCCATTTTTTAATAAATAATATACAAAGTACTTAATATATCTAAATTAGACTTACAAATTCTGTTTTTATAATTAGAAGATGTATTTCATTAAATAGTGTTTACAAATTTTTAATTAATCAAATTTTTGTTTTGTTTTTTTACATTTCAGTTGAACTTTGGTCTGTTTCTTAATATAGTAAGGGTTCTTCTGTTAAAACTCACCGCTTCAATATCAGAAGAAAAAAGACGTTTCAGGTACAGGTGAGATTTATTATTTTCAGTTAGAAATAAAAACTGGGAGAATAATTTAAAAATAAAAATTATTCATTCTTCTATTTTATTTTATTTTTTACTTTCACTTACCTATATTTGAAAAACAGAGGAAAATGAAAATTTTCGAATCCGTATTTTCAATGGAAATAAACATTTTAAGATTCCCTGAATCTAAATAACCAAGTCTCGCAAAATGGTCTGTGTGTGTATGCATGGGTGTGTGAATAGTTTACCTCAATACCAAGAAGTGGTATAAAATTGAAACGGCGTAATTAAGGTTTGTGTATTGCCTGGGATGTTAAAGCAGCTTTTCTGTCAAAATCTAAGGAAGTACCACTTTATATCATCAATTTTACATATTTTTACAAATTATTTATTTATTTTTTACAATTAAACACTGCAGCTAGAGTAAATAGAGATTTGTATATATCAGTAAGTAAAGCTAATATAACCAGTGCATCACCAAAAAATAAAATTTGGAATGAACTGAACAATAAGAAGCAATAGGATTTTAGTAACAGCTTCAATACTCTGAGAAATTTAACTGAAGATTTATTTATATTCTTTTTAACAATAACATTTTTTTTTATGTACTTGATTTTTTGTAAAAATTATTTTTCTCTCATTAGTTGCAAAATACTATTCTACAACTACTAAAATATCATTCTGTTATATATTTTTTAAATAAAAGAAACATTGTTTGGCTCTTCTTAATTTTTTATTATGAAGATAAAAATATATTCATTAAATGAATGATGTTGGATTTAGTCATGATATCAATTTATTTGATTTTAGGAGATGGGCAAAATCTACACTCGTCCTTATGCCCTTATTTGGTGTTCATTATGCTATCTTTCTTGGTATGCAATATGGATTTGATGAATGGGTGGAACTTATTTGGCTTTTGTGCGATACAACTTTTTCAAGTTTTCAGGTATAAATCTTTTACTGTTATATTTACAAAGTAACTTTACAGATTTTATTTTGTATATTTTTTGTAAATAGATAACATGTTTAGTTATGACTTGTAGGCTATCATACTCAAATCAATTATTTTTCATCAAAACATTAATTTTTAATTTCCTCCTGAGTCTTCTTCTTTGTCTTTTTGTAATACTTTAAATGTTTTATAAATATTACAAAAATATAATTATTTTTAAATAAATAAACTACTATGTGTCAAAATTAGTGTTGAATATCTATCTATCAATTAATTAATATACTTAATTACTGTTAAGTTCAACATCCATGTAATGTGATGTTACTGCATATATATTGATATACATAACGAATAAAACAATGATTGCATACATTCTTACAACCCATATTTGAATACTATAGACTGAAACTGAATAATACATTAAAACAAATACTAAATAGGAGGTTATAAGAGAAGATCTTTCAAATAATAAAGCATCCGGACAATGTTTTTTTGGTGAGTTTTATCTGTGAATTAGAATTATTGGTTGAAGAGTTTTCTCATTTGTTGTGTTCATTTTTCAATTCATGTATTTCTAAATCAATGAATTAATATTTCTCTCTATTAATCTGATTTAATAACAGAATAAAAATATTCCTGTGATTAATTTTAACAGGGATTTTTCGTGGCAGTTCTTTATTGCTTTTTAAATGGAGAGGTCCAAGCAGAAGTTTTAAAAAGAGGCAGAAACCAACAACAAGCATATAGCATGAGTGAAAAATCATCAATGCCAATAATGGGAATCTTTCGAAATAAGAAAAATAGGAAAAGAGGTGGAAGTAAGTGTTTTTTTTTCAGGATAGTTTTGTTGATAATGCTTTAATAAACCAGCATAAAATTAGCTTTAAACAAATTTAGTTATTGTTAAATGTAGTAAGCTTTGTTAAAGTTTCATATATAATTAAATTTTCTTCAGGCACCTGAAATCGCAATTCATATCTTAAAGAAGGTCCAGGAATAAACTCAGGTAAGTCATTTTTATCGAGATTGAAATATATACTCTAACAAATAACATTTATTAACAATTTCCTCTAAAACTGGCATTTAATCTATGTTTTAACATTTCAAATGCACGACTGAAAAAAGTTCTTCTTTTTGAATGTTTTCCTTAATTATTAATAAATATAACCGATTTTATTCCTGGAACCTAAATAGCTAACTTTATTACATTGCAACAGCAGGATGAATAATACAATATTAATTCATTTAATAAAGCACTCAGTGGGGTAATCCGTAATTGTCCAGAGAAATATTTGCTTGAAGAACACCACGGACAGCATGAACAATCAAGATCTAACCTAAAACACTAAAAATAATTAAATTCAGCATGTGAATTACATTGCCCAAAACACAAAAATGCTTAGAAAATTATATTTTCAATAATCGTTTTTAGTCATACCTCTGCATCACGATAGCTATACATATCTATCAGTTATTAGTGTCTATTCTTGACAGTTATTTTTAATTCTATATTTTCAATTAATTTTATAATGGCATTATTGAAGAATGCTGAGTTTGCTTATATTTATTCGAAGTTTTTTTTTTAAGTCATTTTTGTTTATGATATTGCATGAAAATTATGTTACAAATAAATTTTAGAATCGATCAAGCTGCAGAAAAAAATATTAGTATTACTTATAATTTATTTGTTTTTAAATAAAGAAGCTACTACAATTTAATCTGAATAAAAATACTTTGTTTTTATTTTATGTAGCAAGTTATTTTATATAAGTTAATTATTTTGTGTTTTTAGCCTTGGTACTGATACCTTTTAAACATTTTAATCCCCACACTTTCTTAAATTTTTAATGTTTACTATATTTTAATAAGTTATATTTCAATTCTCTCACTAAAATACAACATACTTATGAAATCATGTCATTATTCAACATACTGAGTAATATATTAAGGATTGATCTCTTAAATAAATGTTTTCCTATTGAAACTTTTTTTTTTCATCTTAATGGGTTGGTAAGGAGTATATGAACATAAGTTGTGTGTGTTTTTTTTTTTCATGTTTATCACAACATCCAATTGATGCAGGCTGCTGCAGTACCTCAAAGGCTACTTGCCTTACCACATCAAAGGACCTGTACCTCTTGTTTATTAATGTCCAAATTAATTAAGGGTACTGAGTGTGCCTCAGAAGGGTCTCTCGACCCTAGGATTGATTCTCGGCATAAGTCCCTCACTCACTGAGCCTCCTTGCTTTTATTAATTATTTGTCAAATTATTGACTTTTTTTGAGATGGTGACTGCTCAAGTTAGTTATGGATTCCAGTATTCATTTGTATGCTGTGTCATCAAGCCCTAAGAAATTGTTCGAGATGTCAGCTTTGCATAAATAGTAGTTACTGTTTGAGATTATTTGCTAGACCAACAATCTGATAATTTTCTCCCTCATTATAATAATACGTCGATTAATAAATATCCAAATGATTTTATAGATAAACTTAAGGTTACAAAATATGGCTTTATGTATGTAAGTATACTTTTGTCGAGCAGGACTCGACTTAGGTCATTTTTCAAGAAATAGAACGTGATGTATGTACAAGGATTCTCTGTATTGATCTTTTTTTTAAAAAAAGTATATTTTTTATTCCATTATGCAATTCATTTTAAAATTTTGTTATGACTGCCAATAAAAATATTATCATCAAACCAATATTAACAGACAAAAATATCACAATTTAACCATTTGCTATGCAATCGATGGATCATTAATTTGTATATTTACAAGTATATAAATTAATTTAAATAAATAAGTAACTTAATGGTAAGACACGTTTATATGATTTTTTATGTTGTATATGAAGTATCAGGGATGGACAAGTGGGCTACACAGGAATAATTTCATTAATTATTCACAATAATTTCTTTTCCTCTAAGGCAGTACTTTTTTCTAATGGGCCACATTGAGACCGCGACTAAGTCCCACGGACCATGCCTTGTTATGAAAAAAAAAAATCTTGTTCTATTAATGACACCAGTTGTGAAATAATCTTTGTGAGACAAATAAATGTTGTAGCAGCCTCGTGTGTGAGTAATTTACCAAATTTCATATTCTTAAATCGTTTTTCAAATTTTACTATCTAATCAAAGAGAAACTTTTGTGGGTCCGAACAAAGGTGCTTGCCTTCAGCGGCAGACCCGGCTAGTTTGGTGACTCCTGCTCAAAGGTAAGTAAGCTGGCAAGCCTGATAAAGGTTATTCACGCTCAAAATGCTTAAAAGTGATGACTCTACACTAATGACCATGTTCAGGAATTAAATTTGTCTTGCTAAAATTTAATAAATGTTAATAATATTTTAGTATAGTTAAGGAGGTCAAACAAGGTGATAGTTTAAGTCCGTTGCTATTTATAGTATATATGGATGAAATTGCTGCAATCTGCAAAAGACGAACAGAAAGGACGTTTCTGGGGCGAAGGAATCTGCTTTCAGTTGTATTTCAGTTTATATAATTAAAATTTCCTTGATAGCAACACATATTTTCCGAGATGAAAGGTTAAATTTTAATTATGAGCACAGTTCTATTTTATGGTTTACAAAACATTGGTTCTTCAGCTGTTATATTGATCACCACAATAGCATAGCAAATGTTGTTGGAAATACCTGTTTTTTATTCCTTAAAATATCTCTTTTATTAATATTTATATGCCGAACAATTAAAAATGATTCATAAGATTAACAAATTTAACAAACATTGATTTATAATAATAAAACAGGTTTGATAAGCTTTCGGTTTGTTATCTTTGTTTAGATTATTTATTATTACAGATGTGCTAGACACTGAATGAACCTGATTCAAATCTTGGCTTGTATAATTTACTTTGAGCTAAAAACTAGTGAGTTTTATAACAACAGAAATATATGTTGTTACTTGCTTCAACCACTCAACTTCAAAGTTGGTCACTGTGTGAACCAGCTGTTAGAGCATTGTATTGGCCTTTTTGGCACTCAAAATACAGCATCATCGAGAAATAAGACTTTCTCAGAGTGACTAGCGATTAGTAGATCATTTGGGAAATGATGTATTTGAATTTAATAAAAGATCTTGGCATTCAAGTTTTCTATTTAACTCATCACAATCATAGTTTACATTTTTCAGTTATAATCCCATCTTCTTAATCATATTATTCTTGTTACTGCTTAAAATTACTAAAATACATAATTGTTCTTATTAACAGCTATTTGTCATTTTACAAATGGGCTAAGCCTGAATGGAGTATTTATAATCCCAATCAATAAAAAAATAATTATGTTTAACCACTCCTTAATTATTGATTAATTGAAAGTAATGATCAAATTGTTAATGGTTAACTGAATTCAAGTTATGACAGAGGAAGTTTGTATAATGGAAAGATAATATGCAATCTGTTCCTCCTCCTCCCCAGCAATTGGAATATTATATGATTATATTGTATTGAAATATTATGTTAAATGAGAGTGAATCGAAAATAACTATTAATTATTTTTTTTTATACATTTATTGATTAATATAATATAAAAACCATGCTTTCAGCAATTCTTAAAGTAGTTTCCTGTTCTCTACCCACTTTTCCCACCCATTTCAAAGCTTAGATATTCTCAGTTCACAAAAAGCTTCAGTGCAAATTGTCAATCAATTGCACAAAATGGAAATGAAATAGCTGACAAACTAGCAAAGGAAGGAGCGATATCCCCTCAAACTCTTCAAATCTTCATAAATAAAGCTGCTGTATCACAAAGGTTGAATGATGACTATTCACATTACAATCCTGCAGATGATTACAAAATGAGCAGAAAAAGGCAAGTTTTAATCTTTAGACGCAGAACAGGCCACAACCTCTATGAGAAATTTAAAATTGAAGAAACCCCTCTCTGTAGCTATAGAACAGGCTACCAGAATACACAGTTTATCCTTCAGAAATGTCCTGAGCTCAGAAAACAAATTTGACCAAATCTCACTGACTTGGCGATGAAGCTCTGTGGTGTTTAGGGGATCTCAGAAAGACCCTCGAGTTTATACTCTTAATCCTGGGCCTCACCATTTGAGAAAAGTTAGAAGAAGAATTGCGCTAGTGCTTTCCAACTTCTTTCAAGTCATTCTCCTCCAATTTTTCTTTCAAGAATGCTAACAAAAATAGTCAGCCACAAGGGGACAAATCTGGACTATATATAAGGTGCTTTTTGCTCAGTTATTCTAATTTATCCAATTAGAGCCAGAGTAGAGAAGGATGTGATTTCTAATCGCCATAGCTCTGTTTTTGAAGACATTTTTTGCTGGCTGTAACAAAGGGCAATAGTAAGCCACATTCGTTGGTCAGTAATTATAAAGAATCAATCAGTAAAAAAAAAAATTGTTGCAAATACTTTTCGAGTTGAGACACGAGTTTTTGCCTTCATTGATTAGCCTGACAGCTTATCCTAACTTTTTTGATGATCAAGGAATACCCAAACCGTTAGAAAAAGTGTGTAGATTATGCTAGAAAGTACCTTTAAAAATACTTCAAATGAGGTTTGTGTTTAACATTAATCAATAAATTCATAAAAAAATATTTATCGTTTATATATTAAATTCATCCTCGTATATGTATATACAGGTATGATTACTAACTAATTCCAGAATACCTATTTCAAATGTATTTATATGCTTTGTTATTAACCATAACGGTGTGTTATATTATTGTATTTTATTTCTGACCACATCCTCAAGATAATAATTATCATCTCATTATCAAAATAATTTATTTTTTTTATTTTTAGGCACTATTGAAAGTTGTATGACCAGTTTCATATCAAGTGTTACTACTGATCCACAAAGACGAATGACTTTACAATCAAATGATGTTAATCAGGTGAGTAAAATTTTATTTCATAGCTGTATTCTGATGATATTTTATAATTGTAAAAACATAGGTTACATAAGAAATTACTATCACTTTCTGAAAATTAATGTCATATATATTTCAAAGGATTACTAGAACCATTCAATGTAGATTGAGAATTGAATTTTAGATATGTTATAATTTTTAATGGATAAAGTGCAACCAGTTTGTAAAATTTAAATGACCACACTTGTTTAGTAATTATGTTCTTGCAGGCCTCTCCCCCAAAACGGTAAAATATAATCATGTTTTATAGACAAAAATATTAAAAACTATCTCTTAAAGTATTATTGTTCATGTAATTACATTTAATAGGACTTCAAGAATCACTTAAACACCATTTCATATAGATAGTTAATTTCTTTCTTTAATTTTTTCAAATTAATTATCATTATATATATGAAAAAAAAATATATTTTGGGCTGAAGCTCCCCCCCCCTCCAAATTAAATCCTGGATCTGCTAGCTAGTGGTTTCAAGTTATGTAGAGAGACAAATTCACTAGCATTGTATTCTCTCAGGGAATATGTTCTGCTCCTTGAGCATAACCTCCCAGACTAAGTTCTGTCCACAAGATTCTCCTTAAAGTTCTTTGTCTAAATTATCTCATATTTTAGAACATTTCTTCAAGTGATTTAATGTTGTTTTTTTTTAATTTATTTACAAAGTGACTATTTTTTAATATACCATGGCTCACATGCTTTTCCATATTAATTGATCTGTACTTACATTATTCAGGAAATACATTTTTAACATCCTTTCCATTATCTCTTACTCCGGCACATAATGTGAAATATTATGCGGAATAAAAGTATTTTATAACTGCCTACATATTTTGTTGCATTAATTTAATTTACTATTTGAGATATTGCGCCATAACCCCTCAAACTCACTTCAAAGTCTTAATTCCAATTTTTTTCTAAATATATTTTGTATTGTGTTTCCGATTCGTGAAAAAAATAAACTTTTATTATGATTAAGTAAAATCATAAATTCAATTATATGGACACAATCATTTTTAATGGTTTTATAATGTATATGAGCTTTATTTATAATGTAATAAAAAAATATATATATTTTTTCCAAAAATTTGGAAAATCTATAAAAATTTATTTAGAAAATGAAATAAGAGTTAGGATCTTTTAACTAATGATAGAAGATTTCCATCAATTTTCTTATTACCTATGACAAAGAACATATCTGAAAATAGGATATCATTTTTCTTCTTAATCTAATTTTAAATTGTTTAATGAAATTTTTCATTGTACTTTTTTAGTTAAATGAATCTAAAACGGAAGCCTCTCTTCTGCAAAAAGGAAACATGCAAAAGAATGAAATGGACATGAATAATTAAGTTGTATATAAAACTGCAGTTACCTTTAAATATCTATAAGTTTATACAGATGTTTGTAAATATGAGCTTAAGTGTTATAAGTGTTGACTTCCTTATGTACAAATATTTTAAAAAATAGATGCCTCTCTAGATTTAATTTCATACTTTTGTTTAAAATTTTAAATATATTTTATAAGTACATATATTTTTTAATTTTAAGTTTCACATTTTATTTTTTATTCTAATGATAATATTCCAAAGAATATTTGTGAATTAAAATATATATTATATTGCTTAGTAATTACTTCCATTAAACATGTTTATAATGTTAAGGAAAAAACCAAAAGGACAACAAGGTAAAGAAAGACTTTACATGACATTTATAAAGTAAATATATCATAAGTAACTTCTTATAAGTTGGAAATATCTTAATTTTTTAAAACTTAAACCTAAGTTCCTTTAAGATAATTGATAAGTTTGTTGCTAGTCCTATTACATGTTCTAAGGCCTGCTCAATGACTGTGGCCCATGTTACCAACAATGTGAATATTTTAGAACAATTTCTTACCACAGTGTAGCATATGTTGTATATTAAATGTGATATGTCATATTTTTTCTGTTTATCTAGGATGATAACAATTATTTTTATTGTAGTTACCAAATACATGTATGAATTTTTAAATAGTTTTAAATGTGAGAAAAAGCATTCCCCATTTAAAGTATTATATCATTCATCTATTACATATCCTTAATTAAACACACTTGTGATTGTTAATAGTTTTATTTGTTACCAAAAATTAATAGAATTGATGTTGTTCATATTCCGTTAATACTTCAATGTTAGTTTTAATCGCATAGAGCAGTTCAATGTTAATAAAATTATATGTGTTGACATCATAGAAATAAAATATATCAAGTATATACATAGTTGTATTAATGTTTATTATTTCTTATCAGAACTATTTTGTTTCCCATTTAATTCTGTATATATTCCTTTTTAAATAATCTTTCCATCTTTTTATAATAAACTAAATCGATAACAATCCCTTTTGCTTAGGTTTAATAAAACCAAAGAGGGTTACTCACATATTTAAAAAAAAAAAAAAGCAACAAAAATGGAATCATAAAGTCATTGTTTAAATTAAAATAAACATAAATTTTCCAAAAAACTTATCATGTCAACCTCTTAAGGTGATTCCTTGTTATTTCTACAATTTATTTATTGTTCCACCTTTATATTTTTGCATATCCGTTTCAATTTCATCAAATGATACATCGTCTCTTTTCAAGATATAAGTCTTGAAGTTTTGTATTTTGTGTTTGCCAACAATCTCAATAAAAACTGATATACAAACAAAAATAAAATCAGAAAAATCTAATTTAAAATATTTATCAATGAAAAACAATACTTTTTGTTGTTATGATTTTCAGTAAATCAATTAATTTAATTTCTGTGTTTTCATCATCTTCCTTGATTAAAATTAATTATTCAGCAATATGCACTGTTAGCGACACTTTTTTAAACTGTTTGTCATCACATAATTTCACTGATTTAAAATATTAAACAGAAACTATAATCACAATATTCACGCATACCACATGAGTATACTACAATTTCGCAGTTGTTGATTCAGGTAAGCTTAATTATTGACCAACCATATGCATGCCTCATGAAATAGCTAGAATGTAGAGTTAAAATAAGCACCCGGAACATTTCTAGCAATATTCACTTAATGAACAACCAAACAAATATAATTTATATAGCTATTTTTAATTCATCAGTAAAAATATACTTATTAGAAATGATAAAACTTTCATTAATGTATTTTTGAGGAAAAATAAGAATGTGTTATTTTCCATCTTGCAAGAATAGTTTATCTAAAATTAAATTGTAGTTTACAAATTATTTCTGATTTGTATAACAAATAGTATTATACTTGTCATTTTTTGATAAATAATTGGTTCAATTAAAAATTACGCGAATAATTAATAAGAATAAACAGACCAGAATTCAATTATAACTAGAAAGTTATAGATTTAATTTCTATAAATAAGTATTCAGAATCTTCAACACATCATTACAGAATAATTCCCACAAAAAATGCTTTAAATGATGCAGCTACTTCAAGTGTTCTCAGTCTAGCCAACATAAAATTCCATTTTTTTTTTTTTTTTTTTAAATAATAGATAAAGAAAGTTTATTAAAAATCACGATTTGTTTTTAAACAAAAATAAATCAAAGCAATTCCTTATTATAATGAAGTTCTATTTTATTATGAATAACCTGGATTATTTTAAAATAACAATAAATATTACTCATTTTCTATTAAGATAACTCTGATTTTTCGTAATTATTCATTATATTTAAAATTTACAACAATTTTGTAAAACAACGACGATATTATAACCAGATTACTTTTTGATATTATAAACAAATTATTTTTGTCTTGTTTATATCGTTATTTATCCATCAAGAGAGACGATTCAAGACTAACTTGATATTTCTCTTTTTCTGTATGTACTAGCTTTGGCATTTTAATAAATTTATTGTCTTCTTGTATTCTAATATAGATTACTTGTTTTAACTTTTTTTTTAATTAGATTACAAAAAAAAACAGTTTAATGTATCATGTTTTAAAATAAATATTTTTATTATTGATAATTAACAAATTTCAAAACTTTTGAAAATGAGTTTTACGCTACCAATTCTGCCCATTGGGAATAATTAATTGATTGAAATTTTTATCCATTTAAATTTTTTTTATAAAAACAACCTTATCTTTTTATTATGTTTTGACGTAAACACACCAAAGTGACCAGGTATGACTACAAGAAGGAGGGCTCAACTAGTCTATCGGAGAACCTACGGATGAGGATTATTGAAAACCCAAATAAATGGAAAAAGATTATCCGGGAGGAAACAATTGAAGATTAGAGCAGACGGTGGGTGACGACTCCGAAAGGCAGTACCTTAAGAAAATACTTTCCCACCGTTGAATCTCGGTTACAGGCGAAATGGGTCCTCCCGGACTATTGGGTTTCACAATTTCTCACGGGACATGGGGGTTTCAGAGCTAAACTCCATGGCTACGGACAGGATATAGATCCCCACTGCCCCGATTGTGGTGTTCCGGAGACTGTTGAGCATGTGGTCACGGCCTGCACTGTTTTCGACGAATTAAGAGCGAGGTTAATGAGAACCACGGGGATTTACGTCCTCACTGAGGAGGAGTTTCCTCAGTTGGTGAGTGAAGAAAACTTCCCGCGGTTCAAAGAGTTTATAAATGGCTGGAAGACGGCGGTGGGCCCAGCTCACTTCAACCTAGGTGCACGCAGGAGAAGAGGACCAGTCCCAGGAAGACCTCCGGATTCGGGAAGCCAGGCCTAAAGGAGCCAGGAAAAAGTAGAAGAGCTAGCTGTGTGCACAGCTTAGAATTTTGTAAACTGATATTATGGCAGTAGTGTGTTATTATGCATTAATGCTTAACATCACACTACTGCATACACCCGTGTTGCCCTGGTGGCATGGGAGGGTGGAAAACAAACAAAACAAACAAAAAAAAAAAAACACACCAAAGTTCGTTATAGAATTAAATTAAACTTTGGAATTAAATTAAACTTTTTGAAATATTTTAAAATTTCAGGGGGAGAGTAGTTTAGATTTTTTTTAATGAATTTCAAATGTGTAACATAATTTTAAACCATTGATCCATTCTCTACATGACGTGAAAATCCATGCAATATTTGAACAATCGTTTCCAGTTTTCTTTCAAAACTAATTCTATTGAGTGAATCTTTCTTCCAGCTCCACAAAAACAATAAGATCCAACAATAACTGTGGGAAACACAATTAGCTAACAACTATGTTTGCCCCATAGTTTGTGAAATGTCTAAACACCTCTTCACATCTTACCAAAGCTAGAAAACTCAATTTAAAATTGTTTCTTAAGGTCTCTCATAGATTCATCAAGACTTATTTGTTTTTTTTGCATATGTAATTATCTGTTCGGTGAGACATATATCGCCCGAATTTTATCTCATACGAATTATCATTTATTTATTAGCACCATCGGCAGGACACCAGATTGTCTGGCTGAAGATTCTCAAATCTCCCATTTGTATAAAACGTGGTACAGCGACACTGAGTTGGGCACATGTAATAAATGTATGAAAATTACATTCGTTGTAACTATCAATCATGTGATGTTTTTTGCACATATAACACATCTTGTTGACGCGAGGCCTAAAGCTTCGTAACAAAAACCTATTAGATTAAAGACCAAAAACAAATGAACTTATACAGTGAAAACATATCTAAGACTACACAAAAAGATATTGTTGAGGGTGCCAAAGATGTTAAAGGATTTTGGGTTAAAGGAATTTGGAAAGACAAATTTCTAATTTGGTGACAGCTACGCCGTTAGTTGTGAAATTAGCCAGCAAGCAGATGCAGAAGCTGATGTCAGAAGTTACTCTCTCCAATTGATGATATTAAATCTTTCGTTCTTTAACATTACAATAGCTACTAATTCCTGGGAAACTTTGAACCAGAAATTTTTCTATGTTTGGACACAATGTACTCCAATTAGGACTGGAAATACGAGTTATTCTGCAGGTAACCAATTTATTCAAGCCAGATAGAGAAAATTGACATTTATCTCAGGGGTCTACCATGAAATAAATTTGTACCCATGAATGTATCAAATCTACGCCGCATCTGGCTGGAGTTTGCTTAGGTGACAACTTAAAACCCATGCCTTCAAACGTTTCCGTCACCAGGAGCGTATTTGAATTATGATTTTTCTTCGCCGTCCTGTTAACTGACCTGTTATAAATAAACTGTTCCTGTCTTCAAAAACAATTATTACTTTAAAGTTAAAGTGAAAATAATTACTAAATTTATATTTGTTTGATTGAATTATTGTTTATAATTACAGATCAGTTTTAATCTGAAAGAAATATGATTTCATTAAAATTTTGTTTCTCAAAAATTGCTGCCCAAGGAGAATGCTTTGTCTACTTTTTCTTAAATCTGTCACTGTTTTTAACTATGGAGGAACTACTCATTAATACGTTATTGGATTTGTAATCATCCTTTATTGTTAACGTTAAGATAAAAGCAGATGATTTCAGTTGTAGATTTGCACGAATGGATTTAAACTTTTATAGTTAAAGAGGAATTATACGGCATACTTACGAGTATAATTAATGCACAACTTGGTTTATTTTCTTCACACTTCGCCTCTAACTTGCAAAATAATTTAGAATCGACAGAGCGGATAGTTAATTGATTTCTAATTAAAGAAATTACTGATGAGAGAGCCGTCATTTGGGTATAATCTCGTCAAAATATTCAACTACAATAGAACTCTGTCGCAGAAGATCTCTAAAAATAATCTAGCTAGTGGTACCCAGAAGAGGGTTTCATGGCGCAAGTTGCGCCATCAAAATTTTTGAGCGAGGATATTTTGACGAGTTTTTAAATTTTTGAGGGAGGGGGACAAATTTTGATGGGATTTTGAATTTTCGGACTAATGGACAAGGGAAAAAACATGGAACATACCACATCAAGTGTTATTGTATATGATCTAAGATTTTTCTAATTCTACCTTAACTTGCTCTGTTTGTAAGAAAATTAAGCAATAAAATATCTTGGAAGGAAGGGAGGAGGTGCTTGCGCCATCGACCTTGGGACGGGAATGGGCACTCATGAACCTAGGAGTTGCTCTATAATGACAAAAAACTTGCTATTTGTATATTAATTGGTATCTGAGTTGATCTGGCGGTTTGTAGTGTGTAATGAGAATTCTACGGGCAATACTTCTAGCATCTGAAGGGAGAAGTAACCTTATATAGCTTCGATCTAATATCAATATAATTCTTATTAGTGTATTTTATTTACTAACGTAAAGGTCTGAGTCCTATGTCTGTCGTGCGATCGTCATTTAATTAACACCAGCTTCAATGCTCAGATTAGTTTTGAGAATTGGATTTTTATCTTATTTTCGTGAGTCAATATGAAATATATAGCTGATACTTACATTTTAACATCTGAATGCCTCGAATAAGCATAATATATTTAAGTATAATGGATCTGTCTTGGCATTATTTCAGTCTTGACTCACGAGTGATAGAACTATCCAGAATTGTTAGACCATTAAGCTACATAACATCCTAATTTAAAACAGATAGATGTAGCTGTTTGATTACAATAAACTTTTTAAGAAATGCGAATCCCCTAAATGATGTGAATTAAAAATAATTTGAGTTGAACTTTAAGATACTGATGGAGATCTCCAGTCCGTCTGTTGGTAAAAGCATTATCCTTCCTTCATATTAGTCAGCTGGTAACCTTCAATGACCTCATATTTCTTTTTAGTTCACTAAGAGAGGTGGCAGAATCTACTATGACTGGAACACCTTTACGCCAGTTATTGGTTGTAATATCCAAACAATTACTGATTGTTCTCACTTAAAAAATAAATAGAAAATAATTAAGTGTACATCGGAAGAGTATCTTGGACTGCCTAATAGGTACTGTTGCAAACCATGGCAATTTTAACAGAATGAATATAGCATTTGAAATCCACAATAATTTGAGTTTGTGATTTCTATACTCGAGACTGAATAAGTATTTATAATTAACTCTGATTGAAAAAATTGTCTTTTGACTATTCTCGTTGAGATTTTAATCTTAAATCATATCTTTTCATTTCAGTTTATTTTTTGCATTATGAAAGTATGATTTTTTCAGAGTAGTACAGTATCAAACATTTCAAATTTAAAAATCTAATTTTATTTATTAAATACTTAGGTATAATGAAAATTGTGGTACTCAGATAGTTGTCTTAACTTGAATTTTTCGTTTTCTGGTTTCAACAAGACTACTGCTCTAATCATAAATGAAAATATATATAAAAAAAAGTTTTTGCTTCAATTTTTTTTACTGTACCTTTTAATTTAATTAGTGAGGCTCATTTACATTAAGTTTTCATTTTCATGAAATTAGTTTGTTGGCTAAGCTGCATGAATTCAGTTCCTAACCTTAATAGTTAAGTTATGGTTGTGAGCTGATGTTAGTTATAATAAATTACTGCGACTTTGGCGTATTTAAATGCCTTATATAGTATCCATAAGACTGTTTTATGACCTCGATTAAAGTATATTTTAGCCTATGTGTTTTGTTTGTGGTGGGTGGTTGGTTTCGTCTAGCGGGTTCATTGGAGGGAAAAGATTTTTAAAGGAAATTATTAATTATAAATGTTTTTAAATATGTCTGGGTATTCGTTGTCAATAGCAGTCGTTTGTTCTAGTAATATGAATCGAAGCATGGAAGCCCATGCATTTTTAAGGTATTTAGTAACATTTGATTGTTATCTTTAAAGTTCTTCAGCTGTGTTTATCTTACCTTTATTTTTTTCAGCAAAAAGGGATTTAAAGTAAAATCTTTTGGAACAGGAGATAAAGTTAAACTTCCTGGTACTGCTGTGGATAAACCCAATGTTTATGACTTCAGTTGCAGCTATGAGGAGATATATCAGGATCTTCAGAATAAGGATAAATCATTGTATCCTTTTTTAAAGCTTATTAATTGATCATTTTAATTATTTTTGTATAGTTTGATTTATTCATTTGTTATAGATGTAATGTACTTTATTATTTCAATAAACGTTTTAACTCAAACTTTTGTGTTATTTATTCCTAACTATTTTATCTGCCTTTGGAAAATCAAATATTTAATTGTATATAATTTTAAACTAATGTGAGCCTTATTAGTTCAAACTTTAATATCCTATCAAGAATATTGAACATTTTTAGTTGCCATAAGGTTTTACAGGTCTACTAACTTTGTCTATTTTGAATGAAAATACTATTGGAAGGAATAAATTGATCATCCATGGATACAATTATGATCAATGTCCTGAAATGATGTGGTACTTTAGTTTATTAATTTAGCTGTGAGATCTCTTTCGACATCATAATGTTCTTGAAAAACAGGATGCCAACTAACTCAGTTGTACTAGTCCTTTTAAAGTTCTGTTGAGGAATTTTTTATGTAGTCTACTCCTGTGTATATTCTGATCATTTTCATTAATGAAGTTTTGAATCTTCTTCATTTTTATATTGCGTTAAAATGAAGCTAGATCATTGGATTGTTCTTAATGATTTATTTCTGGCTTATTTTATTTTTAATTAGTCAACATTAGGATAAATAGCCCATTATTCATAATTGGAGCATGAAATGATAAAATGTTTATTCTGATTCTTCATGATTGGAATAAAAAATCCTGAACTCTTATACAGTTATACTCAAAATGGGCTGCTGCATATGCTGGATAGAAATAGAAGAATAAAAACAAGACCTGAAAGGTTTCAGTCATCATCCGAAAAATTTGATATTGTTATAACATGTGAAGAAAGAGTTTACGACCAAGTTATAGAATGTAAGTATATTAATTTGTTCATTTAAAATATTTAAATTTGTATTTTATTATTATAGTGGTTAATGCATTATATTGATTCACAATTAATGTAGTTCGCTGTATATTTTGCAAAGTTCTGACATATTTCTATTATGATATTTGATTTAATTACTCCTGAGAGATATATCTCAGATGTTTTTGATACCCTTTCTATAGGAAATTATTGGTTAATTAAAAGTACAGCATTGCTTGAAAAGTTGTTTATATGTTTCATCAGCTTTTTTATTTAATAGAAAGATCTATATAGTTTTGATAAAAACTGTATTTTTTTTATATATGTTTGGCAATCAATCTTGATTAACCAACTATTGATTCCTATGTTCTGTGATTTTTTTTAATTTTGCGCAAATATTCACTTCAGTATGTTTTAAATTGGGAGGTCTATGACATATTTATTTTAAACATTCATTCATATCGTTTACTTAAGAGGCATCTGTATTTTTAAAAGTTTAAATGTAAGATGTGACATAAATAAAAATTTTATCATTGGTGTTTAATATTGATAACTAAAATACAATTGCATTAATATGTTTTTGAAATAACACAACTGATATATTTGTGATAAATTATTGTTTCTCACATTTCATTTTATTAGAATTTCAACTGAACTTAAAATTTGTATGAATTTGATAGAATAAAAACAGTGGCGCATCTAGAACATTTGGGACACAGGATTATTTTTATTATCTGCAAGTGTAAGTGAGACCCAGGGCAGATTTATTTTTGAGGATCCCTAACAGAAACAATAAATAGTAATAAATAAAAAAAAAAATATTTTGTTTCAAATATAATATGAGTAATTAATAAATATAATGTTATGTTCTATGCTTAAGCTCATTAATAAATTTGTTTTTAGTTAATGTGTATTAATACGGTTAATTATATAAATCTAAAAAGAGGAAATGAAAGGCTTTTGCTTCCAGTGTTATTGGATATTGTATCTTTTTGATGTTTTATGTACTATATGATTTCACCCAAAAATGTCTTTAAAACCGTGGTTTGGCTCTATGGGAATATGTTTAGAAAGAAGTAAGGTGACATATCTAATTAGGTTGAGAAGCAATCATGGAAATACAAAAAAAATTCTTAAATTTGATAAAAATAAAGGCGTCACCAAATTGTGAGCTATGTGATATAGTTGAGGACTCATTACATTTTTAGCGATATACTGTAAGCGGTTTAGCAACGAGAGGAGGAGATATATTAAGGGGTCAGCACTCGATATTACTAAAATAATAAAAGAGCTAAATTGAGGACACAATCAACTTTAAAAACTCTTAAGAAATATTAAATTACAACTTTTATAATTGAAAAAAATAAAATTAATTACTAGCAAAGTAAGATTTTTCATAAAATCTTGAGGTCATAAAAAAAAATATGAAGTATTCTTTTGTTGCATAGTTTTTTTATCTGTATCATTTATTTAGAACTCAGCAGTTCTTCAAAAAGAATTATTATGTTTCTTCTTTGTTTAGATTTTGAAAATAGATCTCCTGAAGATAGTGCGAGTGTTCATATAATAAATTTTGACATTCAAGATAATCATGAAGAAGCAACAATAGGCGCTTTCCACATTTGTGAATTTATGTCATTGGTATGTTTATTAGTCAATATGTGATTTTATACAATAATTCATAGGTTTATTGAAATAAGTGTGCTGAAATAGCTTGAAAGCTTATTTATTTTGCCACATTTTTAGCTTGATGACCTGAACAATTCATCTGTTCTGTTTGATGTAGGTATTATATTTATTAAATTATCTTAAAAATGGTATTATTTTTCTTTGATGTTGGTAATATGCCAGCAAATGTTACATTTGATGCCTCACCTGGGAGAGAAAGAGTACATGTGATGTGGATATCATGTTGTATGATTTATACCATCTAAATAGTTTACCTTGAAATATTTATGTCGAAATCATAAAAATGATTGGGTTGACTTGTTTATTGTTCCAGCAATGTTAAATGTTAAATAAAAAACTGAGAAATTTTATTAGATGTTGTTTTTGGTTTAGGAGCAAAAAACTGCTGATGGTTATCATTGCCCTCAATATTACGCTAATTGAATTATTTTTTAATCTTAAAACTAATATTATAAAAGTAAATATATTTTAAGAAGGGATAATGTGTGTAAAAAAAAATTATAAATTACTACAGAAAAAAATGAAACAGAATATAGTGTATATAGAACTTCAAGTCAATGTATCACGAATTTGTGAGAAAAAATTATTTAATTCAGATTAGTTGAATTAGTCCTATGTTGTTAATGAATTGAATGATACTATTGATACAATGTTCATTGTCAGTTAATGCCTCCCAGAGCTGATAAGGTACACCATATATTTCCATCTCTCTCTTGTAGCGAGAGAACTCCTCAAAGATATGGTTAACAATTTTATTAGTGATCCACATTAAAGATGTAGAAGAAAAAAAATTACACATAACTACTTTTGAGGCAGCATCCTGTACTTATCTGAAAATGTACAAAGTTCTAATTGCTGAGTTAAAAGCCTTGTGTTCACAAAACCACATTGCAAATTTCAAATTTTTTTTTCTTTATCGTTATCATGAGCTGAGTACATCCTTACAAGTAAGACGTTCTCTGTCATTTTTATTTATCAAGTATTTGTTGGATTGAGAAAATTTGACTAAAATAGATGTTCAACTGGATATAACTTCTGAATAGAAATCAGTATGTGTGAGTTGTATATTTATATATGTAAGTTTTAAAATGGTCATGAACATTTTTTTTCTTACTATTTTTTGTGTCTCTAATGTCAAATTCTCCCTTATAAATTATATTCAATTGTAAAATACCAGTGGATATTGTTAATTAATACCATCTATTTTGTTTTTATCAATATGCAGTGCTCCTTCTGCAGTGATAGTTTTCTAAAGCTTTAACTTAGTAAACCAGTTTTTGTGTTTTCTCTTTATTTCAAAAATGGTTGAAAAATGAATTACTTACTAGTAACCTAATGTCTTAAGGGAGCTTTTCCAGTTTATAGCTTTATGTTTTGTTTACCAAAGCAATTTGATTTCTGTCGGCTGAGATAACTTTAAAGCGACAATCACTTCTCTTCGTTTAGATGTAGAACAAAAAAATATTTTTTGTTTTTTTGGGCCAAAGTTGTCTGCAAGGGCCAAAGATACCCCAGTTGACAGTACTATATGTTCTTAATTTTGTTTTTTAATAATAGTGCATATTTAATCTTATGATTATTATACCTAACCAGGTTATTTTTTCCCTTGAATTATTAAGATGTTCAGAATCAATTAATTACTGTAATTAGTTATTACATTATAACCATGAAATATATTGTTTTAATTATGTTGCCTTTGGATTTTTTATTAACATATATTCTATCAATTCTGTTGAAAATAATTTTTATGTTTCCTTTTATTTTTTTTTAGGTAGCAACATGTGAAGATTTGGATAATGATATGGATTCCTTGATACATTCATATGAAGAAAAAGTGCATCGAACATTGTTGCACTGCGTACTTTTTTATTAAAGACTATTAACTATAATTTTTTTATGAGCATATGTATAAAGTTAATGCTCATTATAGAAAAACAATTATTTACTTTGGAATGGAAGTTTGATCGTAATTTCTTTCATATGTGTAATTATATTTTAAATTTATATGTAGCCCACAATTTAAGTGCTATTTTTCATATTTCTACTGTTAAATCAATATTGTGAAAACCTGATATTTTATTCGGATAAATTGTATTATTGTATCTTTATTTAAGCGGAATTTCTGTGTTATAATCGTATACAGCATCTATAGAATATAAATCTTTACAAGATAAATAAGAATAAAATCCTGGCTCCTAACCAAATTTTCAAATGAATAGTTGCTAATTTTATTATTATCTATTGTATTATTAATGGAAAATTAACCAGTCAAGTGTTATATAAATTTTCAGTATATTTGAAAATGTTCCAACTGAATCATACTATAGTAATTTATTAAGAAGATTATAATTTTAAAAAGATTTCTGTTCATAGTTCTACAACGCTAGATATTTTATTTTCTTAATTATTGGAATGTATATTTTTACTTATTTCATTGTTTGAATTTTTAACTGAAAATACTTATCAAAAAAGTGACTTAAATTTGAAGTTAAAAAAAAAAATTATGTATATTAACAAAATCATTGGTACATTTTTAAAAAATTGTGCAAATTATTGGCTTCAGTGTTCTAATTTATAATAATTATCCTGAAGCTTGTCAATTAATAAAAATTCACATTTAAAAAGCTTTCTAAAACAAATTGTAATACTCATATAGTAAAAGTTTTGTATTTCTCTTAGTTGAAATGAAATTTAAAATACTTAAATATTGATTCAAATTATGTTTTTATTTTATTTTTTTAAATAAATGACTTACCAAGACTTACTAGACAAATATGTTATGTATTTATTTTATTTTACAAATCATGCCATAATTTTTTTTTTTATTTTGTTATATCTTTGATCTAAAAAGTATATTTGTATTAACTGTTTTATTTATATAAATAGTATTCATATATTTATATTTTAAATGCTGTATATTTTATCTCCATTTTATCATGTACATTGTATCATGTACTTCAGTCATATCCTATTCTCCATCGCAGGGGTTCCCTGTCTTATTGTCACTGAGTACTACTTCTACGTTTTAAATAATTGAGGGTTCTGTAGCCTGATTTGATATTGGTATTATAAGTGCATCTCCTTATATTTACATAAGTTTGTTTAACAATAGGTATTACAATAACTTTATCCAAGAAAGTAATGAAGTCATTTAACATAATTAATTTCATATAACTGCAGCTGTATGTAAAATGATGGAAAATAAACCAAAAATTTTACAAATGAAATTTTATCCATCAAAGTTAAAAAAATTCAAACATTATGAAATAAAACATTCATATATAGAGCTCATGCAGGAGTTGATTTAGTCATAGGTGGGTGTCCCAGGATGTGAAGGAAAAATGCCGTGAAGAGTTAGAGAGGACGAGGAACCAATGCTGTAATATAGCAGAAACAGGGAATTTACTGGTTAAGTGGGAGGATTTTGAGCCAGGCTGCACAGTCTTGGCATCCATCAATGTAGATCCTCTATGTACAACATGTGGTGTTGCGCACACTGTAGAACACGTGGTCATGACCTACACCGCATTTGAAGCAATGAGAGCCATGGGAATCCCCTTTCTCACTGATAATGTATTTTTTATTTTAGTCAGTGAAGCAAATTCTCTGCTGGTCAAGGAATTCATAATAGGGTGGAAGATGGTAGTGAGTCCAGCTCATTTCAATATAGGTGCTCGCAGAAGGAGAAGAGGACAAAAGCCAGAAAGACCTCTAAGTTCATGATCATCACACTAATGCAATATACCCATGTTGGTATGGGAACGTGGAAAAAAAATAAATATGGAAATCATTGTCAGAACTAGATGAGGTGACAGAATTGTTCATGATATATCATATGGCCTAGCCAGTACTAGGAGAATGCCAATCTTTTGAGAGCGATAATATAAAAGTGCTTGAATTAGTCAAGGAGTGTGAAGAGTACACCAAGTATCTTGAAGAAAGATTAATAAGAACCATTGAAATGGAAGCCCAAAATATAATAAAAGACACTTATGATCATTTGAAAGGTTATTAAAATCTCGTCACAACAAAAAGAAAGTCATTGAACTAGAGGTATTACCAGGTATGGCATTATAAGGTGCAACCTTATTGTGAGCACATGCTCACCTTTTGTTTTTTGAGAAGTCTAAAACTAACCTGGAATTTTCCAGAAGTTCATTTGAAAAAGTATTTAGTTATTACAAAGCTTAACATGAAAAAAAAAAACATAATTGAGATAATATTAGAGAACAATTTTTATGATAGACTTTACAACAAATTGGTATGAAAAGTCGTATGAAAATATAAATTTTTGATATATAACTTGCATCATTTTTTTTTTTTTTTTTTAATATTTATATTTTAATTTCAGTGCTGAATTGCAAAGTAATTGTCAAATTAGTAATCTTCAGATTAAAATTGTTGCTAAAGGGTGAGTTTTCTGTGAAATTGGTTGCAATAGATGGTCAACATAGCCACAAGAATAGATAAATAAATGTTTCTAACAACCATAATCTTAAATATTAAAAAAATAATAATCTTCATATTTCTATTTTTAGGTCTTTATAAATATATGTAGAACATCGAAAAATGAAACATCTTCAAAATAATGGAAGGATTAAATATCTTAATAATTATAGATAATTGGAAATCACATTCTCACCATTTTTATCCTTTAATAAATATTTTAAAGGAATAAATCCCCAAAGCAAAGATGTGCAAAATTGTTTCAACAAATCGATAATGAATGAATTTGTACCTTTTGAGACCAAATTGATTATTTATAATGCTGTGAGCAAGGCTATTGTATGGTATGGAGCGTAACGTTCAGAGATGGATAGGTACGGTCCAGTGTAATAGTAATTCAAATTTTTTATTGAAATACCTTTTAACACTCCAAATTATTTCTTATATTTCGAACCATACTAGCACCTTTCTTGATACCATTAAATTTCACTTGAAATAAATATAAAAATATCTTTCATTGCCCCAGTACAGATATCCTAATCTATTACTTAATTAAATAATAAAAAGAAAATATGTTTTTATAAATATGAGGTGTGTCCTACCATATTTTATTTAATAAAGACAATTTTAAAAGAAATAAGATCATGGGTAAAATAAAAATAACTTTGATGAACCAATATTAGCAGCATAAAATAGCAAATATCACAAATTGTATAAGCATCTAAAGCTCCAACCAGACTTGTGTAGTAAAAGTAAATTGGATCCTAGGTACCCGACAATAGTGGGAGTTAATTGAATAAGTCTACTATACTTGAACAAATACAGGATCAATAACCAGATAAATTATACTAGTGTAACCTTACAACAAAAGATATTAATCTTTTTATAACTATTTTTTCCATTGTGTATGGATTTAATATAAAATATTTGAATAGCATTAGCTGTTTTACAGTTTATGTTAATATTTAAAATAACATTAGCTGTTTTACAGTTTAAAAATTATTCTAATAGAAAAAATTGGAACAGTCTTGTTGGTTATTGTGGATTAGGCTGGATTTACAGTTATAAATTAATAAAAAAAATTGATCATTAACTAAATTAATCATTAACATCCATGATAAATGTGAAATAAAGAATAATTATACAACTATGTGCTACTTTGCTGCAGACCAATGTTTTTAAATTAAGAATGCAAAGTCTATGGGGATGCTTCAAAGAAAATACCAAGCAAGAGCAAGCTAGACCCAGTACACCATTTAATGACCCGTCAGGCAACTGGAGCCTTCAGGACTAGCCCTATTAATAGCCTAATCTTGGAGGCCGAGTGGTCATTAGTACGACACAGACACTTCCTTTAGTTTAAATTCTTAGGCTGCATAAAGACGACTACTTGTTTTTTAATTTCTCGGGGTACAAATTACCAACTATCCGCCAATATTCAATTCTTACACACTACCAAAGTTTTTCAAATCAATCACAAACTCATTACACCACTGGATAAATAGTAAAGCAGGTTTTGATTTCTCTCTTAAACAAACAACAAAATCAGCTAACCCACCAGGAGTACTAAAACAGGCTGAGCGGGCTGAAAGTCGAAATCAATGAAGAGAGATACAAAAACCTGGAAATGAAAAAAAAGTCCATGTTCTAAGAAGTCAATAACTGAAACTAACATTATTTCATTGTTGTTTGTTGATTGAAAATCAACCTAAATTTGTATAATGGAATTTCATTTTCAATGTTCCTTTCTAATTCATTATTTCTAAATGTTATTATTTTATTTAATTTTAAATAAAAGGATCCTTGGTCCTATCCTTTACACAGTTTATACAGCTGATATCCCAACCCATCCTAACACTGTCATCACCACGTATACCAATAACAAATGTATTCTTTCAGTTAATAACGATCCATCAATAGCATCCCAAACTCTTCACACATCACAACCCTTGAAGAATGGTGTCAAAACTAGAGGATTAAAATAAAATCCCATCAAATCACCTTTACCCTTCGTCGTAAACCTATGACTTCCTGTCCCACAGTATACTTTAATAACACTCCACTTATCTCTGTTGAACAAATATGATACCTAGGACTCCACCTGGACAAACATCTCACTTGGAATCCTCATACTAGACTGAAAAGTCAAGAAACAGCTCAACGTTTCCACTTACTCCAACACTTACTAGACAAACAATCTAAGCTTCCAATTAATTACAAAAGATTCATATACATGACTATAATAAGAACTATTTGGACTTATGGAGTTGAGCTGTGGAGCTCCACTAAACCTTCAAATTCCTCTCGCATCCAATCCCTACAATCCAAACTTCTTCGTAAAATCCTTAATGCTCCTTACTTTGCCAAAAATAAAATAATCCATAAATACCTTAATGTTCTGTATGTTTCCGATTTGGTCCTATCCAGATACCTATTCTTACATAATAAACTTCATAACCATCCAAATCCTCTTGCTTCTAACCTTGCTTACTCTTAAATTCTTGATAATCCTCCGAGGTGTCTGAAAATAAGATGGCCGCGTGATCTCCTTTTGTAGATATATTATTTGAGTGCTACCAGTGGCTAGTTTCTCAACAAGCATTTTCATGTGATTATATTTCTGTGTACACATTTTCTTGATGTATTTATATTAATTCAGTTGTAAATATCATTTTAAATAATCAAAATATGCATTTATCATCAAATATGCACTATAAAATTTGACTAATTGCATCTGGATACACTGATTGGTGTACATATTTTATAGCAAATAAATTATGCAACAGCATAAAAAATATGGGCCTTGGTTATTATCAAGAGGTATTTCTTTATCTCATATTTTTTATCCACGATACATGTGTAAATTTATTAGAAATAAAGCTTTATTATTATTGTTTATTTATTTTATTTTTTTGGAATCTATAATTTGTTAAAAGTAACTTGGCTTCTTGTTAGAAGGGTTTTAACTACTCAGAATGAATTCCAATTAACTCAACAAAATTATAAACAGCTTTTTTATTTTATAATAATATATTTACACTATAAAAATAAACAAATAATTAAAATAAAATTTTAATACAGCTGATAACTTAAAATAGGAATTTACAAATGTTGCATGGATTAAATTTATTCATCAAGATATCTATATACTCTTCTTAATTTTTCTTTTTTGTTTCTTTTCTCTTTATGATTTTTCCATGGTTTACTCCCATCAGCAGCAACATTTGATCTGTAATTAAGAAATTTCTAATCAGAAAAGTTCAGTTTAACTAAAATAATAATTTTTAAAATAAGGAGAAAAAGAAAAATACAGTTGGCATCTAACAATATAAATCTTATATGAAGTCAATACATTTAATTTGGAGGGACTAAGAGTAATGAAAAACTTTATGATATTTTTTTCTAAATTATTTTATATATAAATCGTAAAAATAATACTAATGAAATCAATATTTGCCAAATTCTGTGGTTGACTTCTATTACTCTTCCAACAGTTCAATCGTTCAATACTTCTAAAAAGGTATATTGTATGTTCAGTATGTACATAAGTAATTTTGAGAAGAGTTTATGTTCATTTATATATATATATATATATATATTTTTTTTTTTTTTTTTGTTTATTTTTTAGTGGTTACATACTACTTTTAAATAATGTATATAATGTTTATAAGGTAGTTTTTGGGCAGATTTGTATTTTATTTTTGTATTAATTCATCGTTGTTATTCTAAGGGGACTTAGTCCCAGAATAAAGTACAATTTTCTATTTTATTCTATTCTACATAAGTACTGCAATTGAAATTTTTTAAGCTCATGATTTTTTTTTATCACCAAATAGTCAAATATGCACTTTGTGAAAGAGGGATCTTTCCACATTTTTGCATAATCATAAAACAAATGAGAGATTAATGGATTATTTAAGTATAATGAAAACAAACCTATTGAAAACATGATAATATTCATATAAATTTATTAAGATGTAGCAGCAGTCCTTTTTTGGTTTATTATTTTCAATAATGAAACATTGTGATCGACCAAAAAATTCAAAAACATAACCCCCTCTCAAAATTTGAGGTTTCACGTTTCAAGATGCGTAGAATTCGAAAAACGAATAAAACTGAATTTTTTGTCCGTCCGCCGTCCGAACTACTGAATGAACGAACTACTGATGAAGGAGGATGATCCTCCTTCATCGACATTACTCTCTGCCTTTAACTTTCAAAATGGCGGCCGAAAAACCTGCGTTGCTATAGACTGTAGCTCCTAAACGAATGTACAGATTTCAATGAAACTTCGCTAAAGTAATTTTCTCGACGTCCTTTACATTTATCTATATAACATACTTCAACGAAAAGAAGCTGGAAAAAAAGTTACGAGGGATGGTAAAATTAAATTCCGAATAACTCGAAAAGTTTTTACCTTTTTGTTGATATTGTATATAATTTTTTTAAAGTTTATGAAATTTCCTAAAAAACAAAAAAAAATCGTTAAAATCGGACAATTAGGAGCAAAGATATGGTCTCCGGTTTTTTTTTATGTGTTCTACTCCAAATGTGTTATCCTTGGTTTGGTTTTTAAATTTTAAATGTGTTACTGAACTAATGATATTTTTTTTTAGCATATTACTAATTATTAAAGAAAAACAGTTTAGTCCAATAATTGGAATCTCCTTTTGTTTTTTTTTCTTTGTAACTCGGAAGGTAATGTTACTTTAGATGTATAATTGTTTGGAGATAATAAACCATTGTGAAATCATTTGCAGCGTTTTTAATTTTGAAACGATTAATACCACTAAGTTAGGTAACCACCATTAGATTCTCACTCATCTAAAAGATTTTTAAAAAAGCAACACTTTTTTCTTTATAGGATGGGATGGCCGAGCACTTTGGGGCGTGGTCCCAGAGTACTCGGTTCTGAATGTTGTAGGTTCGAATCCCAACTGGGTCAGTTAATTTTCATTTCTTGGCAGCCTCTGGAAATGAATCTTGACATTCCCAAACTGGTCAGTACGTGGCAACAATCTCAAAGTAGTCGTCAGAGGTTGGCAAAAAAGACCATGTTGTCCACTTTCCCCCCACCAAGTATCAGTATCAGTAAGCAAAAGTTTCAATAAAACTTTCACTTTATAATTACGATCTAAAAAACATAATCTTAAATTACTTGCATACTTTCATATTATTATTACATACTTGACATCAGCAGGTCCTACTTTCTGAATTCCCTTTTGGTGAACACCTTTTGGATTTTTATTGAAAAAAGCTTTATCTAAATCATCACCAGAAACTTTTGTAACCTGTAGAAAGAAAAAGAGGAATGAAAATAATTTAATCACATTAAAAAACAAACTAAGCAATGAATATAGTGAAAATTAACTAAATTTAAATTTAAAACTTAAATTAATGATAATAAAATATGAATTAATTAAAGAAAAAATGTCAATATTTCAATAAACATAAGAATGGCGAATCCATACTATTTTGTATCAAAAACCCATTAATTAAATGTTGTAATAGTATTTCCATGAATAAAATATGCATGCTATTATAAATATGAATAGTATGTCTTAAAATTGAAAATGTTTTTATATTATCTTTAAATTAAATATAAAAAACTGACAAATGAGGTAAATAAAAGAATGGTGGCTAGTAATTGTTCTAACAGTGCAACAATGATATTTTTAAGTCATCTATCTGCTGTGGAAAAAAAGTCAGATTGTATAAAATGTTGATAATTTTTTGAAATGTGGATAGTAAAAAAAATCTGAATGTATTTGAACAAAAGATACTGAAAAATAAATGGTACAGTCATAAAAATATGGAGATTTTAAAATAACCAGAAATTCAAATCACTGCAGCAAAATATAAACTTGATAGATTGTTAAAGCAAACCATGTTGAATGGTTTGGCCAAATAACAGATATTCGATAACAGGATGCAAAACAGATTGCTGCATGCTGTTAATAGTGAGGAAAGAAGAGTTAGATAACCATGCAGGCGATGGTTTCAGGACATTAAATAGGATCCGTCAGTAGTAGGAGTGGTAAGATGGAGAGAGATAGAGAGGGAGAAATATAGAAGAATGGAGGAGAGTTGTCAACTTTGTCCAAGGTTCACTTAAGGCAAAAGAGCTATATTGTAAGTTAAATATTAATTGAATGAGCACCTTTAGAAATTACTTACTCTAACAGCACGTGCCGCTGGTGCGGTTAGTTGTGATGGTTTTTTATTTTTTATTTTAAATTTATGAAACTCCTCTTGAGCTATTCCTGGAGGTGCAAAGCAATATAACAACCGACCAGTAACAAAATCTTTTAAAATATAACGTGAGGCTCTTGGATTATCAGGTTGACCATTTTGTGTCATGAATCCGCGGCAATCTGAGAAGTAAGAAAAAAAAAATTAAAATTTAAGTTAAAAAAAAAAAAATTAAAAAACATGATATGTTAACTTTTACTCACAAGCATAAGAATTAAGAAGCTCTTCTGATGTAGGAGGTCTTTCAGGATCTTCACCTTCAAGAGGTTTTGGAATCATTATACCATATTCTGATTCTATAACACTTCTTGGAATCAATGTGACTAGGAGTGATGTAGGAGAAACATGATCCCTCATTTGATCAATCGGAAGAATACCATTAAGTATCATTTCAGCTTTTGTAGAAACAAAACTCGGCATTACTAAACCAGGACAGTCACACAACATGACATCTTTCCTTAGGTAAAGAGTCTAAAAATAAAAAAAAAACTACTGTTATTTATTTTTTTATTTTAAGAAAGGAAGAAAAAAAAAATAGAATTTAATGTTTATATATATTTCAATAATAAAGATACCTGAAAATGTTTTGTTTTTCCTGGCGTAGCAGACACGGAAACCTTTTTATCTGCTAGTAATGCGTTAATGGTTGAACTCTTCCCTACATTTGGATATCCAACTAAACCAATAGTGACATGTCCTTTTGATTCAACACTATCGAAGTCTTTTGTAAAACTTCTGAAAAACTCTATCAACTCCTCACGTCCAAGCAGCTTAGATGAGTTCCTTTCTTTTTCTGAAACTTATGAAAATAAAATCCATGAAAACAACTATCAGAAATATTAATAAGATGTTTCAAAACACATCAAAGATAAGGCATTAATGTTTTAAAAACTAAATAGGTAAGAACCTTCTTTCATTATCAACAATCCAGGGTACAAAAAAAAAAAAAAAAAAAAAAAAAAAAAAGAGAATAAGAAAGAGTACTTTAATTCTGATAATAAATATATACATATATTCTTCTTATATCGCACTATATCTTGTGTGGATATAAGGTTAATGGGGGACTAGTCTTACATGGTGAAACATTTTGAATTTGAGTTTTGAACGGAAATAAACATTTTGAGGATCCCTGAGTCCCAAAACCAAGTTTTGCAAAATGGTCTCTATGTGTGAGTGTGAACAGTGTAGCCCTAAAACAAAAAGTTGTACAAAAGTATCTTACAGAAAAACTTTTTTGCCAAAATGGACTAATCAGAAGTGGCACTTCATCATATCATTTTTACAATGTTGTTGAAAAAAAAGCTATAACAATTTTGATTAAACTTGTTATATCAATGTAAAATCAACTGATCATTAATATCTGGCAGGCACTAACTTCATTGAAATAGCCTAACAGAGCTTAAATGCCAAATTTTCAAAATGTCTTCCTCTAACACACCTTTAATTTTGTTTATTTTGTTTTAGGGGAGGGGAAGGTATACAATTATATCTGAAAACATTGAAATATAAATAATTATAAGAAAAGATAATTAAATATACAAGAAACCAGTTTCAATGCAATAAAATTAATTATGTAAAATGAGTTTCTACCTGTATCTGTATTTAAGTCTAGGTCTTCTAAATTATCTTCAGGACTGCTTTCATTTTCACAGCTTTTATATGAGGAATTTTCGTCACTGTCACTATCATTGTTCTCGCTAAAATTGTCTTCTTCAAGAACATCATCTGCTCCATCAGAATTTTCATTGTCAGATTCAACTAATTTTTCACTGTTCTAAAAAAACAAATAAAAAATTTAATTTTTTCCAAGTTGATAAACTTGATTCAATAATATGATCATACTATGAATCCCAAATCTTTGTGGATAAATATCCCAGCGGTACTGCCCGTGGTGGCTCGGCAATAATTGTAAAACAATACCACTATCCTCTTCAAATAAATGCCTTACAACAAATGCAATTATCATCTATCTCCATTGAAATCGATCACACCAAAATTTCTATTACCAGTGCATACTGCATACTGTCCTATGAGACAACAAGTTCACAGGAAATGTTTATGGACATATTTTCCAGTTTAGGACCTAATTTTTTAGAAGAGATTATAACTCTAAACATCCCCATTTCAGATATAGGACCCATAATTTTAGAGGAAATGCTCCTTATAGTACATGTTTAGAACTGGACTATAACTGCACACCATCTGAACCGACGTACTGGCTGACAGACATGAATCGTTAACCAGAATTACTTGATTTCTTTATAGCTTCTAACCTACACACACTACACCATCATATCTCTATGGCTAACAACCTATCATCAGACAATTCAGCGGTTATTTATCTTTCTCTAGACACATGTTTACTAGCAACCACACACTTACGCTAACTCCTGGACCAATATTAATTGATAAATTTCATTCCATCAATAATAATACAATTGACCTAAACACAAGATTAAAGGCGGAAAATGATATTGACAGTGCAATAGAGAAGCTTACTAAGACTGCACAAACTGTAGCTCGGTAATCAGCAAACAAGAACATGATAAACCGTGACAAACATTACTTACCCCCGGAAATACGATCACTTCTAATTGAAAAATGATGTGGAAAAGATATCACTATCCCAGTGACAAACAGCTAATAAACACACTATCTAACAAACTTAGAAAGCTTATACAGCAATACAAACAGGAAACATACAAAAAACATCTGACCACCTTACAGACAAGTAATAATACTCTCTGGCAAAAACACGAAAGATACTAGGTACCACCAAACAAAGATTCCTCTACGTAAACCTCTCTACCTCCTCCCCCTATAACTGATTCAGACATAGAATTTTGTATTAAAAAATTACCTCGGAGGAAATCTTCTGGTTTTGACCTAACCACACCTAATATTGTACGGCTTTTACCCAATAAAGCACTAATTTTCCTGACAGCTATTTACAATTATATTCTTCGACTTATTTCCTTTCCTCTAATGTGGAAATTTTCAATCATAAAAATCATCCTAAAGCCAAGCAAACCTTCGGACAAAGGTCACGTCTAATAGATCTATCAGTCTCTTACTCTTATTTCCCAAAATATTTGTAAAATTGTAATTAAAACGGCTCTATCCGTTCTTAGAAGCAAACAATGTTATTCCTAATCTCAAATTTGGCTTTAAACCTGCACATTCTACAATACAACAATGCCATATAGTGATTGATACAATTGTTGTGGCATTAGAAAAGAAGGAATTTTGCACAACAGCTTACTTAGACGTCTCACAGGCTTTTGATAAAGTGTATCACTTTATAAGCATAAAGTATATTTTCCCTTCTATGTAACTAATAAATTACTTCATAAAGACCTACAAATACCACATGTGACTGACATAATTAAGAAATATTACAAAAAATTGCATGATTCCTTAGCTGACCATCCTAATCCTCTTGTACAAACATTACTAACAGACACACTACCACAGAACCCAACAAGGACTCAAACACCTCTGGAGCAGGGATCTGCTACATTAAGAAGAGTCACGTTAGGAGTACCTTCACTGGGAGAGGTCTCCAATCAAGCATTCACGCTAATCCGGAGAGGAATTCCGCTAACGAACATCACATTTACAAAATATGCCAAAAGGCATTTGTAAAATTGCTCAATTAATAATTTATTATTATTATTTGTGGGTTAACAATTGGAAGAAATAACATATGTATGCAACACCCTCTAAAATATGCCTGTTCATTTATTGACTGAACCTCAAAAATTCCACTAAGTTATAGAAAACTTAATCAGGAAAATATTTAAAATAAACAACATAAATTCAACTATTAAAATGAATAGTTGAAAAATTTCCAAACAAGATCTCATACAAAGAGTATGACGAAAATAAATTAGTTGTCTGTTGATAACAAAATAAACTCGGATAAACAAGACCAAACTGTTCTCACTACACATTTCAGACAAACAAGATCAAATTAGACAAACAAATTCAAATTATATTTATCCAAGATAATACATTGCAAAAGAAACTATTTCAAACACAATATTAAAAAAAATTATTACCAAAGAAAAATACAAGAATTATGCTATAAACAAAACTTCATAATATATATATGTGTGTATATACTCTAAATAAAGAATGAAATTGTTTTAATATTAATATTTAAAGCACAAAAGAAAACTTGCTATTCAAGAAGAATCAAATCAATTTAGATAATTGCAATTAGATATTTAATAGTTATTTTATAATTTTAATTTTTAATTTAATTGAAAAGCAATGAAAAAAGCAATAAATAAATGCTTGATATCAACATTAATGTGCATATAAGTTTACCTCAGAGACCACACCAGCTTCTTTTTCTTCATCCGATTCCTTCAATTCCTCAAGAGCAGCATCTTTAGCTGAGAAAAATGCTATTTTAATTCCAACATCATCAAAGTACTGGGCCCATGCTCTTCTTTGCTCTTCAGTCAAGAAATCTGACTTGTTAAGAAGAAGAACATTAATTTTCTCAGGATCAACTTCATGCACATATTTCTCAAGGTCTTCACAGCGAAAAAGTAAAGGGTTACGAGCATCCAATATCTGAACTACTACATCACTAAAATTCATATAATTATCATAAACAATGAAATATTAACAGAAAATTTAGCCTAACTAACAAATTCAACATTTAAATAGTTCAAATATTATTATAATGTGGTAATTTTCATTAAAAAAGTAACTAGATTAAAGTATCATATTGATAAAGCACTATTAATGGATACTTGACACTATGATGTAAATTAGACAATGCTGATCACACTACAAAAAAAAAATAAAAATTAATAAAAGGCTTAATGAATCTGATAGCTCAATGCTGATATCACCAATTGAACCATAAAAACAACACACAATACTTCTATTCACTGATCGTTGTCCAAACCCAACTTCATAAAAGCAGCCTTAACACAATTCCCCCACCAATGTCTCAGTCAACCCACTGGATCTTTACCAGTTGACACAACACTTATTAACCATTTAGGAATTTGTTCTATACTAAGTTCCACAATTTCACACCGCCATTTTTTTATTTTCCACTACCATATCACCTCAATTATATTTACCAGATACAGTTCACTCAATTTGGTATTGTATAGCTATCTAATATGGCTGACTTGTCCTGCTTTAATCCAAACACTATAAAATACTTCATTTTCAAAAACCATTATTCTTCCTTCAATAAAAACAGAGGCATTTTACACCAGTAAAGACAAACGAAAAATAACAAGCATTTCCCATCTTTAACCAAGCCTTGATAACCTCATAAATTCCATTATTCTATACACAAATACTTAAATTTCTTTACTCGTTCAAACATATCTCATTTATATATATATATATATATATATATATATATATATATATATATATATATATATATATATAATACATATTAAGTACCATTCTTTTTAAATATCTTTAGCCAACACATATTGTAATAAGTTATATTTATAGTTATATACTAAATAACACTGTAATGCATATAATATGCTTTTGCATGGTGTATGCACACTTCTAAAAAATATATGCCTCTTCTGTAGGGTTACTACAGCAGAGAGAAAAAAAATATATATATATATATATATATATATATATATATATATATATATATAAGCATAGGCTGACCTATGCTTTCCTATCACGGTCGGAGATATGACGTAAATCCTTGCAATATGTCAATGACCCCTGCAAGCGTATATTTTTTGTCTCATTTTTAACCGAAAAAAAATATTTATTTTTATAAATTTTATGCATAAAATGTTAATTTGATATTTTATTTAAATAACTTTAAAACCTGTATGTTGGAGACTCATGGCTTTATAGTTTGAATTTTTTTTTGAATAAGATGAATTATATAGTTAGCTGCAGCTAACTATATAATTCATCTTATCCCTATTTATTTTAGCCCCATTTCATTTAATTTAGTTATTGTAGTAGTATGAATTTATTTGATGTTGTTTTATTTATTTTTATAGTTTCCATATCCTTAATCAATGGTAAAAAATCATGGGCATACCCGAAGCGTTCAAAACGTTTTACTTTACTACCTAGGTTCATATATTTTTTAAGTAAATATCAACTCTGTAATGGCACATTCTAGTGCTAAATTAAATAAGATTTTCTTGAAAACAGATTTTAAGATTTTGACTAAACTCGTAATATTTATGTAAAATTAAGTGGTCTTCAATGGAGATTGTTTAGAATTTCTTCTTTTAAATTACTTTTAATATTGTTTATTAAAAGTAACTTAATGCTTCACAGTGTAATTAGTAATAAAAAGTGATGAAATATAAACTATGAAATAATTTGACAGTTAACTAATAGAGGTCTAGGGACAAATGGTCTTAAACCGAATAACAAGACTGAGTGAACCTTAGCCAAATCTTCCTCCAAGTAATCCTGAAGTAAATTATCAGTTTAACACAAAAAGTAAGCAAATAGCATTTTAGAAAATTAAATCAGTAAGTAACACGATGAATTTATCCCTATGAAATTATAAAACTTTGTACTTAATGCAACTATTTTTAAAACTATATAGAGCTGTATTGCTTTGATGCACTTAATGAATTTTTGAATAGATAAATATGATCAAAATCCACAAATATGCACTTAAAATTTGAACTCCATCATAAAATATGCATAACAGCTTAGATGAGAGATGTTTATTGCAATTTATATGGAATTTGATAAAACAATATTCCTAACCAATATCTTAAGATCAATTTTTTTTTAATGAAGGGACAAAAACGACTCACTTTAATGCTAATCAACCAGTTTCTTGTATATTATTTTCCATTAAGCCTGTCTATTATTTTCCAGAGGCTTTTCTGGAAAACAAATTAAGGAAAGTAAACTTACCTTCTTTCAACAACTCTCCAAAGTTGTCTCCAGAAATCTAAGTTCTTCTCATATGGAGTAAGAGTGATTCCTTCTTCCTCTTGTAATACAGCAAGGTTCCTCCTCCATTCAAGAAAATTTTCCCTTTCCGCAGTTTGCAACTCTTCAGTAGTAGTGTTTTCATTCCATTTAGGCCTTGATAATTATAATACATGAATAATTAATCACAGAATGCGTAAAAAATTACTAAAGGTAAAAACCATGTCTACAATAAGAAATTATATAATACAAAGATATTATATAAAATGACATTACAGTGATTAAAATCCAATTAAACATAGAACACAGCAACAAAATAATTATAAACTATATAAAAACAATAATCATACCTTCGTGGAATTTTCAAGAGATCTTTCTTTTCAATTTTATTTTGTTCATACTTTTTAAATTCTTCTTTAGATAACAATCCAACACCAACTTTAGGATTTACAAAGGTAATGTTCAATCTTTCAGCCTAAATCAAAATATTTTAATTTTATATTCGAATCAGATAAATGTTCATTTTAATGAAAACAATAAAGATATCTTCATTATTATTATCTACCTGAAATTCAGTGCCAGCAAGCTGTGCTGTAGAGAGAAAGTCTTGAAAAGAATCTTCTTCAGTAACAGATTGGAGATTTAGACGTGCCCATTCATAACCATCATTTAGTTCTGCAGTATGAAGCTACAAAAATTAATTGCTTAGTTAAATTAATAAACAACCATAATTAATAAAATTGTGGTTTAGGGTAATAGGCGTGGTTCATCTACTGTGGGAGACTGGGTACAGTTGTGACAATTTTCATTTAATTGTCCATAATTTTGTTAGTATACCAATTAGCTCAAAGAAAATTAGATTTTATGTGTACATTTGACTACATATAAATAATAAAACTTTGTACGTAAATACAATGGTTAAGTCATAGGAGCAAATTAGAAAAAAAGAGAGGAAAATATCACAACTGATTCCATCCCGGGGTTAAGTGCTTCGTGTCGGTAGTGACAGGTTCAAAAATGCACCAAAATGGTCTATCACTTTTATTGTATTATAAAACAAAATAAATAAAATTTGAGTGCATTTAAATGTTTATAACTAATAAAGGTTGAGGCACACCACGGCCGTGTGTGCAGTTCCTTCTCAATGAAAACCAAATATACTTTCAGGTAATGTCAGAACAACACACAGTCATGTTTGGTTTCATCAAGAAGGTATTTCATGATGGTGAACCAGTTCAGCCATGATGTGGGCATACGAGTCCAACCTTAAGGCACAGTAGCATCTATATAATATATGGATAAATATATAATAACTATATTATAGTTATTATAACATTCTTCAAACCATGACCTCATCACTTATAAATAATACTGTAGGATTTATAGTTAGTATAACATTCTTCATATTACAATCAATCCAAAAAGTTGACAACAAATTTCTAATTATACATTATGATAACTGTGGTAAAATAGAAAAAATAAATAAAAATATCTTAAATCAAAATCGGTGAAACATATCTTCTTCAAGAAAAATTAACATCTGTGTGAGAATCAATATTTGGTCTTCCTCGAGGGTTTTCTGGACATCCAAAAGAAAAAAAATTACTTGTGTCTCAACCATACCCAACGCACTCCTTTGCCAAAAAACAATCGCCTTGACAATAGAAAATTATCTACATACAAAGAAATCACTGCAATTTAACTAGTAATGGATAACTTATAATGAGGGAAAACAATCATTACTGTACCTGTACACATGTAAAAACAATTAATCAAAGAAATCAAATAAAAATTGTTACTGTAGTCCATTAAAACGGAATGAAGGTCTCTACTATTATTAATATCCAGCAACCACTGACACTATGTTAGTATAAAAATTTCCATTTGTTAAATTAAACTATAATCACATCATAAATGAAGGCTCATATAGTATGTCAGTTTAATGACAATAAACAATTTAGATATTTCAACTGTTCAAAGGATGACACGATACTAAACTCACGGTATCATATCGTATACATGGTTACTAATGGATGTATAATGGTGAATCCACAACCCGCAATAATGCAACCGGTCATTTCGTGTCAAATCACTCAATGAAAAATAAATTTTGAAACTGAATGTCAGTCGATTTACATGGCTTTTGATATATCTGTTATACCTACTTAATACATTAGAAAACTATTTTTTCTTTAGTAGGTATTTTAATATCATAAAATGGGATGGCAAGTTACACCTTATCTTAAAAGTATCAGAAAATAGATTTTTCATTTTTCTGACTCAAGCAGTTAGTACTCGTACATATAAGTGCCAAGTATCTCCCAGTGCTCTCTCCATAGCCACTTATTACACTACCTCCCTTTCTTTATTAGTCACAAGAATCGTGAAGGAAGCTCGATGTTCGATTACTTCTAATGCAAAACTAGGTTGAACGTTCTCAGAATTAAATACAAATTTATTTATTGTTAAATATTTATCATTAATTAATTTACATTGCGAAAACTCTGTAAAAAAATTCTCAACATTTCTGGCATTCATAAAATAAAAACAAATGCATTTAGTGGTCGAGTTTGGTACACTGTAAAGATAAATGGCGAAAACTTTCTGACAAGATTGTTAATGTGAATGAAGAGTATAAGTATAGTGCATGTAAACATCAAGAAAACTATAGAAGTGGCCATATAGTAAGGATTGGATTAGATATGATTTCCAAAAGAAAAGATTTTGAAGATAATTCCTGAACCTACCATCTTTAAAAAAATTGACCCTCAATTGTATTTGTTAAATTCCAGGAGATGACATTATACACCTTAATTTCTATTGTTAAAACTATTATACTCATAAACTTTTAGTGGTAACAAAAAAGTATTTGAATTTTAAAAAAACCGACAACAAAAATCCTGTCCCACCGAAGGAAATGTACTTCCGTATCCACTTAAAATTATTTTAGATTCGTAGGAAAACCGGCATCTACAAATATTTAACTTTGGTGCAGTGGTCGGGTGCAAACCAGACCCAAAACGAAACTCAAGACTCTATCGGATAGTGACATGCACAGATATATGAAACAAAATCTATTTGCCACGAGCTGAAATGTGTAGTGAAAGAAACCCAATTTGAAGGGCCTACAAAGATATGTAAAACTAAAAAAAAACAACAGAAAAACAATTGGGCATAACAAAATTATTACTGAAATTAACTCTAGTTCTATTGCATTGTTCATCCTAGTAAACAACCAATCCAGGAAATTGAATCAGAACGGGACAGCTTGTAGCACCTGAATGTAGCAGAGAAAAAGAGACATCCCAGGAGTCCCACTAAACCCTGTTCTATAAGCTATGAAACATATTTAAAATACACCCAAACAATACATTATATCCTTTGACAGAATGCATAAGTCCATTATATATTGATGATATGACAAAAAAGTGTTCAATTGACATGGAATGTGCACATCTATTTTGGTTAGACATGAAAGGTCTGCAATCAGGATCAAGCAGATGTATGTTGTTCTGGTGTGTGATGTTTCATATAAATTTTTAGATCAATAAAACAATTCTCAACCTTACCACTGAGGCTTAGACAGCATGATTAACTATGAGATAACCTGTTTTTTCTTCATGAGATCATACTAACTAAGAAACAATATTGCACCTGATTGTTTAATATTAAAATAAGAAAAATAAAAACAGAGCTTCACCACAGATCATATCACTATGACAGTTTATACAACGTTTCTCTAATCATCTCACGGATTATACACAGTAGTATTTTAGGTTTTTCATCCACATCAATAATTAAGATTCCTTTAAGTTCACTTACAAACGAATCATTGGTTCTTCTACCTTTCTTGGAAAATCTATCTTTTATTAATGCTCTTCCCAAAGACGTTTTCTTCTTCTTATTCATCGTGGTTTAGCATAAACAATAAATTTACAAACATAAACAGTAAGGAACTAATGAATTTGGTTATAGACACAAAGCACGTGAGCGTTGTTAAACGAAACTTGACTAGAGATGGAGAAGGTTCTACTAGTGTTATTAAGTTATTGATCAGCTGTTTTCGAGGGGTTTGATAAATTGATAATGGCCGATTTAGCTTCATAATAATGTTGTATAGAAGATGTTCCATCCGAAATGTGGGGAGCATGTCAGATTAAGTAACGAAAATAGGACTGCAACAAGAATAGCCTCGGAATTCAATCACGGTCTTGTGTTTAGCAGTGAACCTCTGCTTGATGAAGAATTGTTTGAAATTAGAATAGATAAGAAGGTATTGTTTACATGCCCTTCACCGCAATGTTTTATTTCTGAAAAAGAAATTCCGTTTATAATTTTGTTTTTTCAGACTGAATCTTGGATCGGAAGCTTGGAGATCGGGATAACAACCTGTGATCCTAACATTTTGATTATACCTGCAAGTGCTATTGAATTAAATAGTGGGACATGGGTAAGATTTGATAAAATAATAAATCAACTGCATTTCGAATATAATTAGAATGATTTATAAGAAATTAATGATTCCATGCATGAAAACTTAAGTCAGTTTTATGTCTTGGATTTCACATGATCCTCTTGTAATGCAAACACTGTTACTTTCTCAGTTAAGAAATATTAAAACTGATTCATTTTGAAAGTGCTGTTATTGATGTCCATGATTCAAAATTGAATTAATTTTTATGAGCTATTTATTGCATGTGAAACTGTTTTAATATCTTCTAAAGAGTGTTTACATTTATTTTTAATTCTGCTGATGTATCATATCATCGTTAATATTTCAATATATGTAACGATTGGAGAATGTGCCTATGTATCGTTATTTCTTTCAAAGTGTTATTCAGTTTGTGTTAATTTTGTAAACACATATCTACAAGTTCTTTTAAGGTTTCTTATTTCTATATCTTCGGATTTCGCTGATGTACAACTTATCGCCATTTAATTTACTGACAAGTGAAACTTGTGAAAACAGTTAACTACTATCAGTTCTTTTATTGTCGAAAACCTTTCTTACCTGGTCTCATAAACCATTATTGAGCAAACTTTGTCCACTTTACACCTCTGAATATTGTTATGTTTTTTAAAACTAATATCTTTATGATTTAATTAAATCAGTATAGTCAGATTGGTATTTTGTTTGAAATACAGCATCACTTAGACCAGACCACCAACTCTATAACTTCATAATATAGATCTCTTTTCTGGCTCTCAGGAGTGATGGATTTTGACCAATGAGGTGTCAAAAGAAGTGTGATAACCTGGCAAAGTGATTAGTCCCGTTTTCACCCCTTAAATTCTTACTGCAACTATAATAAAAGTGATTATCACGTTAGCTGCTGAGCATGATATCTCGTAAATATCTTTCCCGACAATATCAGTCCCTGGTGACTGACATTAGTTATGAAGTTCCTAATGGCATCGGATGCTACATACATCAGTTTTGAGGTTTACCGCTTTCTTTTGACAACAAAGGTGAACTAAATTCCTTATTCACTGTCTCTATCTGTTAATTGTGCCCTCATTAATGGCCAGCAATCATAGGAGTTGACTCCAATGTCCAATGCTGTTTATATGACGTTTTTTATTATTTCATTAAAAAGGTGTTATTTTTAGGGATATAAATCTTAAATATTGAAAATAAAATGAGAAAAAGTTTATTTATTACATATAAATATAATTTTCATTATATAATTTATACATTGGTTGTGTAATACTTTTTCAATGTCAATATAAAAATGGAATATAAAAAATCAAAGATAGATAATCAGTAGCATATTGTAGCAGTGCAAGAAAAATATAGGAATTTATTTTAAGAAAAGGAAAAATTAAAGTGAAGTATTAAGTTGCTAACTGCTTGTGATACTGGCTGAAGTGTGGCAAACAGAATCATCATAGTCGTCACAGAAACTAGTGACTGCTTATTTTCTTATTTGTCTCCTTACTTCCTTGGGTCTTTCTCAAAGATTGGCAAATGCCACTCTGAGTACTGAGTACCAATTATTTTACTAAAATACTGATTTTTTTTTTTAGTACCAAGAATTCAATTACTACTTCAGTTTAAGTTAAACAATTAACTGAAGGTGTGATTAAATTCCCAACAGTGATTTAATTTTAGTAAAATACTTGGAACTCGGTACTCAGAGTAGCACTTGCCAAAATCCTTTCTTAGTTCTCTATAGCATTCTCTGCACTGTTTTAGCTGTTTTCTTCCCTTATCTGAAGGCTTCACAAAAGAATAGACATGACGCATTACACTTGGTGACAGTGGTCGGCGCTGAGTTGCGAATTCATCAACGAGAACTGATTATAATTTTGCAATTGTTATGGGTTTTTCTTTTTTCATATAAAAGATGATCCAAGAATTGACCACTGACGTCCATGTAGTAATATTATTAGTTTAGTAATACATAATTCAAGGTGTGGACCATCAGACCATTGAAACTTCAGCATTTCTGTCAACCAAATACTTATTAGGAAATGCTGAGTTAAGATGACAAATGTTCACTTAAGGTTACTCTAGGCCTTAAGAAACACCCAGTCAGCAACTGTATCAGTAATAGTGATACAAAATATTTGTTAATAATGAATAAGAATTTAGTATTGACAGAGATTACCACTTATTTAAAAAAAAAATGTTTATTTTTTTCTTGCGAATTCGTTTTTAGTGTCCTTTAAAACTTAAATTTGAATTTTTATAGTAATCAATAATTGCAAATTTTAGTACTTGATTTTCTTAGAGGATTTTTTTTTCCAGCCTTAACTATAGCATTTATAACTTCTCAGGATTTTCTCCAAATTTAGCATTAGTGCAATCAATAGAAAGCTGAATTACTGCTCTTTTAAACCATATCAATAATTTAAGATTCCATTCCTTTATAAGGTAGAAAGTAAGAAAAACTTCTCAAACATTTTTATTTTATATCTTAAGTTCTATTTTTTGTTTAAATCAGTGGAGTTTTCCTGAAGTTCTCACAATTTTCAAGGTGTTTGATAAAATTTCAAGGGGTACAAACCCCTTCCCGTGGATAAAAATTTTAATTTTTTTATTTCTATATGAAATTTGTACTAAAAGATTTTTTAGGTGCGAAAAATGAATATCAACTTTGTTTCCCCTTAAAAAAATATACGCGCCCAATGTTGTTATGTTGGTTGGTCCAAATGGTTTCATACTGAAATTATCTGCCAAATATGATATATTTTTCTAAACTGGCCTGGAATCCAAAGCAAGTCTCCAAACTTCATCCCATGAAAGTTTCTTTGATATATAGTAAAATTTTAAAACTATTTAAAAAATATGAATTTTAATAAATCATTCACACAATACTTATTGCATGAGTTGTTCCTCTTATAAAGCTCATTTCATAACTGAAATGTCATTTATTGAACAAGATTTTTTTTTTTTTCACAAGCCATGGCCTACAGAACTTATTTGAGTTCTCAATGCAGCCCTGGGGTTTGGTGGAGATCTCAAGATGGCCCGTAGAAAAAAAGTTTGGAGATACCTGATCTTGAGTTACAATTATTTTTAGGGAGAAACAAAGTTGCTAGGACACATTTCTAAAATTTTCAATGTAGTGTCACTGAAAAAAATTTGGTTGAAATCAGTGACCCACTGACTGTTATATCCCTTTTGATTCAGATCATTTGCCAATGAAGACTTACGCATTTAATGTTTTTTTCTCACTTTGTATTATCCTGCAGAGAATATTGTGTCAATACCCATCACCTGTTTGTGGACTTCAAAGATGCTTACGATAGTGTATAGGTAATACCTCTTTATCAAGCTATGAGTGAAATAAACATCCCATAGAAACTAATTTGATTGGTTATATTAACCATGGAAGAATCAATGTATGTGGTGTACGTACAGTGTGAATTGTTAAAGGTGTGGTTTGCAATGAATAGCATGAGATAGGGTGATGTGTAGGTGTGTTTGCTGTTCAATATTGCATTGGAGAAAGTGGTGCAGGATCCACGGATCCAAATAACAGGCACAGTATTCATTGGAATGGTTCAGATCCTTGGTTTCTAGGATAATCTAGATACTGTTGGCAGATCCCAGACTGCAGTTTGTGAGGCCTTCCTTGCTCTAGAAGCAACAGCCGGACTACTGCGACTGTGTGTAAATATAATAAAAACCAAGTATATGACCTCCAAATGAAGACCTTGACAGATACTGTGCAGTTTGTGTACTATGTATTATTAATTAATAAAAATACTTTTAGAACAAACATAGGTGTGCTTTATTATTTATTACCAAAATATACCATATGTCTTGTCTTTATCTAATTAACATGTGTAATCGATTATATTATAATTTATAAATAGAGGTTACAGTCTTATACTACACCCTTCCCTTAATTCTCACAAAGTCTTTTCGGTGGCTTCACCAGAGGGCCCAATCTGGTGCGCATACCTTCACTAGTTGGAGATGCTTGCTGAGCTTGATCATTGGAAATTGACAGTCCTGGTAACAGCACGGAAGAACCATTCTGCGGGTGAAGCGGAGACTGTCTCTGTTCCTCCTGAAATAAAGCATTAGAGGGTTTGAGTAGAGGATCAGAATCAGAATCAGTTGGGTTGAGTAGAGAATCAGTATTAGGTGTGGGGAGGCGTCTTAAGTGGGATGAGTTTCTTCTATATTCGTTGTCATATTGGTCTCTGACCAAGTATGATCTTGGTTCAGGGAGAACCTTTGTAATAGATCCTTCTTTCCATCGATCCTTCCATTTAACATAAACTGGTTGTCCCATCTTGAACTCCTCTGATTGACGAGAAGTTGAGTCATAATATTTTTTACTTTTGAATTTTAGAAGCTCCATTCTTTGGCGCACATCATCGTCTGGTATTTTGGGAATAAGGAGATCAATGCTTGCTGGCGCCCTGGTTCGCAGTCTTCGACCCATCAACAGTTGGCTTGGAGAATACTCGAGCCCAGAAAGGGGAGTTGTTCGGTATTCTAGAATGGCTTCATAAATGTCTCCTCCTGAATAAGAGACTTTCTTTATCATTTTCTTCGCGACACCTATCCCTTTCTCCGAGAGACCATTAGATCTAGGGTAGTGAGGACTAGATGTACAAATTTTAAATCCCCAATGTTTGGCAAAAGCTGCCATTTCTGCACTACTGAACGGGTTGTTATCACAACGTACAATTTCAGGCGTGCCATGATTACTAAAAAGAATTTTTAGTTTTTTGATAATTTCAGTAGATGTTTTATTCTTGAGCGGTATAATATCCAACCATCTTGAGTAGTAATCTTCTACAACCAGAAAAATTTTCGAATTACACTCGCCTATGTCCATACCAATAACTTGAAACGGAAATTTAGGAATTTCAGATGTTATAAGAGGTTCTTTAGGTTTATTGTTTTGGAAGGTTTGACACGTGGAACATGAATTTATGAAGTTAGTAATGTATTCGGACATGTTTGGCCAATACATAAGGCTCTTAATACGGGAAACGGTTTTGTTTATTCCAAGATGAGTTTTAGAATGAATTTGGCTTACGAAGTGACGTCGGAGACTCGGTGGTATAATAATTCTATCATTAAAAAATAAAATTCCTTTATTTTCTGAAAGTTCGTCTCGGAGCCCATAAAAAACCTTTATTTCACGTTCCAAACACTTTTTATGAACTCCTTCCCAAGCATTCCTGATATAATTTCTAAGTTCACTGAAATCATCCCTGGTGGCTTCTTGCAAGATTTTTATATCCTCTGATGGCACCGGCAACAATTCTTCTAGCGTAATGGCATGAACCACCTGAGAAAAGTCTACGTCTTCCGGTCCCTCTTCTTCAAGAAAGGCTCTTGATAGCATGTCCGCTATATACATTTTTCAGCTTGGTATATAGGATAATAAAAATTTATATTTTAATAGCTTCAGTTGCATTCTTTGGAGTCTTGAAGAATTTTTATACAGCTCCTTATTGAGCACTGCTAACAACGGTTTATGATCCGTGAAAATCTCAACATTATTATGACCGTAAATAAAGTGGTGAAATCTATTGACCGAGAAGCATAAGCTAAGCATCTCCTTCTCTATCTGACTGTAATTCTTTTCTGAGTCATTAAGACTTCTTGATGCAAATACGACTGGTTGCCCGTTTTGGAGTAAACAGCTTCCAAGCCCATCCTTACTGGCATCACATTGGATCTCAATTTTAAGTGACGGATCAAACAGTTTGAGAGTGGGTGCATTACAAACTAAAGATTTTATAATAGAGAAAGCTTGCTTCTGTGAATCAGACCATTGCCACTGAGCATTCTTTTTGAATAATTCCCTAAGAGGGGCGGTGACTTGTGAATAGGCTGGAGTAAATTTGTTCAAAAAATTTATTGCACCTAAAAATCTTTGAATTTCCTTCGGAGACTGAGGTTCTTTAATATTAGAAATGGCTCTTACCTTGAGAGGATCCGGTTTGATTCCATCTGCTCCAAATACTAGTCCCAAATATTTAACTTCATTTAATTTAAACTGGAGTTTCATGCTATTAAATTTAATGTTGGACTGTCGGGCCCTTTTTATAACCTCTTCCAAACTTTTAGCATGTTCAATTTCTGTTCGGCCCGAAACTCTTATGTCATCGAACATTATTTGCACTCCCTCTATGTCGCCAAATATTTTTGTATTTTCCCTTTGAAATATCTCCGGAATATTAGACAAACCGTAGGGCACTCTTAGAAATCGATATCGACCAAATGGGGTATTCATAGTGCATAAACGACTCGAATTCTCATCTAGAGGAAACTGATGGAACCCTTCCTTCATATCGAGCACAGTAAACCATTTTTTCCCACTAAGGTTAGCAGTTAGTTCTTCTTGAGTAGGTATGCTATAATGTTCCCTTTTTATGTATTTATTTATTATTAGTATCAAACGTACATTATAGAAAAAATAGAAAAATAGAATATAGAAAAATCATCTTTATTCTGGGACTAGGTCCCTTTAGAATAACAGTATTGTTCATATATATTAACTACAAATCTGGTCAAAAGACTTATTACAATGAATAATGACAAAATACATGTAATACATTAAGTATTAATTAAGCTCTTAGGATAAATTAACGAGGACAGTTGGGTAATAGGGGTTCAGTACTACAATATTGGAGCTAAAATAATTGCATAATAATCACTGAATGAAATTATAAAGGAAAGTAAAATCTATTTTATAGGTAAAGCATTGTAGTGATGGAATATAAAAATTTAAAAAAATAATAATAACTGTTAATATATAGGGAAAGAAATTGTAAAAACTAAAACAAAAAAATATATAAAAAACAAATAATGATATACATATGTTCCCTAAGATATTTAAGTGATTATGCGTAAAGATTAGGAGAAGAGAAAATAAAATAAAGTATATATATACACATAGCGAGAAGTATGTTGAAGATAATTAGAAATAAAATACATTTCACTGAAATACATTCCATGAATAACAAATTAGAACTTAAGAAAAACAAATTTTATCTACTCACAATGCTTAGTGAGTGGTGATGAAAATTCACATTCAACACAGAATAAAACAATAAAAAATAAGAGAAAAAAAATAATGTCTAAAGAAAATTAAATCCTTATAACATAGTATGTATTTAACCAGCGTCTGATTGGATTGTGAAGAGGAATTGGAATAAGAGGGTTTTAAAGGTGGATAAGGATGATGCATGGCGGATTTTTAGTGGGATGGAATTCCAGAATGCAGTGGAACGGACAATGAAGGAATGTTTAAATGATGCAGATCTGTGGAAAGGAGTGTAAAGGTCAGAAGGACGAGATCTTGTGGAGACGGTGTGGATAGATGATTTGAATTGTAGGAGATTGTATGCGTAGGACGGACGATGACTATTGATTATTTGGTAAAGGAATGTGCCTAGGAAATATTGTCTTCGGAAGGAAGGGAAGAGCCATCCTAATTCAGCATAGTGGTGCGAAACACGGGAATACCTCAGGGCCCCTGTGACAAATCTTACTAAGGCATTCATAATTCTTTTCAGTCTCTCCCCGAGTTCTGCCGAGAGGCCACCGTACACCACGCAGCCGTAATCAAGGTGGGGGAAGATGAGGGAAGTTACTGGGAGTCTACGTGTGGAGATGGGTAGGAGATGGCGGAAGCGATGGAATAGTTTCAAGGTACCAATTGACTGTCGGGTAATGTGAGCAATATGGTGTTTCCAGGATAGGGTTTGGTCTATGAAAATGCCTAGGTTTTTTACTGAGGAGGTGAAAGTAATGGGATGGTCATTTAGGTACAGTATAGGTATGTTGGTATTGGCTCTGAGAAGGGGTTTGGAACCAATGACAATGGCTTGAGTTTTTGCAGCGTTTAACCTTAACCCATTTAAGTTTGCCCAGGCACTGATCCGATTCAAGTCTTCTTGAATTTTGGCAAACGCTTCATGCAACTCTGAGGGATGGAAGGAAAGGTAGATTTGGGAGTCATCGGCGTAAAGGTGATGGGAGCAGTGAAGGATTGAATTATGGATTTCATTGATATAAGAACTAAAAAGGAGGGAGATATGCTAGAGCCCTGGGCCACTCCTGCGGACAAAGTAAGATAGGAAGACAAGGGTTGATTAGGAATAGCGACAGCTTGTGAGCGTTGGGAAAGGAATGATTGAAACCATCTTGCTGGCAATCTCTGCACTTGTTAGTTAGTTAGTTCCACGCTTTGGGGATGACTTCTTGCTTTTTTTGAGTGTTGTATCTCTTCCATGGGACATGGTGAGTTGAGAATAGTACCATTATCGATCAAAGACTATACCATTTCTTTTTGTGCCAAAGGAATGATTTCTTTGTGGTAACAACTTCCTTGTTTCTTCTTTGCTTGATTTGCTCATGGGTTGAATGTTTAATCATACATATTGTCTTGGAATATTCTACGTATTAGGCAGCTTCTCTTCTTTTTCGGTTGGTGTGGGTGTTCTGCTTGTTTCAAGCTTTGATTTTCCTCTCCCTGGGTTTGTATAATACTTTTGAAATAGTCAATTGACTACCTTGGAACTTGTTGAATTACACGAGGATGGAGTCGAGTGTAAAGAATATCAACACTGATTCTGTATGGAAGTGAAGATATATTTTATTTAAATTGAAAAACGTAATCTAATGCTTTATATGGGCCAGTCTGGTGTTTTGAAAAAATCACAAATTGTTAAATAAGTAGGCTGGATTACTTTAAATGTTTCTTTAAGTAAAGTAATTGTGAAAGATCAAGATGTTAAAGAACTTGAGTTACCTTGGTACCATTCAGCAGCTAGACCAGATAAAAGATGTGGTAGACTAGCAAGTGCAATGATTTCTCCAACATTTTTGTATATTTTATATAGTTCGATTTCGGATATGAACCGTTCCACATTCGAAAGTCCATCAAAACAAAATCTAATTGGCTTCCATTCAGACAACTCGCTTCATTGATGTTTTTAATAATTTGATAAGTTGTTTTCTCTGTAAATGAAAGTATCTTTTTGAGATCATTAAGACTGTATGATTTCTGGAACAGTGTTTTTTTTGTAGTTCCATATTGGAAATCATTTGTACATATCTCCTTAATTGGATGCCATATAATAGGTAGGGTTCTAAGAGGAGTAATAATTATTGCAATATAAACACAGAAACTAACCATACTGTATTATAAAAAGTGATTAAAATTAACATATTTCAATGTCACAAATATGACAACTGTTCCATTGTTACACGCTCTGATAATATTTGAAGTTTATCAGGTGATAGAGAATAATCTTTTCTTTTTTTTTTCATCAATATTGTTTTGAATTATATATGTATTGAAAAAAAAAGTTATTAAAATTAATTCCTTCAGGCCTGCCATACCTCGATTTCTGTGTCAAAATCTTTTAAACACAATTTGTCCCGTCTCGATTCGTTGACTTACCTTTGTGAGTCACTTTCATTATAGTCGTGTTACGAATTTAAGTATCAAAATCTGGATCTCTCATTTCTCTACAAAATTTCATTTCTTTTAACACCTTGTTTGACAAAATTCATAGCTCCTGAGAACCAGAAAAATAATCTATACTTAATGAGGACTTAAATAATCTGTATTGTTTGTATATATATAAGTTTATTTTAATTTTCTAGATTCTCTCAGGAAAATCAGTCCTTCAGGATGGTTGCACCTTACTGGAAATGTATCCTTTAAATTTGGACAAAATCACAGAAGGAGAAACAGTTGGGGTGTTGAGGTCAAAAACTGTAAGTGTTTTTTTAATTTTTATTATGGTTATGTAAAGGTTTTTCTTTTATCTTATTGGTTTTTACAACTGTTCTGGATTCTACTTTGTTTAACTGCATCTTGTATCCTGTAGAATTCTATTACATAATAAGCAAAAGTACTATTTTTCATGTTTAAAATATAGTTGTAGTAACGAAAAGCATGAGAAATTATCCTGTAATATAAGTAACGTAATTGTGGAAAATCTTTGGAAAAAATAAATTGTAATGTGTTGATATTGCAATGTTACATATAAGTTATATATGTACATAGTTTAAAATTTTCAACATGATTAAGTAGAATTTATATTATTATTATTATGTGATTCATTAGTACTTTCTATTTTACTAATTACAAATTGTATTTAATAGAATTTTATAAATTATAACTTGCAAAATTTCTATTGTTTGTATTTAACTATTAAAAAAAATTTTTTTTAGTAAAAAATTTTGAGATAGAAATTCTATTATAAATTTCTAACTGTTATTATACTTTTAACATAGTTCTTACTTTTTACAGTTAACTAGCATTAATTAGATCTTAAAATATGTTTGGATTCCATTTGTATTCTTCCACTTTCATAGCATAAAGAACTTCAATTATAAATAATTCTTTGATTTAAATTTACACTTTTTACTTTTTATTAAATGATAATAATTCAAAACTTGCTCATTTGAAGAATTTTTTTTCAGGGTGACCTGGAATTTTTTTATAATGGTGTTTCTCATGGTCCAGCAGCAACTAATATTCCCAGCAACGTGTATGCTGTTGTTGTTGTGTACGGGAACGTCTCACAAATCACTGTCCTTCAAAAGAACAGTATGGTTTTTTTTAATTTTTTGTCTGATTGTTACCAAATTGATATTTCTAATATATTAGAATTCAAATAATTCTTATTGTTAGAGATCTGAGTGTTAAATTTGAATTAATAAGATTACTAACAATTGGAAGTAAAAAAATATTAACTAAAGATATTAATTCCAAATTTTTACTAATATATTTAAGTTTGTATGACTATTAGTTAATAGGACTTATAAGAATCTATTTTTTCTAACTTATCTTTATTGAGAGCTAACTTTAATCAACATACACTTTTCCGTCTGAAATTTTTTATTGTATACTGTTTTAGGCATAAACAAGGTAATTAATTAATTTCATTGATTCATCTAAAATGATCAATTTTAAATCTATCCCTATCTAACGAATAATAATTTATTCATGAGAATTGGTTCTAGTAGGTATATTTTAAACTTCCGTGTTTTTTTCTCTGATATTTGGGAAAGAAAATTTCCATTTTCTCCTCCCATGTATCTGCTACTTCCTCCTGTAAAAGCCTGCACTAATTTTACCAATCTTATTTATTTTAATTCATAATCAAAAGGATTGTGGCCAATGAAAGGTGATCATTCAACTTATGCTGCTACTGAACAGTTCCTTATACTTAGCATGAAATGGTAAAGAAGCTCTGTAGTTCCATCGAAGCCGAGGTCTTCTGCATTTTGATCCGTGAAATACCTATGTCATTATTTTCCTTAACAGACCATTCTGTTACTAAAATCCAGACTCATCACTCGGATACTAAAATCCAAACTCATTACAAGGCTCATCTCAATCTACTAAGCCTTACAGACGGGACCATATCTAGTTCTTTGAGTAGGTCTTAGATCTGGTTAGTTCAGTGTCTCCTGATCAATCTCCACAGCTTAAAAAATTTTATGTTGAATCTTCCTTTAAAATATCACCAAGTTCTACTCACCGGTTATGGAGATATTCAATACTTCTGAGCCATATAGGAGAGTCGGCTAAGTAATTTTTTTGTGTAAATTAATATTAGTGACAGAGCTGAGATCCTAAAATGGGCTCTAAGATTGTATTAACACCAGTTGGCCCATTAGACTTCATTTAATTTTGGATTCTATCACATTATTGGGTTTTGAGGTATCTAAGATAGACAAACTGGGAAATATTTTTAAAAAGGGAATTTCTGCTATGATTATTCAAATTATAAGATGTCATCACAAACTAAAAATTGTATCAGAACTACCTTAGTAAACAATTGCACCAGGCTAGCCATAAACAAATATATAGTTTATGGGAGCGGGGAGCCTATCACAAGGTATGGTGTAGATTTGGAATCAACTTATGGCCAGCTAGTTAGTTATTAAATTTTGTTCACCTTAATTTGGTTATTTTGTTAAAAAATTTCTTTCTGAGAAGAGTATTTTAGACTCAGAAGGTACATAACAAATTATTATACTGTGTACATAAATTTGATTGTATAAATAATTATTATTTCTGTTTTCATTAAGTATTAATATTCATAAGATTTACAAAGCGGGAGAACATATTTTAAAACAGGTGTTTATTGTATGTAGAAATAACTATAGTTAATGTGAGAAGGTATAAAAGAGGGAGGGTTTACAATTTTAGGATGCCCCTTTAAGGGAAATCTTGGTTATGGCACACATTATAAAAAGGTTTTGCAGCATCCCTCATGCAGCTAAACATTCCAAACATGGTAGTATTTGATACAAATTGAAACCAATAAATTACCATTTCATATAGATAATACTGTAGTGTCATAACAAGATGCATGTAGTATATATTTGAAGATAAGGGAACAATTATAGACTTGTTTAAGAGACTTTTTTTTAAACTTATTTTTTGAAAAATATTACAATCTGTCTCTAGGACATTTATAATAGAGTTCACAGATCACATTCACACTCTATGTACAATAAACAAAATAGATTATACAGAAAAATAATATATATACAATAAATAAGAATAAAATAACCTAAAAATAAATAAATAAAAAGAACACATACACACCTATATACAATATTTACAATTTGGCGAGAGAACTCCAATCCAGACTTGTCCCTCCAAGTGTGGAGGGAAAAGTATGACTCCAGGAGTTCCCTGCACTCCTCTCTCAACCACGTCACTAGGGCTAAGTTGAGATTGAGCAAGAGTGCTTTAGCCACATACACTCATGTCGTGAGTGGAGAATCTGGCCATTGCCAGAACTCCAATATTTACAAACTATAAAAGATCGCGGGGCCACTGCCGTTTTAACCTCCTTGGAGGATTATATGGATGGGTGGTGCTGGATAGAGATTGTGTAAAGGGATTTGGATGATGGGTAAGGTTCTGGTGGAATTTGTAGAATTTTGCTGTTATAAGGTCTAGGACAAATGGGATATTAAGGTCATGGTGTAGGGTTTTGTTGGTTACATAGAAAGGAGCATTGATTATTGTTCGAAGGACTTTGGATTGGAAGGATTGGATGCGTTAAGAGACCAACTTCCAGAAACTTAGAAGTAAACTCAAAGATAATTTTTTAAACTTCATATTTTTGTTTATTTTATTTTATATTTTTTATCATAAATTCTTTTCCAATTCATATTTTTTTCTGTTATTTTTAATTTGTTTGTGTTTATTTTATTTTTATTAATTTTTCTTTTGTTCAACAATGTTATGAAAGCTGTTGATTTTATCCAATAACAAAATGTGATTCTTTGTTTGGTAAGTTAATGTTTTTTAAAGACACGATTCTTCCTTGAGATTACTCAGAAGAGAAAAAGAGAGATAAAAAAGTATATCGACTTTGTCTATCACTTCTTATTAAATTAGGTTTAGATATTTTACTAGAACAAGTGCTTCTCTTTGTTATTGTCTACTATCTGTTATTGTCTCTTTATCTTAATTTGAAGGGATTTTAAAAATCACATTCTTGTAAACAGTCTATTCATTTTGAAATATTTTAATGTTTATCAACAAAAATAATGCTTTATACTGTTCTATTTGTAAACATTCCCTATAATTGATGCATTATCTTGACATTCCTTCCGTATTTTTATTGAGAGCGTAGAGCCTAAACACATCTCTGCCACTCATTTCTTTTGCTTTACTTTGCTCCAAATGTTTCGATCTATCAACGATTCTTCCTCTGATGTTTACTTGTATAGCTCAATGTTTAGGCACTCTGCAAGTTATGATCGAGGTCTGTAAGCCTTATAATACCTTATTGATTTCTTAGGTAATCCATCTGAGACTTCATACATCCTTTGCTTCTTACTGTTAACTATATTTCTAAAATACTGAAGTCGATGGGTTTCTAAATTAATAAGTTCATTCTCCTGTCTGGATATCTTTTTCATATATATTGGTGTAAATATTTTAACCTTAACTGAGATTGTTGATTAGCTTTTTGGATGCACGTGTGTTTTATAGAAATTACATAATGCTGTGCAATTCACTCAAAACTTAGAAAAAAAATATTAAAAATTTTTTAATTGATTGCAATTTATTACATTTAGATAGATTGTTAATTCAGTTCTAGTCATTATTTAAGCTAGATATAATATATTATCAACATTCTCCAATTATAAGTGTTGTTTATTTAGAATCTTTATCTTTTTGAACATTGGAAATTATGAGTTTATTCATTTCTTTTGTCGATCAAAATGTTTTGTTTTGTTTCTCTATTTTTATAAAACCTTAATGGATACAATTTCTTGTAATATATAAGTTTTATATTTTAATAGTTATTTTCTAATATGTGTTTATTTTTTTTATAGGAATTATTGACAGTATTGATTTAGGAGATCTTGAAATAGAAGAAGTAACAATGGCTCAAAGCTCTGAAGCTTCAGCCATTCCCCTAACCCAAGAAAGACCTGCGGAAAGGCTCAGGTTTCATGAAAGAACTGGTAGTCTTGTACGTATTTTTGTTATTTCTTCCAGCATAGTTTAGAATTTAAAACAATTTTTTTTTTGTCAAAACTCATTTCTTTTCACCTGTCATAGTCCACTCTGAGTTTTATTTTTTGTTTTAGTGTTTTCTTTTTAATATTTCAATTATGTAGCATTATTGCTGCTAGGATTATTTAGAGTATGAAATTCAGACATTTTTGCAATTTTTAAACATTTACTTTAATGTATTTTATTATTATAGGTTAAACTCTCTTGTAATGGGAGAGCTGCTGAAAGAATAAAACCTTTAGATGAGTTTAATAATGCTGTAGTTATGAGTAAAAAGCCTTTAGTAGCAGATACTCTTTTTGAGGTATTATTCAATGTTCTGTTTTGAAATAATATATCTACTACGTTAGTATTTATTCTTTAAAATCTCCCTATTTTTGTAGATCCGCATAGACGTATTAGTTGATAAGTGGTCGGGTAGTATTGAGGTTGGTGTTACTACTCATGATCCTGCTGTCATAGAATTTCCAACAACTATGACTAATATGGGTAGCGGAACAATAATGATGTCAGGATGTGGTATCCTTACTAATGGTAAAGGAACCAAGCGGGAGTATGGCGAATTCAATCTAGATGAACTGAGGGTAAGTCAGAAATGTTACAATCATCTCTGTTAATATGATTTTGATTAACAATAACATTGAATAAAAATGTTTTGGGTCTGATTTCATCTGTTATTCAGGTAGGAGATAGGATCGGTATGCTAAGGAAAAGTAATGGTGATCTCCATTACTTTATAAACGGTTTAGATCAAGGTATCGCAGCATCAAGGGTACCCGCTAAAGTATGGGGTGTGGTTGACCTTTATGGAATGACAGTTAAGGTAATTATTATTGATGTAAAATTATTATGAGAAAAAATATATTCTTAATTAAAAAAAATAATCTTCGTTATTATATCTTTTATTTTATTTTATATAATATAAAATTATTTTTCATTTCTTAGGTGACGATTGTTGACCGGGATGAAAGAGAAGAACAAAATTTAATTACTAGACGGAATACAGTTCTTCGGGAGACAGTCACAACATCATTAAATGGTCATTATGGTCACTTGTTTACTCATTGGAAATATTTTTAATATTTTCAATATGTGTTGATTGAACTTTTTTCTTATAGACATTCCTGATGAAGATTCAGATGATAGATTAATGTTCCATTCCAGCTGCGGATCTCATGCTGCTGTCATTAACAATGGCAGAACTGCTCATAGGCCAAAGTTAGTAATGAGTTATCTATTTTTTTCCCCCTTTCAACCTAGTCCTCTCTTCTTCTTCTTATTCGGCGTTACGACCCATTATTTGAGTCATAGCCTGCTCAAGCCTAGACCGCCAGTCCTCTCTGTTCCGTGCTGCTGCCTTCCAGTTCATAACATCGAGCAGAGTCTGCAGCCACGCAGTCTTCACAGCGAAGTCTAGAGTCCTGTCTTATTCTACCAAATTTCAAATGAGTAGAAGCATTTTTTATTGATTACTATTGGAAAGATTATATTACCCTTATTTTAAATACTATTCTATTAATACTATAATACTATTCTTATTTTGAATAAGAAAATATAAAATGTGAATTTACGAGGGTGGTCTGAAAATTTTCTGACCTCAAGTTGGTAGCACTCGTAAATAAAAGCAAGTGAATTCTGTTGTTCATCTGTTGACAGTTACCCACCAAAGTTTCAGCAATTTTGGACACACAGTTTTTATGTAACTGTTGTTTGAGTGAGTTGATGTGAGTGTTTTTGTGGAAATGGACAAAATCGAGTATCGAGCTGTCATTAAATATTTGTTTTTGAAAGGCTATACGCATACGCAAATCAAAGATTAGTTGGATTCTGTGTATGGGGACTCTGTACTATCATTTACCACTGTGAAATTTTGGGCAGCTGAATTTAAACATGGCCATAAGATATTGGGAGACGATGAACCTTTGGGACGTCCAAAAACTCACATGACTTTCCTACCTATTTCAGAAAAGTTTTTATATCTTTACATATGTTCATGAAAAAACAAAAAAGAATTGAACTAAATTTATTTTCCTGAAAATTGATCAAACAAAAGATTTGAGTACGATTTATTTGATAATTTAAGGCAATGAAACCAGCTTAAGGTAGATCAGTGTAAAAATTTCAATACTCACTAATATTGCTGATCAAAAACTTTTTGCCATAGCTTAGTATTGTCAAACAATAATTTCTGTTAAAAGTAGAGGAAATAGTGAAGGTTGTGTGATGCGGGCAACAGAATTTGTTAATTTCACTTAGTCATCTTTATTCTCCTATTCACCCCTTTCTGACACCAGGAAATGAACTCGTAATCTTTCATTGGGAATTGAATCGCTGTAACTTCGTTAATAGTTGTCCAAAATGAACGATTTTTATGTGGCTTTGTAGGAAATTTAATTATCTTTCAAACGATAGGCTAAACAGCGTTTATTGCGTGCAAGCTATTGCGCATGGAGCAACGAATTTCTTTCACAGGCATCAGTAGTCAAAACCTACAAAATAAAAAAAAGAAGCAACAAAATCGGTTCAGTAGTTCCCAAGAAAATCTTGGCACAGACAGACAGACAGACCTATGGCTAAAAATGTGTTTTTCGACTTAGGGGCCTGTGAAACGTATAGATCCGTCGAAAACCGCATGTCGGAAATTTGACCCGATTGCAATACTTTCCTTACATAGTATAGGTAGGAAAGTAATAAAATAAGTTAAAAAATGTTTAAAAAATAGAATAAGCTGTATCATCGCTAATACTGGTTCGATTCCGATGATTTTATTTTTTGTTTTGTTGGTAATTTAATTACCTTTCAAAAGTTTTATTATAAATTTCACCGTATAATATATGATTAGGGAGTTAGGACCCATAACATTTTTCTTTTCTTTATAACTTTTTTTCCTGAATTTTTTCGGGAATTTAGTCTATATACGAAAATTGAAAGGACAATGATTAGAACATTATAGGAAAGTTTCATCAAAATCGTTAGAGCCGTTTTCGTGCTACAGTCTATAGAAAAACATGTTTTTCATTTATTGCGTGCAAGCTATTGAGCATGGAGCAACGAATTTCTGTCACCGGCATATTTCTGTGCTCGGAGAACAGAGATTTTCGTCAAATGAAGAGGCAATTACCTTCTTAAACAATTATTTTGCAGAGAAAAACGTGGAGTACTTTATGGACAGGTTACGGAGATGGGAGAAGTGTGTAGAGTTACGGAGACTATGTTGAATAATAAAAAAAGTCAGAAAAACTGTCTTGTATTTTTATTAGGTCGGAAACTTTTCAGACCACCCTCATAAAAGTTACCCAGAGTATTAATAATATTCGTAATTTTGTATATAAAGTTTTTTTTTTTAATTTTGAACCAAATATTGAACATTATTATTTTAAATACATATATTTTCATATATATTATATATATGTATATATATATCATGAGTTTCCATATTTGATCAAAACAAAATAACAAATATTCCATTTTTTATTTATTTATTTTTAGTGCCCTGGATGAATTCAACAATGCTGTTATTCTTACAAATAGACCTTTGAAGATGAATGAAGTATTTGAAGTTAGAATTGATAAAATGGTCACTAAATGGGCTGGTTCGATTGAAATTGGAGTTACTACACATGCTCCAACTAAACTTGAATATCCTTCCACAATGACAAATGTGAGGTAAGAACATATGAAATTTTATCAAACTGGTTATTATGTTAAACGTGTCGTGTATCGATAGTGTTATGTGGAATAGATTTTCGACTACTGCTTATATTTTATAATAATAACAAAAATAATTCTAATAAATTATGTAATTATATAATAATAATTATAAATCTGTTTCTAATAAATTATGTTAAATTGGTTTCAATTGTACATACACGTAATTATTGAAATTTACTTGTACACCTTTATTAGAAATGCTTTGCTTGTTCTTGAAACATGAATGAATGCTGAAGTTGTGTTTTTTCTTAATTATTTTATTGTTTTATTAATAAGACATACATATTACAGGCATACATATGAAACACCCTTTTTCCCCCCGAAATCATTACAGGAGATTTTAGTTGATTCACTGGACCCTTTATTAGATAAACTTGTTTAGTTCTTCAAAATATTGGATAATTCAAAATGTTTCAATGGTCTCTTCAACTTCGAATTAAACAAGTTTCACTGCATTAAAAATTAATGCAACATATTCATCCATAAATATATTATTTTGATAGTAAAAATAAATATTTATGTTTTTACAGATCTGGCACATGGATTATGACTGGTAATGGAGTTATGCATAATGGAACTTCAGTGATTGATGATTATGGGCAGAATTTAGATAAATTGCAGGTAAAATTCAGGGATATATAAGTTATTAAAATAAAAGAGATCAACTCTGTAGAATACAGTAATACATCAGATTGTGTGACTATTTTGACTTTTATTTTATTTGGTTAGCCCTCTAAGAATATAACTTTTTCATATTTTTATACACATGAAAACTTAATTTTTAGCTGTTTTGTAACTTTCTAGACTAACTAAAAGAAATTGTCTACCTTTTGAAGTAGACGGTCATATATACCAGTTGTTCCTTGCTGGAATTTCTTGATAATAGAAGAAAATATTATGATCCATATTAAAAATAAATAATATTAGTTTACATTAGAAACTTCCGAAACAATTTTGATACTAGAAATTATTAGTAACAGCCAAAAGTAATGAAATAAATTGTCAATTGGTATGATATTTGTTCTATATAATATAATGTTGCAATGATATTAAAAAACTTCTCATAATCATATCTCCTTCTGCTTTTATTGTCAATATCACACCATAGATCATCAATTTTATTGTAAATAAGGCCGTATATAACACCTGAGATTCTCCCTTTTTGGAAGTTAAAATAAGTTATTCACGTAATTTTGACTGTGCTATGTTCTCAGATATATTAGGCCTCTCTCACTTTTTAACTCTAGTTTAGTTGCTTCCTGATGAGAATTTTTATATGATTAAGTCTGCTCCAATGATCAGCCTTGTAACATATCGTAGGAAGAGTGTGACATATTTGTTAAACTCAAGTTGAGGTTTAATTAGACCAATGAATAACATTTTGATTCTACTACAAATAGTTTATACATACATTGCAAATATCAAATTGTGTGTTTTTTTCATAAAACCATAGCACTTTAATAATCAAAAGAGTTATTTCATTTAACATAATTCAAGATCCATGGGTATCCTTATTAACAACTGGTGACTAAACTGTCTCCTGGGTTCTTGCACACAAGACAGAAGGCTAGCGAGAACATGAAATGTTCTATAATTCGAAGTATTTTGTTGCTGTTGACATATTTATCACGCTTGTCCTTAGAGGATTAATCTAAAAATCTGAGTTTAAAAAAGTCAATCTATTTATAGATTCTGTTTATATAAAATTTTAAGGCACGAGACTTTATTAGTCTGCATTTATATCTTGAGATTTTAATGTTTTAAACTATTAATAGATTGCTAAGATGAACTTTCTCTGGAATGGTTCTCTGTCCCAAATACTCTTTAAATTCTTTCATTAAATTATTAATGAGAAAATTATTATATTAAATGAAAAATTATAAATCTTATAATTATTTATGATATTATAGGCTGGAGATAGAGTTGGCGTGGTGATTCGTGAAGGAGGTACCTTGCACTTCTTAGTCAATGGTGAAGACCAAGGAGAAGCTGGAACTGGACTACCAGGAAATCTTTATGCTGTTATAGATTTATATGGTCAAGCAACACAGGCCACAATTGTTTCTCACTGTCCATCTTGTTCTCCTACAACTCCTACACCTACTGCTAATTCACCATTCTTTCCGTAAGATTATCGTATGAGTTTTATTTACTTAAATTTATATAAATAGGCTTTGACTAACTTATTCTACTTAAAAATTGTTCACAAGATCAATGCAAGTTTTTGCCTTGGATATATCAATCAATATAAATAGTTTACTTCTAAAACCTTGTAATTACATAAAAACAGATTTTACCCCAGGAAACAAAAAACTACATTACTATTTGATAAAAGTATAAATTTTGATTATTTTTTTCTTGTTATGTATTGAAAAGCCCTCAACATTGTAAAAACATAAGACACATTATATTTAAAGTAAATATGTGAGTATTAGTTACTTACAAGAATTTAATATTTTAGTGAATTGAATTTATTGGTATAAGTTAGAAGTAAGTCTCAATATATATATTTTTTTTCAGTTATTAGCATATTCATCAATACTTTTTAAACGAAAAAATGGATACATTTTTTATAACTACTTCTTATCTGGCTGAAAAATTCAATATGTATTTTCTTTTCAGGAAAAAAAAAAAATCATCTGTTTAAAATCTTTAATTCTATATTATACTAACCGTAAATATATGGCCTGCTCCTTACTTTCCAACACCAAAATTATTATATTATATAGATTATTAGAAATTAATGGAATGTACATACAAGTCCTTTTTGCTTCAAAACATTTTTCCATCCAAGGAGGATGATCAGAAACTGGAATAATTAATTTGAGCCAGGTCTAAAAAGTGTGTGGGTGAAGTGAAATGCCCCATTCTAAAATTGAATTTCAGTGCAACAAATGATGTGCGGCATCCAGTGTTGTCTTGTGAAGAACCAATGCATCCAAGCTTATGATATCTATTTCATTGTTAGCAATATGTCCCATTTTACTACTGTATTTTGTAGTACATTTTTCTGGTATACCATTTTGCATTTGCTTTTTTCTTGCTTTCTATACTATCTTTTATATTTGTCCTACATTTAAATTTTAGATATATTCATTAATTTTTATTACTGTTCATTGCTATAGATAATTATTACATATTTTTATTAATTTTGTTTTTAATGTTTTAGAGAAATCCATTTTCATAGTGTACATGGAAGAAATGCAAGAATTACCAATGGTGGCAAGACTGCATCTCGTCCAAGGGCTCTCGTTGAATTCAATGATGCCATAGTTATTACAAATAGACCATTGCGACCAGGAGAAATGTTTTGTGTTGTTATTGAAAGAATCGTTGACAGGTGGTCCGGATCAATTGAAGCTGGTATAAAAAATTCATCTTTGTTATTTGAATGTAAAAATTCCCGTGCTCTTAATTACTTAATTTATTAACCACGAAATAATATCTCATGAAATTCAACATCAAAGAGTATTTGTTCAGAAAGCTAAGTATATCTTTGGGACATAGGTAACTGAGATAAAAGAAACTAGCAAATTACACCTTGTTGGCAAAGTTTATATAGTTAATAATTTTTTTTTTTAAAAAATAAAACAATAGCAATTATAGCAATCCTTAATTATATTAATTAATATAAGTTGAAAGTTTAAAAAGTGAAATATTATTTAATTGCCATATATAGTCAAGTGGGTTTATTTACTATATTTATCTTGAATAGTTGTCCAGAATGGGTATCAATTAGTGAGTTAGAGTTTTGGTGTTTTGTGCACCTGAAGTTACTATTTGGGAGTATTTCCTGAAATTTCTCAATGTTCAAATTTTCACAATTAAAACTAGTATATAGATAAATTATATTTACCAAAAATCTTTATTATGAATTAGATATAGATTATGACATGGACCAACATTTGAGTTGTTTTTATGTCTAATCTAACTAATAATTTCTGTGACATTACACATAGCATTCTGAACTGCCTTATTCATAAAAATTGTGGTATATTTTAAAATTCTTAAAATATTCTATTTTTTTTTCTCTTATTTTAGGAGTTACAGCAATTAAACCAGACGAACTGGAGCTTCCTGGTACCATGACTGATATTGACCATGACACTTGGATGTTATCTGGTATCTATTATTTTTTCATTATTTTTAAAGAAAGTATTGAAACCACTTTTATTAATGTTTCTATACAAATATTTTTGGAAATCAGGTTTTGCTGTAATGAAAGATGGTATACCCTTGAAGCATGGATATCCATTAAATCTTGATAAAATTAAAACTGGTAGTATTATTGGACTTAAGCGCCATGATGATTCATCTCTGCATTATTATTTGGATGGCGTAGATCAAGGAGAAGCCTGTACAGGGCTTCCTAACTTAGTTTATCCAGTAATTGACTTGTATGGACAATGTGCTCAGGTAAATTACTGTTTCTACATAATTTAAAATAAGATATAATATAGTTGTGTCAATCTTTAATATTTTCATATGATTCTGAATGTAACCCACTGGTAGTGTTATCTTAGTGTGGATAGATGTATATAGAATGTTATAGGTGATAAATTGTCAAGACGCTGTCATTTAAGATTTTTATTGTTGTTGCCAACGTTTCAACCCAAACATGTGGGTCATCATCAGAGCATGTTTACAGTACTGAAGATGTTCTCAAGTAATTAGTACTTGATCGTCTTCAGACTAATTATCACCTATGATATGCTGAACATTCAACTAACTTCCTTCAACAATTCTATAGAAACTTAATATCTCATAGAAGGATTTAAATATACCATCCTTATTTGAAATGTGTCAATTTTTTTTCTCTTCTAATTTTCTAGGTTTCTATTGTCAGTAATGCTGAGCCAACATTGGAAATTGATGATTTAAGTGTTCAGCAGGTAGAAAGCCATGTACAGTCAGAATCAACAGTACTTCCAACTTCTCAACCTTTGCACAAGTAACTAGTATTAATTTGTTTGTTGTAGTTAATAGTTTAAAAAAAATCTAGATTAATCATTTTATTAGCCATGAAAACCTGCATTAAAATAATCTAAAAAATGGAATATTATCTTGACCCGATCCTCTTTACTTTAAACAAACTAATGATTCATTCTTGGTCTCATTATTTAGTTTTTAGTCTTTACCCTGTGAATGAATTTTTAGTCTTAATGTCCATTTTATGGGCATTGTTTTTTATTATTATGTTCCCAATATTTATTTATAGTAAAAGTTATGTAATAAAATGTTTGGGCTTAAAGTTAAAACTCAATTTTTATTTTATTTTAGCTCTGTCATGAAAAAAAGTGACATAATTATAACTATCCTTGGATTAAATTTATTCCAACTCTTTAATATGATATTTGATTTGTGTAGCATCTCTTATTTTTAATATAATTGAATCGATTTTTTTTTTTTTTTTTAGGTGGCACGATACCTGTGGCAAAGCCATACGTATGACAGAAAATTTGATTAGCCGACCTCCAGAAATATCTTGTGCTGGTATTGCATTGAGTGAGGTAATGTTGTGCCCCGGTGAGCTGTGGGAGGTCTCTATAGAAGGGTTCCTTCCTCAGTGGGCTTCCTCTCTATTTTTTGGTGTCACTCAATTTTCTCCTTCTCCTGAACCTCTACCCCATTCCATAAGCTCAATTAAACAACCTACATGGTATATTCATGGTAAGTATTTTTGAAACTTATTTAATTTTATTTGAAACTTATTTATTTATAGCCATAAGTTCATATTAGAGTAAAGGCTTCCAATCTACAGCTCGCAGGGACCTTGAAGTCACTTGTGACCTTGAGCAACTTTGTCCCTCCCCCCCCTATCTCGCAATCCTGGCAACAGTTTTATTGCTGCAGATTGACAATTTTTAATAAAATATTGAATATTTATTTTAATCAATATCCAATAATTAATTAGAGATAAGTATAATCAATTACTCTGAAAATTGTATTTTTTTTTTTCACTTATCATTATTATCACTTATCATCGGCATCGGTTAAGTGAAGATGCCGAAACCATAGAATGGGCTTGTAAAATTGTTGTTGGATTTAGTGGCGATGATTCACTGTACCAACTACTAGGCATCTGAGGGATAGATCGATGGAAAATTGTATTAAGGCTGATCTGATGGTGTTGGTTTGGTTCATGGCCGGTGGATACAAGTATGAAAACAGTGATAAGTGGTTTCAGCATTGAACCTTTGTATTTACTAAGCCTTTTATTATTATTAATTCTAGCCTTTCGATTTTCTCCCACCCATTAGAAATTTAATGGAATTCATAGAATAGTGATATGTATTTTACTATTTTTTAAAATATGTATTTGTTTTACAGGAAGTGATTTTTATTATTGTGGAGATATTGTCAAGCCTCACTATTGTTCTTCCCTTGACTGGCTAAGACCTGGAAACCGAATCGGTGTTAAAAGATGTTTAGATTCTTCATTGCACTTTTATATTGATGGCCATGACCAGGGAATAGCAGCCACAAATGTTCCTAAGGTGAAATAGATTAATTTTAATGTTCAATAAACAAATTGAGTATATTTTTTATTATTTTAGTTATCAGATTAATTGACAGCCTGTTTTAAAAACTTAATGTTTTTATGTGGGATAAAAAAAAATAATAATAGAATACATTTAAATTAAGGATGTCTGTTTTTGTAATTTCTTATTGGAGCTTAGAATTTATATGATTTTGTAGGTATATCTTCTATAAGTTTTTTCTGAAGAAAACAATTTTTTTAATGTTTAGTTATTTCTTTGTGTACCAACAAAACAAATTTTAACATTTAGCTAGATTTTTTAATTGTTTTTCTTGCCTTTTTTTTTTTTCTTTTATGTTACCAGAGGAGTTGGGCTCTTCAACCTTCATCAACTCGAGACCTTAAGATAATGTAATCTTTTATCCTAGTACATCTTTCCTTTTTTTTCTGTTTTGCTTCCCAATTTCTTCTCCTTTTTTTTTTGTTATTTCTCCTTCCCTCCGTGATCTGTCATCAAGGTAGATTTTGGAAACTGTTACTTTCTAATTTAGAGAGACTTATTCATCTCCTTCTTGTTATCCCTGATCAAATAAAAGGATTTTTATTATCTTTTGGCTTTATTTCCACATTGTGCCATAAATTAGAATTTCTAGAAACCATTTGTTTTATTATAAATTATTTGCATGTTGTATATTCCCTTACTTCACGGAAGAAGTTGTTTGTATTGGCATATTAAATTTATGGAGTTAATTTCATGGTTATGTTCATTTTTTTGTACTTCACATTAGTTTAGTTTTTTTATGATACACTTGAATAATTTCTAAATTGTGAGTTTAGAAAATGATTGAGGACTTAGGTTAATTATAAATAACATGATTGTTTACTCACCAGAACTGACTTTCCTATTTTTTTTTCACAATTCAACTAGGACAAATTGTTTTATTTGTGTGATATATCATCTATTGTTTTTAAATTTTTTTTTTTTATGTATTCAGTACCTCTAAACCTAATATGTTGTACATTACTTTGATTTTTATTAAACGTGCAGAAATATCAAACTTGTAAAATAAAAATTCTATTTTCATTGCAATTTGTATTGCGATCTCTTTTAATTTTGTTTTTATTATAAGAATTATCTTATTCTTATTATCAGTTTGTCAACTTAGTTTTATTTGAGGACACTTTCTTTTTTTTTTTTTTTTTTTTTTCTAATTTTCTATTAAACCTGTGGTTATTTATTATTTTATTAATAAATCGAAATTCGATATGTCCATTTCTTATTTATTTAATTAGTTATCAAACTACTTCTAATTTAATCCTAAATTATGGGCATGCTGTTTTAATCTTCGCTTCATGGAAGAAGTTTATGTATTATTATCATGAAGTTTTAATTGTTTATTGATTTCTTACCACCATTTTTGTTTTACTTGAACCAAAAGTCATTTTCCTTAATTACTTATTTCATTTTTTAAATTGTTTCTTTTGTCTCATATCTATTGCTAAGGTTCAAGGGTCTCTTGACCTTTATTCATATTTTACCGTTGTTTCTTTGTATTAATTTTAGGTTCCTACTGTATTTGTAAAACATAAAATTTAAATTTTGTTTATAGAAAATCTTTGGCGTTATAGAACTGCATGGATCAACATCAGGTGCAAAACTAATCAGTAAGAGTTTGATTCCTCTAAACGGAGATGCTCCACTAGCTGAGATTGAGTCATCTCAATGTGATAAACATACGTAAGCAATTACATTAATTTTCAGTATATTTTGTTTTCATCCTTTTTATGTATATTAATCCACTCAAAATGGCAGCCATATTGCAGAATTTTCAAAGCAGACTGTGTAATTAACAATTACTTTCTAATTAATGTAATATTATTATTTATTAATAAGTAAATAAGTAATTAACAATTACTTTTTCTCTGACTGTTATTGTCCGTTCTTTTGTATTTTATTATTTTTTTTAATCTGAAAGTATTGTTTTGAAGTTATTACACAAAATTAAACTGGATTTATTCATTCCACAGAATTATTTTAAATCTAATGTTATTTAATAAATGAAATTGTTGAATATTCCATGTATATATTGAAATATTTATGTTAACTTTAGTGATGAAGATTATGAAACTGTAAAGAGAACTGAAGACATGGATAAAAGTATAGAAGATGGAGAACTCCTATCTGAAATACATGATTTAGAAGTAAGATGCTCATTATGAATCATTTATTATTTTATAGTTGTAATAATATAAATGTTGATTTCAAAAAGTCCTACGATTCTATTGACTGCCAGAAGCTGTATAATATTTTAATCGAGCAAAGGATTCCTTAAAAATTAGTAAATCTAGTTAGGATGTCCATGATTGAAACAAAAAGTTGAGGTTAGTTCAGGTTTTCAAACAAGGTGATTCCCGTTCACCTGTCCTGTTTAATCTATCATTGGAACATGTAATTCGTTATATTTAGCATTGTAATTACTAGGAGGTAATTCGTTCCGAAAAAGGTTTGAATCTGGATGGAGCAATACCAGTGCTTGGTTGTGCAGATGATTTGGTCCTGCTAAGTGAAGACATGGAAACTATAAAACTAAATACAACTTTAATGAAAGCTGGTAAAGAACTGGGGCTTGAAGCAAATACGGATAAGACAAAAAAATATATGTTTAGTTGTAATAAGAGGGAAAATTTCTGTGAAATATTCATAGAAAGGAGTATCTTTGGCTCCAATTCTTACCTATACTTCCCAATCCTGGACCATCTCAAGAAATAATGAAATTAGTCTTTGAATTTTTGAAAGAAAAAACTTACAGAGAATAGTTGGCCGAATGAGGAATGAAGATGGAAGGAAGTTTAGGAGGAACAAGGAGCTATATGATTTTCACAGAGATATTGACGTTGTAAAGTTTATAAAACTGGGTAGACTCAGTTGGGCTGGCCATGTCGCAAGGATGGAAGTGGCAGAAATTCTTTAAAAAGTAGTGAACACCGCCCTTCATGGTACATGGCGGACTGATAGGCCAAGGCTTCGATAGGTTGATGGAGTGACAGCAGAAGCACTGAACCTGCTACGGATCAGAAGCTGGAAAGCAGCAGCACAAAATTGGGCCAAGTGGCGGCAGCTCATTGAGGAGGCCAAGACCCACCCTGGGTTGTAGTGTAAATGGGTGAGTAAAATTGTTGGGCTTCGTCATCATCATATGTGGCACGACATCCCGTTACCGAGACTGGGCCTCCTCCAAGAGCCTCCGCCAGTTAACTCTGTCTTCTGCTGCAGCTCTTCAGTTCCGTACACCAAGCAGGGTTCTCGCATCATAGGCCACGTTGTCCAACCATCTCGTCCTCGGCCTTCCAACCCGTCTTACGAGGTGCAGCTCCTCCATCATTATTTTTTTTATGGGTTGATGGCATGTGCTCATTCTGGCCACATGCCCTGCCCACCTTAGTCTGGCCAGTTTAATATACGTGACTATGTCGATGTCTGTATAGAGAGAACTGAGCTCCCTATTTTTTCTTTTCCTCCAGACATCACCCTCCTTTACTGGACCATAAATCCTTCTGAGGACTCCTCGCTCAAACACACTCAGCTTCATCTCATCGTTTTTAGTCATCGTCCAAGCCTCTGAGCCATATGTCAAAACAGGCCGAACAAGGGTCTTGTATATGATCAGCTTGGTCTTCTTTGAGAGGTACCTACTTCTTAGTTGCCCATTCCGTAGGCATAGCTTCCCTCTCCCAGATGGTCAGCATTAAATCGTGCAGAGCTTTCTTGAGTTCTTCACCTCCACATTTCAACAGCTCTGACTGGATTCCGTCCGGGCCTGGCGCCTTTCCATTTTTCAATTTCCTCAGGGCGTTTTCCATTTCCTCCTCATCCGGGGGTTCAATAGAATTCAGGGAGTCTTCCTTCATTACTCCTACTTCTCCAGGCACCGTTCCTCTGTTTAATGCGTCTTTGAAATGTTGTACCCATCTCCTTAGTACTTCATCTTTGTGGCTTAAAAGGGTTCCATTCTTGTCTTTGCATGCCGTCACTCTGAGCCTGAAAGCTGCCCTACCCTCGTTTATTCTCTGAAAGAACAGCCGACTTTCATTTTGGCCGCGCAGTGCCTCTGTGTCCTCCATGTTCTTATTTTCCCAATCTCTTCTCTTTCCGCGGAATAATCGCTTCTCTTCGCGTCTTTTTCTTCGATATGTTTCTTGGGAGAGCCTTGTGGGACGCTGAACCTTCTTTCTGTAGTCTTCATTTTTCACTTTTACTGCTTGAAGGCACTCAGCATCAAACCATGGGGGCCTTCTAGATTTAGTCTCGTAGCCTAGAGATTCCTCTGCTGCCTGTTTCATTGCGTTGCTGCATCTCTTCCACTGTTCATCGACCATAGAGCTGTCATTAATTACTTCTTCATTAAGTTTGTCTCCACAGCTTGTTGATACGAATATTGGTGGTCTGAGTCTTTAAGTTTAGCTACATTAATCTTCTTCTTTGGTCGTTGGTGGTGGTTTTTAATCAGCGAAATTCGTGATCTGACCTCGGCAATGCTCAAATAGTGATCCGTGTCCATATTTGCACCTCTATAAGATCTTGCATTTATCATGTTGGACTTGTGACGGGCACTAATGAGTACATGGTCTATCTGTGATGTTGTTTGCCCATTTGGAGAGATCCATGTTGCTTTGTGGATATTCTTTCGAGGAAAAAGAGTTGTTCCAACAACCAGTCCGTACAATGTAGCAAAGTTCACCATCCGTAGCCCATTATCATTACTGGTCTCATGCAAGCTGTGGGTTCCTATGGTCGGCATGAGTGCCACCTCCTTACCAACTTGGACGTTAAAGTCACCAAGAATGATTTTAACATCATTTTTAGGGCAGCTTTCTGTCACGCGTCCAAGTTCTTCATAGAATGTTTCCTTATCCTCCTCAGGTGACACCTCTGTTGGGGCATGGCAGTTAATTAGAGAGAAATTAAAAAATTTTCCTCTAAGCCGAATGTAGCATAACCTTTGGTTAATGGGAGTAAATCGCATCACTAGCTGTCGAGCTCTGCCTCTCACAACAAATCCGGTACCGAAGATGTGATGCTTTTCGTGGCAGCTATAGTAGAGTGTATGGTACTTCTTCTCCATAATTCCCTGTCCTATCCATTGGACCTCTTGGATAGCTGCTATGTCGATTCTGTATGTGTCCACTTCTGCAAGGAGCGCACGAAGTGCTCCTAGTCTATGTAATGATAAAATGTTCCAAAATCCAGTTCTTAGGTCATTTAGGCGTTTCCTGGGTCTATTACCGTAATTCAGTCCGGCTTCTTCTCTTTGAGGTTTCGTAATAAGGTACTTTAGGGGAGGTGGGTTATCAGCCCACTGCCCCCGAGTCAGGTAGAGGGGCTGCCTCCTCCGAACATCCTGACTAGCTCCCCCATCCGGGGCGGCTACCTAGGGAAGGTGACCCTAGGGTGTGTACTGTAGGTGACCTTTGTCTGTAGTGCTTAGGTGTTGTAGTGTGCTGTCTAAAGTGTACTTGGTGTGTGAGTGTTCGTGTAAGTGTTCCCCCAACCTGGAGGGCCAGTGGCTGGTTGCGCTACAATGACCGGGCAATGGGACCGCCACCTCCCTATGCCAAAAAATTGTTGGGCTTAGTAACAAAATAATTCCTAAAAAGTTAATATTATGTTTGTTTTCATTATATACTGTACAAAGTTTTATTTTTTAGTCCTGTTCAGAATTAAATGATTGTTTCATTTTTTAAATTCATAATTTTTACATTGTTGTAGTAATATTCCATAGTTTGTTATATGGTTCTGAATAAGGAATTTTAATCACTAAAGATGTTTTGTTTTGTTAACTCTATCCCATTTCATATGTTTAAATCTTAGACCTATCTATACGTTATTTATTATTAATAATTAAGTTAAGCTGAAGGAAAGGGTTTATTTATGAGAAGAAAAAAAAAATGCTAAAATATTTCTCAAGTGCATTTTACAACAAATTCCGTTTAATGCTATTTTTTTATGAATCAGGCAGGGTCAGGTTCCCTTAAGTCCGGTTCACCAGAACTCTACTGTGAAATTCATAGTTTTAATGTGTATATATATACTGTGAGAGGAAGAAAAATCGTACACTAAAATTTATTATTTATGTTAATTATTAATGATAATCATAAGTAATATTACTATGCCACAATATTTAATTATTTGCAATATAGTAACACTTTAATACAACTACTTGCTTAGAACAACAGAAAATTTTTTATATGTCTGAATTGGTCTTTACTTTAACATGAGAGATTTAAGACTTGTTTGGGATCTCTCCAGTATAACTTAATTAATTTTTGTGTATCCTTTTAATTTTTTTTTAGATTGCTCCTCTTTTGTTTCACGACTGTCATGGACGAAACGTGCAAATATCTGAGAGTCGCCTTGCAGCAAAACGTGTATCAAGTTACAATCAAGGTCTTGTTTTGTGTATGAGAACAGTCCCACGTGGTACTTTATTTCAGGTTAGAATCATTTTGTCATATTACATTTTTTTTTTTTTTTTTTTTGTAGTTTAATAACTAATACCAAGTCATTTTTTAGATCAAAATTGAATCATTGAATACTAGATGGGTTTCTTCATTAAGTATTGGAATGACAACTGAATCGGTTGTTGGGTATACTTTACCTGTGACAGCTCTTGGTCTCAAGAAAGATACATGGGTCATCAGTGGTGACACTGTTTTTCATAATGGCCATAAAGTAAGTAACAATCATTTGTTTATTCTTTTTTTTTAATTTATCCTTTTCTTTCTAAAATATAATCGTACTTTTCCTTATAATATAGTTTTTTAAAAAATAATACTGTTTTCAAAATGTTTTCTAATTTAATTTATTTAATTACAAATTCAAATAGTTTTCTTTTTAAGGTTCATATTCACCTTCAAATTTTTAATAATTAAAATTAAACATATCCTTGGGACCATGTTAAACGAATGAATGTGAACTTGCCCAATGTTGCACATTTGTTACTTTAACATGGTACCGACGACATGATGTTTGTTTATTTGAGATTAAAATCTCATAGCTAGGTGAGGAAAGATGGGTTATTCTATAGGTTATTAATTTACTTTAGCCATAGTGACATGGTAGAGATCTATTTATTCTGTGGGTCCATTATAAAGTGACTTTCAACCCACCTAGGCTTGATTTGTACTGATGCCACTTCTAACTCTCAAATACTTCCTTGGTTAATTCCTGAAACATTCGGCCATCATGGTCTTGAAGCTCATTATGTAATATAATTGAGCGATTTCGTGTATTTTAAATTTTTATTCATTCATGAAGATCAGGTTATGAAAATAAAATTAAAAAGTCTCAAAATTTTCTGATTTATTTTTGCAAAGATAATTAACTTTAATGAAAAGTAGTGGGAACTGAGCTCGTCATAGCTTGCCAGTGCCTAGCTCAAACTGTTAGCCATATCTTCTAATTATTAGCTTATACTAGTGTTACCAGCTTCAAAACTTCTATCCAAGAAATATATTTACATTTTTTTCTCTCACCCTGTTAAATAATAGTATTTACTGTGTCAAAGCACCAGTTGATTTGTCGACATTCCTGCAGACTTCAGCAGAGGAATTTGCTCTCTAATCCTTGTATACCACCAGCTGCTTATTGGTATAGAACAATTTCACTAAGTTTTTTTTATTCAGTTGAGTTGTCGAGTTCTTATTATTCAGATTTCTTCACATTTGACATACTATACTATCCTTTGTGTACGAGTTATTAGAGTTGATCTTCTGGATTGTACTACCCTTTCACACTGTAAGGTGATCCTCCCAGTATGAAGTCTACCTATACTTTAGACAAAGTAAGAAGACAGAGTTCTTTATTTACCTGAGTCAGGTTTAAAAATGAAATTTTGAATTAAAAAACCAGATTGAGACAGATTCAAAAAGTAATCCTTATATCATACCTGACTCTTTTCGTTGCTTATCTGCACAAGAGCTGACCATCCCTATGTGGAATCTACCGCTATCTAAGACAAAGTGAAAAGACTGATCTCTTTGTTCACCTGAGTCATTTATATTCTAAAATTAGATCATTTCATGATACTCTGCTCTATCCTTATCTTACCTGTATGAGTTCTTGTTGTTAATCCTCTGGATTCAAACTCTGTGAGCTGATCTTCCTTGTGTGGAGTCAATCTAATTTAAAGTTACAAGATTGATATCTTTGTTCACTGCCCTTTCTGAATCAAGTATGTTATAAAGTTGATATCACCTTTATATTCTGCTCATGCAGGGATTAAGAAGAAAGAAACTTATATGAAAAGCAAAAAAGCATGAAATTCAATATATTTCCATCTTTCGGATTTTTCAAATAGTATGCCTAATTAGAATTATTTAAATCCAGATCATTATTTTCTCATCCTTTTTTTTTTAAATTTAATGTATTAATGTAAATTCAATATTTTCCACCCTGTTTAATTATTTTATAATAAACTAGAACCAATTACTACAGTTATCACAACATTCTGAAAATGATGAAATCATAATAATCTGCTCAAGAAAAGTGTTGCACTTAGAAAAATGTATCTATATCTGTATGTTTATATGCAAGCTTGAATTTCAAAGTATATTTTACCTTATTTATTTTAAATGAATACACCCGCTTTACAATAATTGTTTATACTCAATATTTTGGTATAAGTTTCAGAGGAGGTATTTCTTTTTCACTCTGAAGCTTTCAACTTTTTATAAATAGTGCATGTGGTTATGATGAACCTCCATTATTTTTCATTTCTTTACTACCTATTTTCCTTCCATTAAAAAAATGTTAATTAGTGTTTTTTTTAATAGGTCAAGCCCAGATATGGTGCGAATTTAGACAGTCTTTCTGCTGGAAAAACCCTTGGAATTATGGTGGATGAAGAAAATCAGTTGCGATTGTTTATTAATGGCGTTGATCAAGGTGTTGCTGCCACTAATATCCCTGCTACAACTTGCTTGCCTTTGGTAGATCTTTATGGAATGTGTGATCAGGTGTGTAAGAATGGTTTTTTTATTTTTATTATTTTGTGAAAGAAAGGTATCTTTTTTTTTTTTTAATTACAATACATAGCAGTACTGAAACATTAATGACACTTTATATACTTGAGGAAATGACAACTTTGAACCCTAATTTTATAACACACGATTAAATGATTATATTAATAAAATCTGAAAAAAATCATTCTGTGCTATTTAGAAACGGACATAAAGTTTTGTTTAGTGGTGAAACCTTAAAACCTGGTTTATGACTTTTCTGTTAGAATCACAACAATTTAATAAACAAAAACAATTTGAAGATAAGTCATCAAAATAGTAATTTAATAATTGTGAAACAAGAAGCTCTCGTTGCTTCATTAACTCTGACATCTTAGGAAAAAATAAATTTGTAGTTTTGCCTTGTAAAAGAAGGATATCGATGGCAAACTCATTGCTCAATTTGAAAATAATAGGTATGTTTATGGAAATAATTAGATGTAATTATAATATTTCCCGCCTTCTGATGGCGGGAAATGCTTGTTATTTTTCTGTGACGAAACTACTTAGTTCGCGTCTCTTGTCCCGGAACTTAAAAATTAGAATCTATAAAACAATTATCTTGCCTACAGTTCTTTATGGATGCGAAACTTGGACGCTTACATTAAGGTATGAGCAGCGTCTTAAGGTTTTTGAGTATTCTTTTTTTTTTTTTCTATAAGTACTAAAAAGTTACTTTTAATTGTTTGTTAACATTTTTATTTCAGGTTTGTATAGTTGGCGAAAGTGGAAGTTGGCCTGAAAGTCCGGTAGAAGATCATGTATGGGCTGAAACTAGAGAGAAGGGGAATCTTGAAGTGAGAGAAAAACCTGGAGCCTTGCGTTCAAAATCAGATAAAATTAATGAAAACATTCAGTGTAGCAGTCACACATCACCTAGTGCTAATGCTGCAAATACATTGCTTTTAGAAGTGAGTCTATTATTCCTTAAATTTTCATAGATTGTTGTTTAATTATACTGTTTACTGAAAAAGGCTGAAATTATGTGGATGTTGACATTTTCTAATGATTGTTAACATTAAACAGAAATCTTTTGTAATAGGTTTTAATTATTGTTCTTATATCTAACTTCATTTTTCAATTACGCCAAGGAAAGTAAAGGCGGGCAATGTTGAAAAAAATAAGGAAATCATTTCTTATTACATAAGAATAAAATATATTACTTTTTGAAATATGTAACTCCATTTCTATGGTATAACAGAACATATCACTTTGGATTCAAATGCAGTACTAGGTGTAAAATGAAACATTTTAGAGTAATTATATTTTTGGTAAAACAAAAATAATTATATTTTTATCAACTATTAACTAATTAACTGAAGTATCCATTGAATATTTATTACAAAAAAAGTTATCTAAGATCACAGGTACATTACCCTATCGCCTGTTATACTAGCTGCTGCATTGGATATTTCAATTTTCTTGAATGACTCTGAACATTTCGGCAGCAGGTGGGGATGTAAAAATTAAAATTTGTCATATCTAACTTCCACCATAATTCATTTGTTTAAGTTTACATTCACAAGTGAATGTTCTGATGTCAAATCAATTTTAGCGTACATTCAGTCTTTCTCCAATATTTTTTGACCTTTGCCGATTTCATTCTTTCTCATTAATAGTGCTATGTAATAAGATAACGAATCAAAATAACTTCCTTTCATAAAGAAAAGGAGCTGCTATTAAAGAATATTAGTAAAGTTTAATGTGACATTTCAAAATAAATAAATAAATTTGTTTAATAGCAATTATTTAAGATAGCAAATGTTAAAAGAAAACAAAAGTACATGGTTGATGGATTTTTAGGATGCATTTCTTATGATATCCAAGCATGTATTTTCAGTTGTGATACTATATTTTAATTTGATTCATTTTATAGAAACGAAGCTTGAATGAGAGCTTTAAATCACCGACTGTAGCTGTGAGGTCTCTGGGTAGCAGCTTGGCGGTAACACCTATTTCTCCTGTTTCTTTTAAGCAGCCAACTTGTGAATACCTATCGGCGTGCGTTCGACTCAAAACATCATTAGGCCTTCCAAGTATTTTTAAATTTTAAAAATCTTGTGTTTTATTTAATTATGCAGTGAACTATTATAAATGATTTATTTTTTAGGTGGATATTTTAGAAAAGAAGTTATGTGCTTTTGCTGTGGTTGTTGTTCTACTCTTCGGTTAGGGAAGCCAGATATCCCACAAGGCTGGACCATTATACCGTTAAGGAGGAGAGGTGAAGCACAGGTAAGATTAAGAAACACAAATAACGACATAATAATCAACTTTATTCCAAAATGACAATAGGGTAATACCTCAAGTATTAACTTTCTCAAATTTTCAAAGGCAGGCATACAGTGTTCTGCCTGTTTTTCTGGGTTTAAATTCCATTGTTCATGGAATGATACAAAGGAGCTTGTGATTTGGTCTGGAAAATCAGTGTTCAGATCTGCTCCTTCTATTGAGACCATAGGCATGTATTCCATAATACTTAAACTGCTAGTGTTGATGGATTCACAACTTTGGCCTGATTGGGCATCCATACATCATCCAATATCAGAAACATCTCGGATTATAATTTATGTACTGCATTATATTAGTATGACATTATAGAAGCTCATTCAATCCAGGTTATAAGAATTCTTTATAGTCACAAGTGAGGAAGTCTCCTCCTGGTTCTTGAAATTGCCAATATGGATTTGGAACAGAAGTGATAAAATAGTTTTAATACAATATTCACCCTAATTGTTAAAATATTTTTAACATAAACATACCTTAGAGGATCATTCATTTACTTACTTAATGGCGCTACAGCCCTAGTTGGACTTTGCCCTCACTTAAAATTGATAGCCATTCCTGCCTATCTTCTACCTTCCTTCACCATCTTCTTACTCCTTTCCCTCTCAAATCGTCCTCTACGTCATCCAACCACCTCAGCCTTGGTCTTTCTGCTAATCTCCTTCCGCCTTGCCTGGCCTTCATTATATTTTTTGGTAGCCTCTCATCCGGTGGCATCCTTTGAATGGCCCAGCCATCGCAACCTTCCTTCTTTGATGAATACCACATTGTTAGGCTCACCAAAAAGCTGTTCGAGCTCTTTGTTTTTCCTTATTTTCCAATGACCACCCTTGTTTACTGGCCAAATATCTTTTGGAAAATCTTTCTCTCCCGAACCTTCAGGATCGTCTCACTATCCTTGGTCATTGTCCAGCACTCACTTCCATGTCATCACTGGTCTTATTGTTGTCTTGTATGTGGTTATTTTTGTCTTTCGAGACAATACTTGAAATTTAAGCAGTCTATTAAGCGCAAAAAGACATCTGCTACCAGCTGCTATTCTGCCTTTGATCTCTGCATTTGTATCATTGTCTTCTGTTACTAGAGATCCTAGATATTTGAAGCTCTTGCAGTACTTGAATTTGTGCCCATTAATTTGCACTTCTTCTTCCTGATCTAATTGAATTCTAGACGTCCTCATATACTCCGTGTTAGCTTCATTTATTTTCAAGTTTCTGCTCGCTGCCACCCCTTAAACTCTTCCAATGCTCCTGAAAGGGCTGGTAATGTGTGTGATGCCTACATCATCTGCATAGGCCATGTGCTGGGTAAGAATGCTATAATTATTTCCTCCTGGGTTGGTTCTAATTGCTCTTATTGTCTTTTCTAGAGCTTGGTTAAATACTATGGGCAACAGTGGGTCATCTTGTCTCAGTCCTCCTGCCACATTGAACTCTTCCGATATGGCTCCACCAACTCTTACATGAGACTTTGTTTCCTTCCATTTCATTTGAATCAACCTCACCAGCTTTTGGGGGACTCCTAGGAACCTGATATCCCTTGCTAACATTATGCTTGTGACTTTTTTCCAGTAGCTGTCTTAATGTGAAGATTAAGTCAGTTGTTGATCTTCCTCTAAAACCACACTGGTAATTGCCAATAACCCTCTCAGACCATCTTACCAGCCTCCGGTTAATTGCAATGGAGAGAATCTTGTACACAAACAACAGAAGCGCTATCCCATGATAGTTGTCCCATACCATCCTGTTCCCAAACTGGGCAAAGTATGGCTTTGCTCTAGTCTCTCGGCATACTTTCCTGAGTCTCTCTCCTTAGCCCTCTTTTATTCTCCTACATATTCTCCTTGCCTCTGCTCTTTTCTTTTTATAGCTCTCTGCTGAGGTTCTTGTTACTCTCTGTATCAATTTCATTCTGCCGTAATTTCTTTCTTTGACTGCTTTTTCACATATCTTGTCATGCCAGTCGTTTCTTCTTTTCTGCCGTCTCACACCAAGCATCTCAGTTGCCACACTCTTCAATGTATCTCTAAAAGTACACCAGTTCCCTTCAATTGACTGCTCTTTTTAATTTTTCAAATCTGTCCTCAATTTTCCTTTTAAATAAATCTCGGGTCTCTTCAACTTGTAGCTTTTCTTGATTGTAAATGAATTTTCTCTCTCCTCGGGCTCTTTGGTATGAGACTACTTTCATTTTATATTTAGCCTTAACTAGAAAATGGTCTGGTTCACAGCAAGCACCTCTGAAATTGTAAACATCTTGTATGTCTGCCACGTTTCTACTATCTACCAACACACTGTCAATTTATCATCAATATTCTTGTGAGCAAAAGAGGAGAGGAGGATCATTTATTATTGATTATTTCAGGGATAAGATTCTGTTTTAGTCAGAAATAATATTGAAAGTTGACAACTTTGTTGTTATTGCATCGTATTAAGGTCAAATATGACTAGGCATGGTTGGCAAGGTCCTACTAATACCATATTTATGCTTGATTATAATTTAAATTGTTTATAGTGTTCAAAGGAATAAAAGAGCCTGATGTATGGCTTTTCCTTGTTTCCACAAAATTAGTTAACTTATTTGCCATTTCTATCATACTGTGTATTGGACAGTATGATAGAAATTGGTCTCAGTTTTTAGTGAAGTTAAAGTCATTAGAGAGAGAAAGAGCTGGAAAAATGAATGAGTGTCAATCTACTCCATTGCATTATTTCATTGCTGCAATCTCATGGAGGCTAGGATATGGATGAATTGTTTGAGGGATAAGAATTCCCGAATGTTGAAGAGCCATCCAGGTTGATCAGAAACCTGTAAGTTTGTCGTGCCTTGTTCTTCGATGGTTTGAGGACAGAATGGCCAAGCCCGCTGATGCATGTGCAAAACACATGTAGCTCAGTAACTTGATCAATCGAAGATTATTTGATAAAATAATTATGAGTTTGCGTCCCTATGCCGGGGGAGAGGAGGCTTTTTAACTCTGGCATTAATAATCCCCCATCCTCTCCCCTGAATAAAAAGTGTGTTTCTACAAATCTAAAGTGAAGAAATTGAATTCGAAATTCAGTTCTTGATTGTTTAATTAAACCAATCTCACAATCCTTGTCAACTCACACAATGCGCAAGAGCATTGTTGAAAAAAAGATATGTTTTCAAGCTCACCAATCACTTATTACTTTTTAATCTATTATGAGCAACTTAATATATTTCAAAATTTTCAATTCAATTTAGTAATTATGCTCAAGGCATATTTAGTTAATGACTAAATTATTGCATTTATTGTTTGCTGTTCTATTTGAATCCATTAGACAAATGTTTACTCTGGTATTTGTTTACTAACCTTTTCTTTCTACTGAAATACACATTTTTTTTTTTTATTATTGTTACAGTTAACAGATACATGGCATGTTGCTTATTTTACCACTCATATTGGAAATATTAGAAAAATACTAGATCTCGGCGAAGTTATCCTTCCAGGTAATATGACTTTATTTAATGTATGTGTGTATTTATTTATATAGTTATGTAACCTCACCGTTCTTTCTTTCTTTATTTTTAAGATGAATATGATTATTTGGGAGATATTCAGAGGAGAGTTGATAGAAAAATGGATGATTCTGTTTCTACCAAACTAACACTCTCTCCTTCATTGAGCAGTCCAAGTTTTTTGCATAAGCATCAGTAAGTACATTGCTATTGCTTTAAGAATCCATTTAATTCTCTTAGGAGATCTATCAAACCAGATCTGTGCTTTAAATATTGGGTTGAGAAAAAAGGAGTTTCATTATTTTTTTCATGTTTTTTAATCTAATTTATTTATATAGATTTCAAACACTAACCGTTGATATATGTATCAATTTGATCGATGACCTTTTGCCACTTTTCTGGTAAAACCACAAGTCCATCGTTTTAGAGGTTCTGCAGGGATTTCTGGGTGAAAAACTGAACTCAAGTGATTTTCAAATTCTCTTTTGATGCCAAGTTTACACCATTAAGAGAGTTCTTCAGAGACTGAAACAAATGGTAGTCAGACAGGGCAAGGTACAGGCAACACAGTGGATTCATCAAAACTTCCTAGCCAAGCTCTCTCAATCTTTGCCGGGTCATGAAAGATGTGTGTGGTCTAGCGTTGTGATGAAAGACAATGTCTTTCCTATTGATCATTTCTGGCCATTTTTTTTTTTAATCGTTTGCTCTAATCGCACTAGTTGTTCACAGTAGAGAGTTGAATTAATGGTTTGAACCCGTTTGAGTAGCTCATGATAAACGATTCCTTTCCAATCCCACCAAACACTCAGTCAGCATCACCTTCAATCTGTGCCTTGCCACTGTTTGTGAAGCTTCTTCGGACTTTGACCACAATCTTTTTCACACATTATTATTTTACATGATCTACTTTTCATCACGCGGTAATCAATTGTTTCAAAAATGCTCCAATTTCATTTCGTTCCAGCAGTTATTCACGATTGGAAACTTAGTACATTAAATTTTTCACTGTTAATTCATGTAGAACCCAAGTACTATGCTTTTTTTGATATCTAGTCTTATGTAAATGGTTCAAAACTGTTTTCTGATCGATGTTTAGTTCTGTAGCAATGTCATGAGATGAAATGTCAGTCTACATCAATTTTTCAAAGAATTTCATTGACTTTTTCAATGATTGGTCGGCCAGGACAAGGTAGATTCAGCTTTACTATCAAAATTTCCAGAACAAAAACGAGCAAACCAATTCTGACACTGGCATTTCTTTAAACACTCATCACTATAAACATCATACAATTTTTGATGAGCCTTGCTCTGCATTTTACCCTTTTTGGAAGTAAAACAGTAAAATATGACAAAAATGACCTTCTGGTACCTTTATTTTTAAAATGCAATAACTGTTGAACTGAGTGAATGAATGACGCTATTTTTATGTACAGGATGTTCTATGATCTTTCAAATGCACCATAGAATGGCTTCATTGAATAACTATTGCCTAATGGGATAAAACAAAATTATTTTTTCTTCAACTCAATAAATTGAATTTCATTTAGAAAAATGTCAGTTTGTGTCAAACTCCAATAGTTAATGTATTTATGATATATGTTTGTTAGATTTTATTTTATGAAATGTTCATTCTACTTTAAAATGCCAGGAAAGTTTAAAATTACAACTAAAAATGAAAAGAAATCTTTTTAAACTTTAATGAATTGGTTAATGGTAAATAATGACTATACTGAGCAATCGGTATTATGTTATATTTATTGTTGCTTAATGTAGTTATATTAGGTCTTATTTTTCACAGTAAATTTGTAGAACTCTGTACAAAATATCGCTACTGTTTGTGCAAAAGGTTGTATGTAACAATTTTACATGTTTCTTCTCTTTGCCCTAAAGGTGGCATTTTGTGGTCTACAACTGCTATCAGTAGTCTGCTAAATAGGAAAATAGCAGAAGAAAATAAAAAATGAAATTAGAATAATATATCATAAAGAAACAGCAATTTTTTATGCTCATCTGTAAAAAAAACTCATGGTTTACACATGACCTTTTGCACCTACAGTTAGGTATATATTTGTTTTAGTTGACCATATTGCATTTCTAAGTTGACAATTTTCATCTATTGATCTCAGTATTTTCTTGTATTAGCTACAAGCTAGCTAATTAATTGTCATCAACTATATTTTATTGTTTATTGTTATATTGCATTTTGTCATTTTAAAACTAACATGAATCGTTTGCACTAATAATTTTATTTAATTTTAGGTATGTTGATCCAAAAACCAAAGAACAATTATTAGCATTTGCTGCTATTGAAGTGCTTGTCCGCCCAGGCTCTTATAAAATCGCTTCAGAAACTGAATGGGTAACAAAGGAGAGAAATTCTACTTCTCTCTCTGCACTACTTCTTCGTCTCGATTCACCTTCTTGAAACTGCTTGAAAATCTCATAAGTGCAAGCTTTGAAATGGTGCTTAATTGTAATGCTAAGAACTAAAACTATTTTAGTTGTAAAAACATTTTTTTATATATATGTTTGTCGTGTTTTAAATTATTATAATTTTAAACTATATTTCTCAAATATAATGTTCAGTGTGCTCTAATTTAATCAAACTTTAGTTTTTTTTTGTTTTGTTTTTTTCAAACTTTAGTTAAAAATTAGTGTTCTTGTGAATGTTAAATTAAAATATTTGGCCTTAAATTACAATTTTTATGAATAATTATATCTTAAATCGGATTTATTTAATTTAACCATTCTCTTATTTCAGTTTATTTTTCATAAGCCAGTAGTACACCTATTATATTTCCACTACATTGGAATGAAGATGTTTCGTCTCATTGAGCCATTTTCAAGTCTAAAACAAAATTTTCATATTATACAGTTATTTTTAATTTTTTTGTTAAACTTTTCTTGCATAATTATTTGTAGAATCATTCACATAATTAAACAACTCTCACATATGTTGAAATACAAAGTTTATATTTACCTATCATGTCCAAACTTACTGCATTTCTTATGTAAAAACACCTGTTTTCTTATAATAACTACTTGTCATAATCATCTAATCTATCTGCATCTATTATTTTAGTTCATTATTATAAAATTTACTATAATAAGAGATTTATGGAAATATTAAAATACCCTGTTATGTATAAGTTCCCATATTATCAGTTCAATTGTTACTGAGCAACTAGTCGATATTATAGGAGTGGAAAAGGTTTATGAACATTATTTTTATTTTTACATGATGCTTGTTTATATGTCATGTGGATCTATTTTGAGCAATGTTAGCTATTCATTTTTTTAAATAATCTTCATAAACCTTCCCCACTCCTATAATACTGACTAGTTGCTCTGTAACAATTGAACTGATAATATGGGAACTGACTTATAAAAGGATATTTTAATATTATTATAAATTTTATAATAATGAATTAAAATAATAGATACAGATAGATAAGACGATTATGACAACTTGTCATGTTTTTACATATGAAATGCAGTAAATTAGGACATGATAGATAAATATAAATTTTGTATTTCAACGTATGTGAGGATTTTTAAATTATGTGAATGATTCTACTAATAATTGTTGTTAGATTTAAAATTATAAATCACTGTAATATGAAAAATTGAAATTGAAAAATGGCTCCATGAGCCAAAACATTGCCATTCCAAGGGATGGATTGGAAGTGAAAATATTATTGGTGTATTGTTGGCTTAAGAAATATAGACTGAAATATTATACAACGCTGGAATAAAAGAAAATTAAGCACACTCTTCTTTTTGTTTGTTTGACTCTTTTTTTTTTTTTTTTTTTTTTTTTTTTTTTTTTTATGATGTATTGTTCAATAAGGGTGCTAGGTTACTTCATGAAGGATTCTGATAATCAATGCATTTTCTTTTTTATTAGTATAAAAAATGTAAGATATCTATTTCTTTATCAATTTTCATTTTTCATACATTTATAACGTAAGGTATTATTTTTAAATGGATTGAAATTTTTCTTCTTTTTTCTACTGAAAAAGATTAATGATTTTTGTACTTATCTAATGGCAATTTATTAATTTAATTTTCAAGTTGATGAAATTGACATTACATAATTTTTTTTTAGTTTTATAGTCTTAGACCAAGTACGCAGCATTTATTAGATTATGTTAATCAAATTAATTAATCTAGGATGTGGTTATTGAAGAGCACTTACCCAAAGACATAAATGGTATGTTATTTGATGGTCCATCGAAGAAAGCAGAATATTTCTTTTCCCAAAAATTCCAAGAATATTTTTAGTTGTAGTTGATATTTTCAACTATTTCCAATTATTAATTTAATATTTTAAATTAAATTAATTTAATTTAATTAATGCACTGAGAAAATGGAGTTTTTTGCTCCATTAGCTTAGCTGATTGTTGACCTCTTACTTGCTCAACTGAAGCTTTGTGCATTTAATACTAAAATAGAGAATTAAAATGGTTTGCGTGATACTAAAACAATGTAGATACCATTTCATTAAATACGACAACATTGCGCTTGTAGATAGATATTTTATCGCTCAAACTACACTATACTAATATTATATCAAGAACATCTTTGATATTTCTAATGTATTTTTGTTAAATATGTAAAAACAAATTAAATTTAATCAGAGGTTATCTTTACCGATCATTTTATTTATCTATTTTGAGTTTTTCTGTATGTTTGCTTATTAATTCTTTTTAGTCAGGTGTACAGTTTGAAGTGATATGTGCAGTTTGTTTCATTGTTGCTATATCACTTTGATTTTGAACTCTTCATTATCCCAAAGAATATTAGTATTGTTTAGCTGTAAAGTAAATTGAAGAATTACTCTAGATTTCAGAATTAGATAATTTATCATTTAACAGTACTTTTGAAGTTAATAACTTTTTTTTGTGAAATGTAGAGCAACTATGTTTCGTAGTTTTTCTAGCAAAGTTTTCATTAAGGGTTGACAAAACCCACAGCCATATCAGAATCAAAATAGTTCTTTAATAAGATTATTTTAAATGTTTATATTCTAAAAATAATATTTCTGTGAATTTAGTTGTTATAAAATTATAAAGCCAGTAACTAAATATTTTATTTGGATTAATTACATTAAATGTGTACACTTTCAATTTTGTTTTTCTATTCAGTAGCTGGCACATTAAATTTAAACCATCTAATTGAGTAATTAATTTTGTTAGTGTAACTTATTGCTGTTTCTGAAGTTTTTTAAACATTTCTAGTCACTTTTACTAAGTTTTGTCATTGTCTTTTTATTTTATTTTTCCAACTACCTGTTGATTTTTGTTTAATTGATTTATGTATTAGAAATGGGTTGAAGCCTATGTATTATTTTATTATTCCCAATGCAAAAAAAAAAAAATGCATAAAATGTTATTTTTTGCCAAAATAATATACCAATCAACGATATAGCCATATTAATATACTAATAAGCTTTACTCTTAACATTAGACAAACATTTGTAAAATAAATTGTTTATTAGAGTTTTATTTAGTAAATAATTTATTAACTGGTGTAGATAAAAGTTTAAATATTATTTAGCATCGGTAATCTAATCTATCCTGATATTGTGTACTATAAAAAAGTCTATTCAAAAATCAACGCTAGCTGCTATTCATATTTTTCAATATTTTGTTAATATTATATTCCTTTTATGATAGTGAAACTGTCAGTTGTCCCTGGCACAGTACTATCTCCTCATTATGTCGGTTGTTACTAGTATTGTTTTATTGTAATTAAAGATAAAATGATCTCAGTTGTTATCAGTCTCTTTTCCATTGGACCCCTTTGGGAAGTCTTGAAGAAGCTTACCAATTGGGATGAACAGACGTGGGAATTAATGCCTTTGGTTAACATAGAGCTATCTTAAAAAGCGAATACTCTTTCATTTTTTCAGGAAGTATTACAATTGTTTGTTATTTTTACTGATTTAGATATATCAAAGCTGTCAATTTCAGCTCACTCGAAAGATATCGAGAAATGTTGATTTGGGATAAATAAGCAAATTTTTAGCTTTATCAATCCTACAGCAGCCCAGAATTCACATCAGTCAGTGAGTTTGTGTTTTGTTGTATTACAGGTGGTATTATATCATTGTTTTATTTATTTCTGTTGGATATTTCATTTTGTTCATTGAAATATAAACTTGACTTAGTAATTATTTTTTCTAGATTCTGAAATTACTTTCAGTCTCTTTGGTCTGCTATCTTCATTTATAAAGTGATACTAATAAATGTTCCTTATCAATCACTGAAACTGAAGCAAAAATGATTTTTAATCACCAAACATTTCATTTATTTATTGATTCGATGTTACTAATATTCTGAAACAAATGATTAAAACAAAATGGTTTATTGCTAAAACTCAAATGAAGCCAAAATCCATTATTTTAGCCCAGGACTACTTTTTTAATTGATGTGATTCCTTATAATTGTATATTTTAAAAACTAAATGAACACATTTTTATCCTTACATTGTTGAACTTATATATTTTTCATATGTAGTCTTAGTTGTTCTTTCCTATAAAATTATATCTATGTATACAAGATTGGATTCAATTTTGTAATTGTTGATGGCCCTGGAACAGCTGAATAAGTCACAGCAATGATTTTTATTTTATTTTAACTGGCAGTTTCAATGTAACCCAATTTATAATTCGTGTGTAAAGTACTTTGTCCAATCTATTCTGGAATGAACATTACCATCAGTGGAGATTACATAGTCGCAGATTTTGGTCGTATATGACAAATAGTATACTAAGCTTCTCTAGAAAGAAAGCATTAGTAAATTGTAATTGAATCTATTTTACATTGAGTTCTAATAACTGCAAATAAGTCCAAAAGTGGTTTGTTGTAGCTCTTTATTAAATTTTTTTAACAAAAATAATTTTTCATAGTGTATCGGGACCAAGTTTGATCAGGAATCTGAAATTATAGCCTTTTATTTATTTATTTTTTTCCCTCAACCCAAGACTCCCACGGACGTTCTATACTGCTCCTATTGTTATATTAAAATATAATGGAGATATAGCCTTTTATATCGTATTAAAGTAATAATGTGACTTTACAAAACTTAAGGTCCAATACTTTTAACCCAAATCTGGAAGGTCAGACCTGATACAATCCTCTCATCTACCTTTCAGCACTTGTCATCTATTTCTTATCGGACCAACAACTTTACACCCATAAATGAATTTCAATCTTTGATTATATTTTGCTAGTGAATGTTTTACAATTTCACTTTTCTAGCTTTCTAAATAATTTAGTTGTCTTATATTTCTTTTGGCTAAATATTCTACAAAATGCTTTATTAAAAAAAAAAAAAATCCTGTTCAAATACCAGGAGAATAAATAATAATCTTGTAAATTGTAACAGATTTTTTGTTATTTAACAAAATGTAATTTTAATTTTTTAGTTTATTTTAAAAAATCTTAACTTTTTTTTTTAGATAAATTCAAAGACTTATAGAAATTAAATTATTTAAATGCTGTTTTCCATTTGTTCGTTAAACATTAATCACTTTTAGATTAAGATGTTTTATTTATCAATTGAAAATGAAATATGCAGTCTGTATTGTTAACTTT